CGCAGCCTCTCCGTATATGAGCTCCTCTGAAGGTCGTGCTTGATCTATTTCGCTGTTAGCATCATGTGGGATCGGAGGCACTGCATTCATCCCCTGTCATTTTCGCCTGGTGGTTGGCTACCATGCATGGCAAAAGAAAGAAGTCTTCTGTGTGCCTTCTGAAAGTATGGCCTAAAGAGTGTCCGAAGAGCTCTACCAATACCTGCAGATGGTGGCTTGGTCTTTGATGGCATGGAAAAGCTTCTCATGCCCAGGATCCGTGGCATTCGTCGCAGTGACTCTTGCGGCGCTGAGTACTTGACCGAAGACTGCATGTCCAATCTCGCCAGCAGCTCGAGTGACGGCAAGGCAGACGGTGCAATGCACATGGCCAGCGGCAGCGGTCCGCGAACTTGTCTCTCTTGTTCCTCCCTCGCGTTCCATATCCCTCTCTCACACGCCTTTTGCGCCATCGACTTATCCGGCCCGAGTGAATCTGGCCGTGCTATCACGTTCGGTCCCGAGATACCTTGTCTTCGTGATTCTTGTCTGTCGAGGACTGTGGCTTAGGGCAGTAATTTTGGCGCTTCGTTCACTCGAAATGACGATGTCCCCACCATCAGCCCAGTCTTCCGGACTTGAAGAATCGGCAGTCACTCACGGAGCAAGGCTTCGAGGGTCATCTGATCTTGCTGGCAGATGTAGGCCAAGGTGTCAGATGCTGCAACTCCGAGGGGAGCCAGTCCGTATCAATGCCCAGATCTGCGGAAGGATTTCTGAATCTGGGGCAGTGAGATGGCTTGAAAGCCGCCGAGTCCAGTAGGAGATAAGATGGGCATCCACCACCTGCTGTCATGTGAGCCAACACGCTCAAGGATAGGCTGTGAGCAGTCGTGGAAACAGAAACGGCTTTGTGAGCCCTTCCTGTTTTGGCAGATCTGCCCGGACTCGACCAAAGTAGGCGAGACGAAACAGCTGCATGACCGACATTCTAGTCCACCGAGACTATCTTCGGCACCGACGGTCCTCCTCCTTGTCCGACAATAGACCAGCTGGGCAGCGATAGATGGCATACCTCGTACGAGACACGGCCGTAATAGCGTTGACGGGGACGGATAACACAGGAACGACCGTCGTTTTGACTCGTTTTGCTTCTGTTGGGCAATGGCGCATGAACAGGTCGGTGGAGACGATCGCTGTCCGTTGGCGTGTCCGTCGTTTTAGGTGATGTCCCACACTGGCGAACACCCATCGGCCCAGAAATGGCTCTAGAGGTCTCACCGCAAGCGGTCTCTTAGCAAGGAGCGATCCGGGAATGACCTCTTGCTTCTTTAAGCGATGCCCCACAGTTTCGGCGTCGTCTGGTAAGAGGTCCGTCATCTTTGTCTGATATAAGATCCTGCCTGACCTCCCTGTCCCCTACCCTTCTCCGTCTTGAGGCCTGGCTGGCGCGAGAGAAATATTGCTTACAATGGCATTTTCCACGACCATTCGGCAACGTGCTTGATCCCGGCCTGCTTGGTATGATTGGGTGCTTTGCCGACGACGTCTACGACACCAAGAGAAGGATCGATTGTGAAGCAGGGAACAGCAGGACCTCGACGAACAAAGGCTACCCACAGCAACAGAAAGCCCGATCGTGGACCATTTCGGGAGTTCTTTTCGAAAGGATGGCAGGAAGACCTTGAAAACGGCGTGGAAGATGGCCAAGCGGTTGCCAAAGAAGGCTCCCTCAATACTTATGAAAGAAGGGACGGAAAGGAAAAGGCACCGCAGGTGACGGCATCATATGAAAGATCCATACCGGGAACGGAAGGCGGAGGTCGATGACATGCGTGGGATCATTGATACCTATCCTCAGGAAGGGAGATGCCAGAGCGACAGAACCTTCCAGAACATCGGACGTGGAGACCATGACATCTATTCGATTGATGACGAAGGGCTGTGCAATGGATGCCACTAGATCATGGAACCTTGGGGAAGAATACATTTGAGCCCGGATGAATGTGAGAAAGAGAAGGCGATGGACCGCGTTCTGTGTCATGAAGGTCAGTGGCCTGCCGTTCGGGAAGGTGCGAAGCCTGTGGACACGGAAGGCAGGCTCAAGGTCAGTGGGGGGGCCACTTCCCTCCCATGATGGTCACCTTAGAGGTATGAGCTCTTCTGAGTGAAAGAAGGTCCATAATGCCTCTGGAAAGCCAGATGACTTCGATAGACCGACCTGACCCAAGCAAAAAACCGGACAACAGCCGTCGATGTCAGTTGCAACATCATCGCGGACATTCAACAATGGAGAAGAGAGGCTCAGAAGAGAAGAGAATTTTTGAATAGACTTCAGTCGGATGGGACTGCGTCGATTGCCTGGGTCGTTGAGAGCTTGTGTGCTGTCCTGCAGCTGGCGAGAGGCGCTCTTGCCATCGAGAAGCGCAGCATACCTAGGTCGGTACAACTGACGGATCTTCAACGGCCTGACTATGGCTAAGGTAGGGAGAAGAAGCACCATTGTCGCGACTGTCCGAGGTCATGTCTATACCTCACAATGGACCCAATGGCAGACCAATACATGGTATTCAGATCATGGACAGGGAGACGGGAACTGCGGTCTCAGGAGCATAGCAAAACTCTTCCAAGGCACCATGGCAAAACAGCAGTCTACCCTCAGCGGCGCGTCGCAGTATGGACAGGAAGCCGCTACGGAGCGAGCATGTCAGCATGTGAAGGTCTGAATTTCCCTTCGTTGGGATTCAGCACTGATTGCGCATCTCGGGACATGGTGAGCCCTGGTGCCCAGACCCAAGCATCAGAGAGGTTTCTCATTCCAAATGAGAGGAGACGGTCAGGACTCTGACGGTATCGGCGTAAAAATCATCGCCTGGTCCCAAGACGGAGCTACCATACACATCCGATGCCCGAGCTCCTTCCTTCGATTTCCATGCAGCTGTGATCCTTCCTTCAGGGGAATGACAGTAATGTCAGCACAGTCGCAGATATATTTGATGATTTCATCAGATGTGAGAAGTGGTTCCAACTCAAAGGGAAAACACCGAGATATTTCCCCCTCCAGACCACGAGGCGTTATCTCAGGCTTGGAAATCAAGTCCATGATGCTATCACGACGACCACACCACCGCCCATTCGCTCACCGATCACACCGGCCTGACCTGACCCGTCTGAAGTCACGACTAATCCGAGCCGCCTAGCCCACGCCACAACCGACTGATAGCATGATGTCACGCCCGCTAACTCCTCCCGCACCACGAAGGACTTAACCTTGAAGCCTGCCATCCTCAGCCGGACGTCGGCGGAATGGGTGGGCCGGAGGGGGCGCTTCCAGGGGAGAGAGGGTCCCGCTAGGCGTGTCAGACGGACCCAGCCTCACTCACACCATCACCTCGCCGTAAGGTGGGAGGTCAGCACTTGGTGCCTGCAGATGCGCCACACAAACCTCCCTTCCCATCCGCCCCTGCCTAAACACCACTGCACACATCAGACACCGGTCCCGATAACAGAATACGCGTTCTAGACCAGACATGCAAGTTAAGATTCCTCACTCCCCCTAGGCATCCACATGGCTCACGCCCGCAGAAGCCCGCGCTGTCACACACACGCACATACACACACATACACACATACTTCCATACAACCACATCACAGACATTCACTTGCTCACCGGCTAAGGTCGGATGTCCGTCAAGCACATGCCATCGGGGCAGTCGGACGCGAGACATGATCATTATGCACTGTGCTGTTGATGATGATGTCGACGAGCGAGGGATCCATCCGCCCTTTCTGTGGGCAAGCTAGGAGGGAGGGTGGTTGTCGTTTCGCGCTTGTTGGGCTTGATGAACGCCCACCCGGCCCCCAATGGCCCCCAAATCTAAGCTCACCACCCTTTCGATGTTTCATAACGCGCAGATAGTCACGCGGACTGAGAATACGCATATTCGGCATCAGTAATGGCGTGGTGTGCGCAGTGAGGGAGCCAAGTAAGAGAAAGAAGCCCTGGCCATGTCACGGTCGTCACTGGATCATGTATCAGTTACAAGCCTCAGTACCTTGGAGGCTCCCATCCTCCGCTGGTTGCACCACATGATGGCAGACCGACCGCCGTCCAATCAGACGTTAAACACGAAGGTGAAGTTGTCAGACCTTCAAGGTGAGCCTTCGGATCGCTTTTCGGTGTATCTTTATGAGCTAGAGTTTAGGAAATGTGTGTTGGGAGGGGGGGGGGCGGCAGTGAACGACAACGACGAAATGCTCCTGCATGTGAAAGAAACATGTTTATGAGCTTGAATCGTATGTGGTGTGTGTGCTCGGCACATAATTCCGTCTGACCAAGCCGCCCTGGTGTAAGGAACCTCGGGTGAAGTCATCGCGGTAGGCATCACAAGCGCATGCCTTGCAGGGGCCACGAGTAGTCTCAAGGATAAGCATCTTCATGCGTCAAGAGAATCACCAGATTCTGCGAACTGTCAGAAGATCAGAGCTTGAAATGAAACAGAATGACATTGCTGCTATCGAGCCTTTAACGATGTCGACACCTCGATCCCTCTCAGAGTTGTTTTTGTGGTTTTGTGTTTCATTTTTTCTTTCATTGCTTTCCTCTTCCATTACTCGGGAAGACATGCTGGACTCGTGGTAATCATCTTCGTAAAAGCATAAGCCATCGCCGTTCATTACTCACAAAGAAAACAAATAACAATAAGAAAAGCATTCCATAATCGCCCAAGTGAAGTATGACTGACCTCAGTCTCCACCTTCATCTGTCGATATGTGACAAGCACACTGGCCTTGAGTTCATAAAACGAGTGGCTTATGTGAGCCGAAACGCATGGTGCTGAAGCCCAAGGTCCTCAATCACTCCCATGGGAGCTGGCGCCCGGGGCGTTGCTGCCAACTTCTTTACCACCAACAACCGCGGTCTTGCCGCCTGTTGCCTCACTGGAAACGCTGTGTGTTGTTGATGCGCCGTTCGCTTCGTCCTTCTTCCCTTGCGGCTCGCTCGAAGACCCTCGCTTCTCCTAGGTCTGGTCCGTCGTGCCACCATTCTTGTGGGTCTGCTGCTTCATGTACCGCTTCTGCTGGTTCTGCTTCGATTTTTGGGCGTATCCAGGCTCAAACGTTCGTCGTAGCTCGTGCCAGTACTCCCAGTACTGCTGACCAGTAGTGTTCGGTACCTTGGGCTTGGGCACATTCTTCCTAAAAATCGGGTTGACCACTGGGGCTACTGGTGCCAATGGTGGTGGCACGGGTGCTCCGTGGTTTGGACTCAACATGGAGGTAGGGGGCACAGGAGGTGCGAGCTGTGGCATCGTGGGTGCCGGGAAGCCTGGAGTGCCGTTGAACGCGGGAGCGCTTTGATGTGCTGGGTTATTGCACGAGGGAATTGTTGGCAGCTGCTGGTGGAAGGCGCCCGTGAAGTCGGAAGAAATCGGCCCAGACGTCGACATGAGTCCTGGAGAATGTGCTAGTCCTGGTAGGGTCACTCTAGATGGTGGTGGCAGGAGTGGTAGACCGGGCATGGTCCCAGGGCTTTGGATACCTGGAGGAAGGTTCGCAGTCAGGCCAAGTCCGGGCGGAGGTGGCAAGATAGGTTGAGGAAAGGAGCTGTTTTGAGGAATCAACGCCGAAGAGAGCTGAAGCAAGCCTGGCTGTGTCAGAGCCAAGTTTGTCAGAGGGCTGCCGAAGTTGGGCAGGGCGTTGTAACCAAAGTTTTGCGATTGGATGCCCGTGCCAAACTGTGCCTGGGCAAGCAACGGTGAGAAGAAGGCATGATCGGGAACAGGAGCCGGAGCAAGTCCGCCTCGCTTCTTTGGAGAGGCACTGTGGTCATTGGCCGACGAGAATACCTTTGCCGCGGGATTGAGCGTTGAAAATTTCGACGGACGATCTGGTTCGAAGTCTTTCGAGTCAACATCTCCATGCTGGATAGTAACGGGCTCGGAGCCAATCTCATCTGATGTGCCAGGTCTGCTCCTCGATTGAGTGCGGGTGCTTGGTCTCGAGCGTGTTGTAGGAGATGCGTAACCCGAATCGGATGAAGTGTGATGACTTCCTTTTGGCGGACATTTCTCCTCAATATGGCGCCGAGGTGCAAACTCCTCGTTGGAAGAGTACTGCGCGCTCTTCTTGGGTGCAAAGGAAACTATGGCTGGATCGTTCAGAGCAACCATGTCCGCTCGATCATCAGTCAATGCCTCAGCATCGTATCGAAGTCTGCCGAGCAAGCCCTGAAAGCGTGACTTATCCTCAGGGTCAGGACGACGATTGCGCCGCGGAGATGCGTGCTGGGAATTGACAGACTTGATGGCCTCGTCCCTCTCCATAAGCTGGTGAATCTCACGCTCCTTATTCTTCTTCGCTTTTTCACCTTCAATGAGCTCCTGGTCATTGAGAATCTCCACATTTTCAGGTTGGCTGGGCGAGTGACTGAGAGACCTTCGAGAGCTTTGGAAACCAGTCTCAAGACTTCCCAGATATTCATCCTCGGAGGTTAGATCGAAGGACAGTTCGTCTTCGGCGGTCTTGCTTTGGATGTCGGGCCTCTGCCTAGGAAACATGACAGGCTGGAGCTCACCATATATTGTACCGCGGGAGTGAGCAGCTCCATTGGACACAGCAGCCGAGATGATGAAGGCATTGGCAGGTCTGTTCGGTATCTCTGAGAATGGATGGATGCCGAGGATGCTCATAGCTTCTGCATCCCGACCGAGAGAAATACCGCTGTCGGCGTGTCGACGTAGAGTCCGTTGTCTCGCGAGATCAGACAAGGTCCCGTTGACATCCCCGTGCTCTCTGATTGAGTGGCACTCTCCATCATCTTCGACACAGGACCCCAATGAATTCGGAGTGTATGCATCGTGCGGACCCAGCGGCTCGGAAGGAGTACTGTCGTCAACAACGTTAGGTCCGGGACGCTGACTGCGCCAAGTGGGTGAATTCATCATTTCAGCAACTTTTGTGCAATATCGGTCAACGGCTTGATGCATTGGTGGGACGCCCCTCTCTTGACGTGGGTAGGCGGGTGCACTCTGGGTGGAAAGCGGGTCGACGTTGGGTTTGCTATGCACTCGAGTGTCGATGGTGAGCTTAGGCCTCACAAAACGCGACATGGCAGTATTGCCCTGGATTTGCTGCAAGGCAGACATCTCGCTTCCTGCTCACGACGGGATCCCAACACAAGCTGCCACGTTGTGTAGTCGAGTTTGCTGGTATGCTTGGAGACTGTCTCAAGCGGTGGGCAATGTGGCGGTCCTCAATTAAGGTTGCTTGGCCGCTTCTTGCAACCACAACACGTCAGTATCAAGGCTTTGTAAACCAGAACGAACGCGCGAGATCGTTTTGGAAGAGTGGAGTAGTCATGGTGGTTCTAGAGTGGACACTCCTTGCGGCATTGCGGCAACTGCCAGAGCTACTTACAGCAGATGATCCAGCTGAGTTTTGACCCTGGCAGGTGTCAAGCATCAAACTCTCGCTGCCAACAGCGAAGGGAAATAACCTGTCTGAAAATTGGCAGAGGCGAAGTCGGCTGAGAACGAACAGTATCTGGAGTTAGCGACAGATCGATGTGACAATCCAGAGTAATCGAGGTGGTGTGGATGGGTCACTGACCGAGAGCTGAGGAGACGAAAAGGCTTTGCTTCGGGGCGAAAGGCAGCAAGGCACAGTCGGAAACGGCGAAATAAGTAAGTCGAGTGTGAGTGAGGTTCGAAGCACCAGCTTTAAGAAATTGAAACTTCCGCTCAAAAACGCTGAAAACGACCTCGGTGGACCCTGAAGGAAGAAGAAGATACCCTAAACCTGCGCGGGCGATAACCAAAACCGAAGGCCAAGTCCTGGGCTGTGTGATGAGGTGCGATGGGAATGGAACGGGCGTTGCGAAGGAGTCGCGTCGACGAGACGTTCGGGAGAGCTCGCCTGTGCCCAACCGGAGAGGAAGTCGTGGGCTGGGGCGGTCAGTCCTGCTGGATGGGAAGCGACGATGGGGGGCTGCTGCTTCAGAAACCCATCCTCCTTTCACCAAATGTTTCGCAGTCGCTCAATGCGTCAGAAAAGGTCATCAGTCGCTAGCAACAGCTGCGACCGAGGTCAAAGACCAAAGTGCTGGGAGGAAACTGGGGCCTCACTTGCGACGCATAGGTGATCTGGTAGTACTCGCTCGGAGCTTGTCATCTGACAGTCTCGACAGGCTGTATGAAGGAATAGCAGGCGAGGATAGGAAAAAGGCCATCACGTATCGACTGTCATATCCTCCTACAGACGGCAACCCCATTCGCGACTGCGTTCTTCCAGGAGGTACCAAAGCAATATCTGGCACTTGCCATTTGACGTACAGCTTGCATGCCTCACATCCCCGGAGAAGTCCGCCAGTTCTTCATCTGATGTGTGAAAAAGGGGAGGCGACAGCACAACATCACAGTTGTGTTTGAAGTCCGGGGTTCGGTCAGTCTTCCTATTTTGCATATCACCGATGCTTCAAGTCGGCTGAGGAATGCTTCCACAGAGGGTGGGAAAGGCCAGAAGAGACAGGACGGTCTCGTTTCGTATTTGATGAGGTGACAGAACGCATTACCACCAGAACACGCCGCTTGAAGTGAAATAAATATGAACACATACTCAAAAGAAGAAAAGCCGACACCTAGAACAGGAACATCCGGGTAGTCTCACAGTCCCCTCAGCCCGCAAGCTGCTTTTCCCCGGCTATAAATCAACCTACATTTCAGGGCTGTGGATCCATCCATTCCCCTCTGTATTTCAACAGATTATGAGTTTACAGGCGCTCCACTGCCGGACATGTAGGCAGCGAAAGATTTCTGCGTCAGAAGGGGGGGAAAGCAAAGTCAGCAAGCTGTCTCCCAAGTACTGTTTCGCCACACAACTGGGCTGGTGACCAAGACTTACCGCGTTCCTCGTCTGGATGAAGACCGTACCAGGGCCAGTGAATTTGCACACCAGGCCCTCCCCAGACGCAAAGCCCGAGATGATGCCACCTGACGCGACCCGCTCCATCACGTACTTTGTGTTCCAGGCCACCAAGTGGCCGTTGTCGACGATGTACTTTTCTCCCTCCACGAGCTGTCACGGCTTTGTCAGCGTCCTGCACCTGAATAGGAGATCGTGGTTTGGGGGGGGGGGGGGGTTTAGAGGCGGCTCGCAAACTCACATCCTTCCTGATTATGGCGCCGAAACTCGTCAGCCACAACAGGCCAGTCCCGCTGACCTTGTAGACCCACAGCCCCTCGCCGCTGAACATGGCCTTGCCGAGCCCCTGCCTCTTGTACTCCTTGATGACGCCCTGCGTGCTGGCCAGGTACCCGTCGTGGCCGACGCTCCAGCTCTCGCTGCCCGAAAGGCGCAGACTGGTGACGTCGCCCAGGAAGGGCGGGCCGAGCAGCAGCTCCCCCGGGCCCGTAAAGGTCGAGTGGCCCATCTCGCCGCCGGCGACGAGCTTCTTCATGCTGAACTTGTACGCGCCCTTGAGCGTGATGGTCGGGCTCATGGCGATCATGGTCCCGGGCTTCGCGCTCAGCGGGCACCCCATCGCCAGCTGGATCGTCAGGATCGTGTTGCTGTCACGGTGGGCTGATGCGGTACGACCCGCCGTTGAAGGTGCCCACGTCGTCCACGATGGCCGACGCCCCTACGAAGTGCCCGGCGGGCGGTGCCCCGCCCACCAGATTCGAAGGGTTGCTCGTATCCACTGGGGCCTCCTCGTCGTCCCGCTCCGACTGGGGCGGCTTCTCGGACGGGTAGTCGCCCTCTGGGGGACCGGCATACTGGGGCGGCTGAGATGACTGCTGGTTGTGAGTGAACTGGGGGCCGTGCTGGCTGTGGATTGAGCCGGTGGAACTGTGGCGCATGTGAAGGGGCAGGCTCATGTTAGGAGCCGGCTGCTGCTGCTGCTGCTGCTGCTGCTGCGGTGGTGGCGGTGAGAATTGCTGGGGAGGTGGCGGATAAGACATGGGGCTGCCGCTCTTGGGAGGCGGCGTTCCCGCGGCAGCCGGCGGCGGAGGATAATTCCTCTGCTGATGCTGCGCTGGAGAAGAGCCGTTGGGCGGCGGGGGGTAGAAGGAGGTCTTGTTCGCCGGTGGCGACATGGGCCCTCCTCCGATGTGCCCAAAGGAAGTCTGGTGGGCGGGTGCGGACATGGGCGGCGGCGGGTAGTTCTTCTGCGCCGCGGACGGCGGAGCTGTGTCAAGGTCAGCTTTGGTGCTGGGGACCGTGGCAGATGCTTCTGATGCTCACGTGGATAGTACTGCGACATTTTTGCAGGTGAGATGTTGGTCGAAATGCAGCTGGTAGTCTGTCAGCGAAGCTCAGAGAAAAGAAGTGAGACCGTCGTCGCCGGTTGCACCACAGCTGATGGATCACCGGAAGCCCCGCACTCACCGTGGACAGTCGGCGTGGCAAGGTCTGGTTGAGGAAAGCGGACGGTGAGGCTTGCTTGGGCATACGCTGCTGTGTCTGTATGCCAGCTGCGGCTAAGACGATGCCCTCCGGGATCACAACTGCTGGGTCTAGTCGAGAGGGGATGATGAGCAGGCGGTGGCAGCAGAGGGGTGAAGTTGAAATTCAACGAAACCCCAGCGCCATGAGACGCAGCGAGGCGCGGTTTGGAGTGGCCTCGCAGCCTCCCCACACACACCCGCCGCGGGAGGATTTCACCTCGTGGATGGCGCCGTTCGACGTTGCAGCGAGCAGCGGGCTGCAGCCAACAGCTGCACCATGTAGAAGGGAGACCACAGCAGGTGTCGCCGGGGCTGCTAATAATAATCCAGGCCCAAGCTCCCAAGACAGGCAGGGCACACGGGGGCCGTCCAATGGCTGTGCCGCGCAAGCTCTGGACTCGGGATGGTGCAGGGGGTGAGCTTCTTCTGATCGACCTTGGAACCTTGCAGGCCCCTCATGCCGGGGACAGCTCGGCGCTTACAGCCTCGGCGGCTACAGATTGCTGATTGGCATCCTCAGGAGAATCGTCTCGCCCCCAAGACTCTTGGGGATTGAGGTATCTGCTCATATCGTCTCCTGAGCATTAATCCCATCTACAACAGCGATCAGGATGGATTCTCCACAGCTCACGATATCATCCGCTATAAAACTGAAGCTCCATGACCACTGCAGTCCCACCCTGGGTACCGTCATCGCTGAACCTCGCTCCTTGTCTCCGTGCCTCTGGATATCAGACTGTGCTGGCTGCAGCTGTGAGGCACAGCTTTCAAAACCCTCCACCCCTCCGTCGATACCGTAGCACGCCAGCCGTGTAAGCTGAGAGGTTGCATCTCACCAAGACAACGAAACAAAGGCACATCCTGGCATGGCCGAAAACCAGAAACCAGAAAAGTGTTCACTGCTCCGTCAGGGCCGTTGGGTATTATGCAGAACCTATCACCCGTCTCGAGAGATTCATCAACAGCAGCGTCGCCGTCACGGCTCACGGAATACACCATTTCCACCTCAGCGGCCGCGCATGCGTTGGTTGGTCGGCTCAGTCCCGGCCCGCGTTGTATTCTCTCTCTCTCTCTCTCTCAGATTGATCCATCACTCATACTATCCATATACGTTCCTGCCAGGGTGCCCTGCAAAAGCTTGTCCAAGGCTCGAATCCTCCGTCTTTGGTCTTTAACTCGGCATTGCTCCCCACCACACTCAAAGGAAACAGACACAAGGAAACAGGACACAAAACCAGTGCCAAAGTACGCTCAGTAGAATGCCTCCCACACACCGTAATTTTTGGTATGCATGGCAAAAATCCATCTCAACCCATGTTACAAAAGACCTCTCATCGCAATGCATAAACACTCGTATCGTGGGTAGTGATGAACGCCCGGACGCCATACCTTTCTCGTGTTTTTGGGTATGCCCATGTGCCCCAACGCCGTCCCGCAGTCCCATTACCATCCCAAATTATGTCTTGACCTCCGCATGGAGGTTTGCATCATTATAAAACCATAAAAGAAAATAAACTCCGGCCCTCGATGCTTCCCGGCGACTGGATAGAAATTATATTAAGTCATGAATGCGTCGAACCCAGTCGATCGTGTTTCCACCTCCGCTTTCCATTGAGTCTGTCGACAGGCTGGCTTCTTTTGGCTCAGCCGCCAATTTGCGATGTCGGGATCGAGATCAGGCCTCAGGAGCGGACAGTTCACTTCTTCCCCGGGGAGGCCACCCCGTTAGAGTGCTCCTCTTCCTCCGGAGATGTAGTTTCTGCCGCCGAGGCCAGCCCAAGATCCCCCTTCTCCGTTGACGGGTCCGCCGGTGTCGTTGCCTCTGGTGTGGTCTTCTTGGTCAATACGCTCGCCGTCTCCGGCTCCTCGGGGATCGTCGCGAACTTTTGCAGCACTTGCTTCAGCGCAGGCCGCCGGATCGGCTTCGCGAGGAACTCGTTCATGCCCGAGTCCATGCAGTCTTTGACATTGCTCGCGTCAGAAAACGCCGTCAGCGCAACTATGGGCGCATTGTAGCCCATCTTGCGAATCAACCTCGTGCTTTGCAGCCCATCTAGGTTCGGCATTTGGATGTCCATGAAAATGACGTCGAACCGCTCGTTGCGCTCAAAGTTCGTCTTCACCAGCTCGTATGCCTCCTGCCCGTCCTTGGCGATAGTAACGTCGTAAACGTCCTCAAGCTTCAGCATTCTGCTGACAACCTCAATGTTGGTGTTGTTGTCGTCAGCCACCAACACGCGCAGCTTCCCCGCTCCCCGCTTCTTTTCCATCGCCTGGTTTATCATCGCCATTTTCTCATCATCGCTCTTGGGGGTTTGTGCTTTCACGGCCGCGAAAAAAGGCTGGCTTAGACCCACAAGCCTGGGCTGTTTGTCCACTACGGGCGTAGCCGTCGGCTTCGAGCCCTCGGCAGTCGGCCCTTCTATCGATTGGCGGCGAGTTTCGATGTCCGCAGATACCACGCTCGGCGGTCGTGAGCCACCCATGCTGCTGGATGCCGTGCTGGAAGGCCTGTATCAATTAGGTCAGTCCCCTGCGTCCTCCATGGCTAAACGGGGACGTATGCTCACTTTTCTTTGGTATATTTCAAGGGCAATTGCACGGTGAAGGTGGTTCCGACACCCACTGTGCTCCTCAGAGAGACGTTGCCGCCCATGAGCGTGGCTAGCTGAGAGCAAATGCTCAAGCCTAGGCCGGTGCCGCCATATTTTTTGCTGAGCCCCAGGTCCCCTTGCACGAAGGGCTCGAACACTCGTTGTTGCATGTGTTCGGCGATACCAGGGCCGGTGTCTTCGACTTCAAATTCGAAGAGGTATGTTTTGGCATTGGGTGGCGGCGGCGTCGCAGGCCTGTCCATGGTGGTTTGGTGAGTCCCAGACTTCGGATCCGCCGGGTTTATGGACAAGGCAGTGCCTTTCTGGACCTGCGACTGCACAATGGACGACGATGCGCCTCTAGAGCTCGTCGAATTCTGTGAGCCGGATCCCAGGCGACCTCGACCGCGACCGGGCCGGCTCGAGTTTCTCGACATGGACGACGCCCTGCTCTCATCGCTCGACTCTACTTCTCCCAAACATTTGATACGTACCATGACCTTGCCACCCGCGGGTGTGAATTTCAAGCTGTTGCTCACCAAATTGATCAGGACTTGCAAGATCCGGTGCTGATCGCCCCAGAGGCACATGTCCTTCAGGCGCCCTAGACCTTGAGGACCAACAGCCGGAAGACGCTTCTCTGGATCCTGGCGGTCTAGGTCGATTGGCCGACCATCAGGGTCATTACCGACAAAGTCGGCTGACAGTGTGATGCGGCCCTCCTTTACTTGTTTCTCGAAGATGGAAAGAATCTGCGATCGAATATCTGCCAGCCGAAATTCGCGTTCCTCTAGGCTTACTTGATGACCGATTTGGTTTTTGGAGAAGCTCAGTAAATCGTCGAGAAGATGGAGCAAAAGATCGCCTGAGGTATTGGTCAGCAGTCATGCTCTGTGACAGGTTTGGTGTCGAGCTTCTTTTCTAGGACAAAGACGGACCAGATTTGTACAGCGTCTTGAGGGACTGCTTGATCCTGACAATGTCATCCTCTTCCATGCACACTGCACACATGCCCATAATGCCATTCAGGGGTGTTTTGAGTTCGTGAGAGATGTTGGCAATGAACAAAGTTTTGCTCTCGTTTGCTGCTTCGGCTGCCTTCTTGCTAATTTCCAGTTCGCGCGTTCTCTCGGCGACTTTTTCATCCAGCGACGTGTACTGTTTAAGCAGTTCCTACAACGCTTCGAGTTAGTACTTGCTGGTGACGATTTTCACCAATGACTGTGGGGTTTCCTGGAGCATTTCCGGAGACAAATCGATTTGAAGGACAGCTTCGGGGTGAGACTCACATCGCTCATTTCGTTGAAAACCGTGGTAAGCTCAGTCAATTCGTCCGTAACGATGTGCTTGTGGCTTTCGACTTTGCCCGGAATTTTGAAGACTCGTCGATGCGAGTCACTTTCAGCATCTGCGAGGAGGCGTCTGCGGTGATGACGTCCCAGCTTACGCGATATCCACGCCGCCATGCCTTTGACAGACTTTTTAGAAGTTGTACCCGAGAGCATGCCCTCCTCGTCATACGTATTGAATCTCTCAAGGTCGTCATGGTATCCTGGTGGAGCGACGGACTTTTCGGTGGCATCTTTCAGCCGTCTGATCGGCATTACGCTCCAATGTGCACACGGAAAGACAAGGATCGCAACTGCGCCAGCAGTACCGAAAACACATCCGAGTAAAATCTTGCGCAGCGTGCTGATCGGAGCCGTGGCTTCGGAGCGTGCCTGCTCCACAACAACCGTCCAGGTGAAGAGCGAATTTTGTGGCCGGGCGAACCCGACCGACACATCAGTCCCTTGCTCGTTTCTCGTCCACAAACTCGAACTGGCATTGTTCACGGTCTCGACCTGCCTCGAGAATTCCGTCATTACGGCTGGATAATCCCGCAGTTTAAAAGGACGGTCGTAAAGTCCAGAGGCGTAGCTGTGCTGGTCATGCCGCCTGGCACCTTTGGGCGCTGGTATCGGTGGAAGTACAAAGCGCATTGGGACGTCCCCGAAGGTACCGAGGTCATCCGGCGTGTACGTCGAATTGCTCGACGGCATTGATGCGTTGAATGTATTTGACGGAGCCATTGGGCCAACAATCAACACGACACCCGTATCACCCAAGCCTTCTCTTGAACTCGTCACGTTCACGAGCGGACTTCCCGAAGCGACGATGGTCATGTACCCCAGGATGAAGCCTGACGTTGTTATTGATCTGATCGGCTAGGTATTGTTAGTAAAGGGTGACGCGAGGAGCAGGAAGGTGTGTCCCAGCTTACGATGGTCAGAGAAATCAAAGCAAAGGTCTCGTTTATCATGAGAGGACCTAGAAACAGGCCATTGTCTTGATTCAGGCGAACGCCAGAGAGCGCGTAAGCGGCAAACCTATTTGTGCTCGGATTGTTGGTGCTCGGCATACCCGTATCATTGTAAGTAATGTTCGGATACAGTGACGGCGGGAAGCCCCCGTCTGGGTCACCGAGAAACGGCTTGGTGCCATTGGAGTTCTCGTAGGGAAGCTCGATTCGCGGAGTCGTCCTGCCGGTGGCATTGAAGAGACCAGTAGACGGCCCCGTGGTGTTCCTAGAAAACACTTTGACTTGGTACAAGTTCCCTCCGCCAGAGCCGAGAGCACTTTGAAAATCAGTCCTTGCAGAGTCCCAGTTTTCGTCGGTCGTATTGCCTTGGTAGTATGTGTTTAGTGCTTCTTGGATCAATATCCTCGTGGATATAGTCGAACAAGTCGTTTGGACAAGCTGGACTTCGGAAGCGATGCGGGTGGCCTTGAGTGAAGCTGTCAGGGCCAAGCTGCTCGACTGTACTTGTATTACTGCAATTGGTCAGTTTTGCTGGCAACAGACAGCTCTCTTGGGGTGCGAACCAAAGTTGTTGACGAAGATCCATGTTGGCACGGATACGATGGCGAGCCCGACTAGTACAACGAGAGTAACACTATGGATCGAGTCAGTACAGAGACCTTTAGGCCAATCAACCCAGGAGCATATTAGAAACTGTAATTTAGCAGTCCTAGCGATCGACCTAGAACCAAGGCCACCACTCTCGTCCCTAACAACAGGGGCAGCGGAGAAACAGCCGGGCCACAAAATGACAGGCACTGGCGGGACAGCCCCGATACTTACAGCACAGCCAATTGCTCTCGGATGGCAATTCTCATCTTGCACCTCATCTGCGATATGCCCAGGCTATGAGGGGAAGCCTGCTGAAGAACCTCGCACGGTCTGCATTCTTTGAAAGCTCGTCAAGAAAGAATTTCCTGCCCGCAAAAGCAAAGATTGAAGCCTTTTATTTTCCCCCTCTCCCCTTGACTTTGACCGAAATCGTGAACGCCCGGCGGGGCGGCGGCAAACAGGTCGATGATGCGCGTTGGTAGACTCGACTCGTAAAAGAGTGGTTCAGTAGGAAGCTCAGTATTATCCGGTCATCTCCTGGCGCTGGGCTGGTGGGCGTAGTTGAGCACCGAGCCGACAATGTTCCGCCCTGGGATAGCTTTCGCAGTTGGGGGAAGCCGAAGAGCCAATAGACCAAAGCCACCACGGCCAATACCGCAACCACAACGACGGGCACGACCACGCTTACAACAGCCTGGTCGAGATGTCGAGATGAACAGTTGGGAAGCCGGGAGGTTGCGGGTGTGGATTGAAGTGACGGCGGGTCTCACAGCACGCGAGGCACGGCAAGCTGCAGCGCTGTGCAAGGCTCGTGGATGGTGAGCCCAGGCGGAACGGCCGGTGTACGCGTAGTTGCCTCGCTCCCGTCCCCGGGCAGCCTCGAGGCCGTGGGAAGGTGTCGAATTGGCGGGTCGACAGGCAGAAGGAAGCCTGGACTGACTCGTAGGGTTATTGTGAGCCGTAGAGGACTGTGCTGCAGGCGAGTGCGGAGTGAGTATGGGCGTGTGGGCTGGCGATTTTCAAGGGGGCCACAATGCGTGTGAAAGTGTATGTATGGCTGTCTGTGCCGTCTGGACCAAGGGTCCGCGGGTCCACGGTTGGACGGGGTGTCGATCGCTGGATGTGCGGATTTGTAGGGGCGGCAGTCCGTCAGTAAGCCCAGTCCGTTCCAAGCCAACCTGCAACACAGAAATGGGACCGGCTCGCTCTGGGGTTGGGTCGGAGGGAGGAGCGACGGCGGCTGTGTGACAAGTGAGTGGCCTCTAGAAAGGCGAGGCGTTCTTCTGGTTGGCACGGGGTTGGCGTGTGTCGAGGGCGAAGGGGCCAAGGGGACGGGTGCATTGGCAGGTTGGCACAGATGGCAGACTGGCAGATGGGATGAATGGACGGGAAACACAATTGCGTCCAAACTGAATTGGAATTGGATTTGATAGCTGCAGCTTCTCCTAGGGCTGGGGGGCCCCAGTCTTGGTCTGGGGGTAGGATCAGTACAGTGCACGCGGCGGGACCGGGGAGCTGGGGAGGAGGAGCACGGCTGGTGGACCGCGGGAGATCAGACCCAGCATGAAAGCCTCGAGGCTGCACCGGGCCCGAGGGACGGTGGAGGGCACGGTGGGCCGCCATGACTCTCTGTCTCCTGGGGTTCAACAGTGCTGTACGAGTAAACATAGGTATCTACTGGACTATTTACTATCCCACACGCAGCCTTCTCTGTCTCTTCTGTTTCTCCTTCCCTCATCCTGCTCCCCCCCAGCAGGCTACCGGCCCTTCGAGGGATTCAAAGAGACAGATCGGGAATTGCTGAGGACGATCGGCCCAATGTTCCAATTCTCCCTCGCCGCGGGCCCTCGCTGGGTCTAGACCGCGTCCACGTCCCACCCCAGCCCATAACACGCTAACCACCATTGGGAATATCACCCCCAAGACATCCAAGCGTCGCCGTGCTCCCGTGTTCTCACTGGCCCTGGCGCGACGCCCGCAAGCTGCCAGAGGAAGGAGGACACTCCCACCCATTCAGCCGTTTTGATTTGCCACCCGGCCCTCGGCGGGCAAAGACAGATCGCGTCTCACAAGATTCCTTCTCGGGTTTCAACCAGCAACTGCAGCCAGGCCCATCGCATCGCACCGCACCAAACGGATCCAGTCTCACCCTCACCGCGCGCCCTGTACTGCACAGGCGTGCGCACGGTACTCGGGCAAAACATGTATTTACAGTACCTAATAGACTAGTCCAGCATCCGGCACACTACTGTGTACGCGACTGAACCATCAGCCTGCAGGGGCCCCAGACATTCAGAAAAAGGAAAGGTTCCTTCACTCAAGCGAAATAGGGTCTACATTGCGCACAACGGCCGCTAGGACAACATAAAGACAAAGACCAAGGGCAAGTGTTTACCACGGACACCCTCGCAGGGACGGGGTGAGTGGGATTGGGATGCCACGCCCCTTGCTGACTGCATATATGCACCCGTCCCGCCCGGCCTGGACGTCTGATCCTGCCCACACGTGAACATGTCACGGGGTGAGACCCGTTACATTCAGACGTCTTTTAGCAGGCGGCTTGTCGGCCGACCAGGACCGGGTTCACCCGAAAGAGACAATGTGGCATCAGATGGAGGGAAATGCTGCTCGTTGAGGACATTTCCCAGGTCGGGAGGCGGAGATGAAGGAGGCGAGACGGACGCGGAGCATTTCCTGGTAAAACTGATCTCAAAGGCCGTATTTATAGTATTTGCTATCGTGCAGGTCCCGTTGCCATTTGCCAGACGAGTCTGTCATGTGTCTGAAGGTGCATCATCACTCGAGGCGAATGAACAATGAAAAGGGACGTTGAGGGATTTTTTGTGTTTGTATATATATATACAAAGAAATATGTATTCAAAAGAGATATTCGTGTTTCGTAATAATCATTAAGCCGCACCTAAGGCCTCTCTGAGCACTTCAAGCCCCGGTTTCAAACGGCGATCCCATTCCGTTCCCATGCTGTTCCCATTCCCATTCCCTGTAAACCCCGTCCCACCCAAAAGACAACGAGCGTGCTTTGAACCTTGCGAGCATCACATTTGTCTGTCTGTCTGTTGGTCATGACTTTCCTCGGGTTCTGTTCTTGTCCCCTCTCCGCAGTAAATATTCAGTCCACCCATCCTAGTTGCCACTGAACACGAGCGGCACGAGCAGAGAGCTGCTGGACTCGATGGTCTTGTACGTCTCGGCGCTGTTCTGCCTCGTGCCGGCGCCGAGCAGCTCCCGGATGCGCAGGTGCGTCTTGCTCCCGTTGTCGGGCGGGCCGGCCGGGGGCTGCTCCCGCATGGTCCCACCGCTGTTCGTCCGCACCAGCGCGGGGTGCTGCTCCAGGCGCGGTCCTTCGTCGATCTTGTTCATAGCATTGGCCGCATTCAGCTTTCCAAGCTTACGGAGAACCGCATCGCGCGCCTTCTGCAGCGCGTTGGCCCGCGCCTCGGCGTCCTCGGCGAACCGCAGCTGCATCTCCTCCTGCTCCAGGTTCCGCTGCACCGCCGACAGCCCATCGTTGACGTTGTGGCCCTGCCCGTTGGCGTGCATCAGCGGCGCGCTGATCGAGTTGCTACTGTCGCCGCTGCCCCGCGAGCCCGGAGGCATCGGAATCGACGTCGTCGACGCCTGCGGGTTGTACACCGCTGGCTGCAGCAGGACAGGGAGTTGTTCCGCCGGCATGGGCGCTGAGATGTTGAGCGGCACGGGCGGCAAGGGGTGCGATGGTGCCCTGACCAGTCGAATCTGACTCTGGCTGGCGTTGCTGGACTTCAAAGTGGTCTGACTCATGCTCGCGTTGCTCGACTTCAGAGTAGTCTGGCTCTGGCTGGCATTGCTTGACTTCAGAGTGAGAGTCTCATCATCAGAGCCAAGTACCTCTGGCAGCTGGATCTCGTACGTGTTCGGGTCCATGATCTGGCAGGACGAGTATGGCCCCGGGTCTGACGACTGGCGCGCACGGCGGAGCACGTTCCTGTTCTTGCTCGAGTGTGATGACGAGCCGGAGCGCTTGTGGTGGAGGAAGCTGGCGAGCGAGTGCTTCTCCTTGAGCTCTTCGTTTGAGCGAGGAGGATAGTAGTCCTGGCCCTCCTCGTCTTCCGACTGCTCGCCATCCTCGCGCTTGGGGTGCCAGGGCTTGCGGATTCTCCTGCGCACGCGCTTCTTCTTCAACTTGCCGCTGAAAGCCTCCTCGGCTCCCACTGTATCCAGGCTTGCCTGGCTTGCGGTAGCAGTGACCGGGCGGTGGGGCTCGTCACTGGCGGTGAGTGTTCTCTGGAGGCTGAGCTCTTCGCTGAGGTCCTCATCAAGCTCGACAATAATCTCCTCCTTGTTGTCAAAGTAACAAACGTCCGCCTTGGAAGGATTACGGCTGAGGCCCACAAAGGCTTCCATCTCGTCTTCAATCTCATCAAGCAGATCCCTGCCCACAGCTTCCACAGCAGCGCTGGGATGACGGACGGCAACGTCGTCATCCTGCGCAACACTGCTCTTCGGGGTCCTTGGGGTCCTTGGACTGCGTGGGGTTCTGGGTGTCCTCGGACCCACCGTCCTGACGCTCTCGACAGGACTAGGGGGAGGCATGTTATCATTGCCTTCCATTCCAACCGAGTATCTCGACCAGGTATCGCTCGCGCCCTGCCGCTCTTCTCAGAGGGCGCCATCAAAGGCGCAAGCGCCTCATCCCAGTTGCCGCCATTGAGCAGTACCACGTTCTCAAAGTCAAACTCCTTCACCGTCGCCTTGTGGCCTTCGACAAGCCTCCTCAATTGCGCCTCGCTCATGGATGCATTTCTGACCTGCATGTGCTTCAGGCGAGTAAAGCGCATGGGCTGCCTCACACCGGGAGTGGCAGGCAAGGGGCTCATGGGACTCGTGACCTCATTGAAAAGCTTCTTGCACTCTCTTGGAGGGTCAAAGAGCGCGTCTTCCGCCAAGGCCAAGGGGCAAGGACCCTTTGCGCCAGTCCAGGTGAAAGAGAGCTTTTCTACGCAGTCGGAGAAGTTGCGCAGGTAGTCGTCAATAATCTTCAGCTGGTCCAGACCCGGGCCGCTGGGGCCATAGAAATCCCATGCCTCGACCGAGACATGGAGCTTGCGGATCTGGCGCCATCGCTTGGCCCCGCGTGGGGAAGCAACCAAAGCCAGGGCCGCCTTCAGACTTTAGATACAGGAATGCTGCCGGATGTACGCCGGACAGCGAGAGCTTGTTTAATTTAGTCAGTTGCGGTGTGCGCTCGATGGCTATCCTCAGGCTGATGAGGGCGTAGTCGACAATGTCTCTCCTGTACCGTTCCCTGGCGTCCTGACCAGGTGTCTTGATAGTCAGGTGCCTCATGTTTGGCAGGTTCTTCATGGCATGGATGAAGCTAGGAACGTTTGTCGAAGCATGAAAGAGAGGTGGATATTGCTGGGTGAGAATGTCGCCCAGTTCCGAATTTCCATACTTGGGTCTCGTGAGCGTGCTGGTCATGGAGGTGTGCGGTGTGTAGAGGTACGAGATCTCGGATCCCGTTTGTGGGTGGATGAGTGGCGGAAGGAATGTGGCATCCGAGTGTGGAAGGTAGAAAATGATGTGCTCGACATGATGTCCGATCCTGCCCAGGGCCTGTATCCGGGACTGTTTGGTGAAGCTGTTGGGGTTGAAGCTGAGATGCACGCGCTGGAACAGCCGGCGCGTGACAAGGTTGCAGCAGGCCGAATTGGCCAACCGGACTGAGCAAATATCCGACTTGCTCAGGTTCGCGAACAATCGCTCGCGGATTGACTCAGACGCCCAGATGCTGTAGAAAGGGTGGTTTTCAGAAGCCATTGTGTTTGCATCTCTCCCCCAATTCCTAATTGTGTTGTTGCGCGCGCTTCCTCCTAGATCCTTGATGTGTCAAAACCTGTCGGGTGTCGGTGTTTTGGTGTAAGTCGTGTGGGTTTGTTCGCCGGTGGTGTTCTGTGTCTGATTCGCCCAAGCCAGCTTCTGAGCGCGAGAATTGAATTGCGATTAAGATATTTTCAACAAATATAAGCACATCGGCGGGCAACTAAGCCAGCCATGGATAGAAAAAGAATTGCACAAGAATCAGGAGACAAGCAACGGTCTCGATCCGCGAGGAGGAAGTGGGATTCGTTCGTCCCACTGAAGCTATTCGCTTCCCGTGGGCGCGAACGGTTCGCAGCAGTTCGCACTAGTAGGTCGACCCTTCGATCTTAAGGTTCGTGATAATGATATTGTGAGATTTGAGAACCGGTTTGCTGGCAAGCAGGTGTAGGGCGTGGGATGGACTTTAGTGATCTCGATGGAGAGTTCGTGAGAGAGCAGTAGTGTGTGTGCTAGTGACTGTTGTGATGGACGAGGCGACCTGGCGGTGAGCGTGCACAAAGGGTTCAAGAGGCATTCAAGATGGACGACGGATTAAGGTTGATTCCAACTCAGAGGAATTGGGTCATCAGGGTGGGTGATAGGGTGGATGGTCTATAATACCCACTTGGGCATCCAAAATGGCTCAACCCAGACGGATTGGATTGTTTGCCCCCTCATCTATGCTGCAGTGCAGTGTACATGGTGCTGTAGACTGATTGTTGATCCGATTCCCACAGTTCCCCCTCGCCGGTGTCCTCGAATTCCCATGTACTGCGCGCTGCATGTACCTGTGGCCCCCTGCTTGGGTTACCCTCGTCGAGGGGTAGGCCGTCGGTGTCGCTCTTCACTCGAGGAGGCTGGAAACGAGTGGATGGCGGTGACTGAATGACTCACCTCGGCTTGCAGCAACGCCCTGCAGTAGCACCACTGGTAGTAGTGGGAGCCATGCATGATGACCCGCTTTCCCGCGTCGAGAGTTTTTCTGATGTCTCTCTGGGAGGCCATACGGCCAGTTCTGGCGGCATGAGAGACAAGCCAAGTACCTTGCAGACAGGGCAGGGCAGGCTGCATGAGGGTGGCGGCTGTCCCGTCAATCGAGGACGAGAGAAAGGAAGAAGGCCCCCCTCGCGTGCGCGAGGATGGAGGTTGGCCGCGCCGCATCTCCTCACTGGCCCGAGCTCGGCCACTTGCAGGGCAGCACTTGTCAGGCCTGTCAAGGCCGGTCGTCGGGTAATATGCCGGTCTCATCGGACATGCGGTCTGGGCCAGTCAAACGGGGTGGTATCGTGGGCCCATGCTGCGAGCCCAGGGAGGGAAGGTCTTGGACGACGCCATCGACGCGGAAAGGTGTGGCTGGGTCAAGGTTCTCGAAGAGGCAGAAAGAAGCCGGACGAGCCCGCCAGGCCAATCAAGCTGCGGCAACGCGAAGCTCGCGCGGATTTGACGCGCAGACGCGGTTTAAGGCTGGACGGCTTTGGGGTATAAAGAAACAAGCGCTCCCGCTGCCGGCACCACGCTGCGTTTCGTTTCGTTTCGTTTAGCACGGCCTGATGGTGGTTAGGGTTGGCGATCAGATCTGCAACAAGGACGATGACAGCCAGGCAGCCAGGTTGTCGGGCTGGCGATTTTGACTTCAGGTCGTGGCGGCACTGAATGCTACTGCCAACACCCTGGTTGTCGAGTAATTGCATGACGTTGAAGAGTCGGGGAGAGCATCAATGAGCTGGTATCCGAGAATAAGGCTGCAATCCAGTCCAGTAGGAGGTGGGACATCAGAGGACAGAGGACCAGAGAAACGAGAGGCACCAGAGGACCCAACCGATTCCAACCAGTCAGTCCAATCCATCCACTTCGACGGGGACAAAAATAATGGGGGGGGGGGGTTTGGAGGTTCGGAAAGACCAGACCGGACCCAGCCAACCAAACCGCCAGAGTGGCAAGGCATGCCAGACAGACAGAACAGTAGCTGCCAGAGCAGCCACAGCCGACGTCGTCCAAATGCAGGTGCCATCATGCCACGATCCCCCTCCTGCCCCTCCCTGCCCACCTCCCTCCTTCCTGTCCAAGCTGGCACGCCGTCATCCATCGACGAGGCAAGATCCCCCAACAGCCAGGCTGTGCTCAGTACTTAGTCTGCTGTGCACGAAGTTACCAGTCCGCCCGCCCATCCATCCACAATACCTGGAAAGGCAATCCTCATCCGAGCAATGCCCTCCCCTCAGCCTGCCACGCTTCTCGTTTCCCCACGCGCCTATCACCCTCCCGCCAGGCCGCCCGCCCGCCCTTGAATCGCGATAGGGTCACCAGAAGCCCACCTGTGAAAGTTCCGGGGGATCGCCAATGAACCCTGATGACAGCCCCAGGCACACAGACTGGCACCCGGCCGGCTGGCAGGCAGGCAGGCTGGCAGACCCTCGGCCTGGCTCCGTTGTCTCTTTTCCGTCTCACTGCGGTATCATTCCTCCCGCTGCACTAGACAATTTACGACCGTACTCCTACTGTAGATACTAGGTGTGCTGCCACAGTATACTCCACCAAGCATCCCTGGGCAATCTGTCTGCTGCACCTGGCCCTTACCCTGCCCTTCCCCACATCTGCTGCGAGGTGATACCGCACTATCCCTGCCGGCGTCCTGTACCCATCTGATGTTTCTCTGCCGTTTCTCTTGCGGTCTGGTTCGCTCCCAAGCCCTGATCCTATTCGACAGCCCAGGCAGCCCAGGGTCCCACACGAATTGTGGTTTTGTTTCGAAGCGGGCCATCTCGCGGGAAACAGGATCAGACAAGTCGAAAATATCGAAATCTCGGGCGCCGAATGATGAATCTTGGGGGAGCGGGCTTATTACTCACCCATTGCCCGTACACTGTGCCGTATACCTGTTCAGGATCATCACCATATCCAAAAAGAGACGTCTACACGCAGCAGACCCTCATCGACCGGAGACCTTGCTCCTGGCCCCAATCAGGGGTGCCAGGCACGCCTGGGAGACTCTGCGCCAAGTGCGTATTCCACCAGCTCGCTGGCCCCATGTCGTCCTGTCGACCTGACCATTCAGGCATTTCGAGATGGATACACGTACATACTAGCGGTTGCGTATCTCTCCTAGATCCCCCTTAGTGCTGGTCCCTGGTTTCCCTTTTGGGACACAGGCGCAGGAACCCTTTCGCGACCGTCACCCTCCGTCAGCTCGACATGGTTCTCTGATCCGTGGCGCAGTTGCTGCTGCGGCCTGGCCTTCAAGCTGTCTGGCCGTCCCCGTCCGTTCTCAGTAGCGCCAGATCGATTGCTAGAGGTCATTGGTTGGGATACCCGTCAGACGGCAGATCTAAACTGCGGCAGCTCTTCAAAGACAACACAAACAACAGACACAGCTCTCCCCAGTCACGTGCCAGCAGGAGCAAGTTGTGACACCATCCCACTGCTGCCCAATGTGTCGGTGCTCAGAGCAATTGGATCGCACGATAACCAATTGATCCTCCCCGGTCATCAGCAATTGATGAACAATTCCCCGGGTCTCCAGTCGATCGGCTCGGCGCCAATTGAACAGCTGGGGTGGTGCGACGCGAGGTAGATCGCGAGCCAAAACCCCGCGAGCGAGCGAAGCCTCTCGCTCGCGGATAGTCGCATCCCATCCTCCCTCCCTATTCCCTTTTCTCCCAATGTCTCCATTTTGAGCTGGCATGACAGTGGAACCGACCTGTCAGAAAACAGCAAAGAGCCAAATGCCCTCTTTTTTCCTTCCATGTCAATCCACGGCCTTCCAGAGCAGGAAAGCCCCCGGCTGCAGCGGAGAGGGGAGCTCGGCGAATTTTCCCTCTGCCCCCTGACGGATGCTTCATGAAATCTACACCGCCAGAAGCGCCTTGAGTCCCTGGCCCCTCCCCGGCCCCCGACCCCCCGGCCTCCAAGGCGAGGATCGGACGGGGCGCCGACCTCGACAATCTGGCAATTTACTGTACTCAATCACTTCTTGTCCGCCGAGACTGCAGGTGCCAGCGGTACTGCAGCAGCGGCTCCTGCGTGGCCATCTCCCCAATCTGCTGAACCCGGGAGATAGCCAGGTGGGTCTGCTTCCCAATCGCCAGCGAAGGAGCGGCAGTCGAGTCGCGCATCAAGCTGTCAAGTCAAGCTGTCAACTTGTCAAGTCAGCAGCAACCTGTGCGCACGAGGGAAAGATTGGCCCCTGCCAGCAGATAGGTCGTCCACGTCGCCTACTGACCCAGTAGGGTTGTGGGTTTACCAGCCATCTTGCGCCGAGGTTGTGGGAACAGCTCGTCCTCGGGACTGATTATCATGCTACGACAGTGAGGGGGGCCGGCCTGTTGGGCGGCTGGCGGCATTGGGCTGGCGGGAGTGCGGGCAACATCACGAATGCGGCGGTGCCGAGCATCTCGGTCTCCCTAGTGTCCCACGTCGCTTATCGGGCGTTCCCAAGCAAAAGCAAAAGCAGAGGTGCCCAGTGTGGATCCGAGGGGATCATGACATGACACTATCGTCAACTCGAACAAGTGCGTCGAAGGAGGAAGAAGAGCGGGGAGGAAGTGGAGGGGATCGGGCGGGTAGAGACAGAAAGGGAGGCAGGGTAGGTAGTCAGGGCGACAGACCGACAGACAGACAGACATGCGAAGACAAAGAGACAGACGAGACAGACGAGACAGACAGACACAAACAGAGAGCGAGAGAGAGACAGAGTCAGGAGTCTGGGAGCCACAGGCTGGGGCCAGGCTTCGATCTGTGCCTGTGCCCGAGTCGAAGAAGCTTCCACGTCGATCCTGCCCCGTACAACGGCATGTACACACTACACACTGCATAGGCAACATGCATTGGGCCCCATCACGTGGTGGGTATCGGTGCGAGGGAGACACTTTTGCGCCGGGAAGGGACTCCGCAAATATCGCGAGATAACTGTATTTTGAGGCGATCGAGGCGGGTTGCCAACAATGGGTCCCCCAGGAATAACAAGTCTCCCCTATTGATCCTCACGCTGCACGGTACACAGTACGTGTAGAAGCAAATTGACTCGACGACACTTCCTGTCCTCCGAACGTACCACTCCTCCGGATACGGCTAGGAGTTGGGCTCCAGAGGGGCGGCACCACCTGCTCCTCTATACTAGCTAGTATCGTGAGACAACAAACAGGATGAAGAGGGGTGATAATGGGGTGCTGCCGGTCTCCCGGTCTGTCCCTCTGCCGTTCTATCCTAGCGTCCTCATCTCAAAGAGCGCACCAGTGTCCACGTCTATCCGCATCAAAAATAGCGACCAGTAGGAGCGGCCTAGCGCACCCCCATCCGTATCGTGAGATCGAGGGGGAAGTGGAGGAGGGAAGGGGAGAAGGAGAGATGGAAGGTTCCCACACAGATGGGGCGCTGGAGACTTAGTCTACCTGTCCCGAGGTCGTCTCTGATCTCCCCCTCCTCTCATCGCCTAATATCTCTCATCTCATCTCGTCCTCCCGAAAGGTATCCACGTCCCTCTGTGTCGGGTGGGCAGGCTGGTGGTGGGTTTGTCGCGCCTGCAGCGGGTACGCACAAAGACCCCGAGGCCGATGTTGATTATGTATGATGATGATGATGCTGCAGTTGCTAGTTATGACGATGTCAACTACTAGTGCACGGGGGAAAACGTGGCCCAGGATGACAAATGGGTGTGACTGGGTGTAACACCACAAGTGTGTGTTATTTGCGGCCGTTGTACGGAGGAGCATCGTGCTCGAGTCTTGGCACGCTGTCTCCTCGGAGTCATCTGGTCCAAAGTTCTGGGGAGAGCGTCTCCGGGCGATTTTCAGTATCTCGCCAGTGCCCCGGCGTCATCGAGTCATCCTTTCCCTTCTCGTGCAAAGAGGCTTTGCGACATTGCCCTGCCACATGAAAAAGTGTTGAAACAATAGGCTACCATCATTCGACCAGACATCATGAAAGTTTAGACCGGTCATGCGGTCAGCCTTCTTTTGTGACTGCGGCAGCGGCCGACGGAATGCTAGTCCCAGTCGTAGCAAGGAAGCCAGCCATTACAATTGCAGTAAATAGATACTCGATACAAATTGGCATACAGGATGCAGCCTCCCAGGCTGCCTGCATGATGCAAAATTCCTTCCCACCAGCCTCCGGCCACCCAATAGCCGGTGCCGCACTCGTGCATAAAGGTTGCCACACTGCACCGGCCGGAATGGCCTTGTGTCCGCCCACGGCGGGAAGAAGACGCGTCGTTGAATGGCAGACGCGCCCCGCGCCCGTGTCAGGCCGTGTCAGACCCGGGTCCGTAAGCGTGCTCGCCGGCGCGACGCTTATTCCGTAGTACGGAGGCAATTTCTTGGCCGATCCCCCATGGCCGATCCCCTTTCAGCTCGAGGCTTCCCCAACGCCAACGCTCTTCCAATCGATCTCACAAATGTGCCTCCAAATCTAAACAAAAAACCAATTTGTCTCGGACTAGCCGCTGCGATGACAAACGTCCCATGCTCAATGTAGGGTTGTTCGGCTTGCCCCTTAAGGTATCCTCAGTCACACGAGGTGCGACAGATAATGAAAATGCGCCTTTCACACGGCTGCAGCCAACACAGGACTCTAGAGATGGTGGAACAGACTGGGCTCAGCCATGTTATCCTATCCGAAGGACACACGAGATAGGGCCTTCATTCCGCATCCGCCAGCTGCATGATCAATCTGGCCGCCAGGTCCAGGAAGGGGAACGGGCTTGTGACCTGCTTCTCCTCCAGGATCTTACCATCAGGCGTCTCGTAACCGTCACATTTGAAATCAACGAGATACGAGCCTGGCTCTGCCATCTCGTAGATTTGAATGTCCAAGCGCATTGCCACAACCTGGTATTCGTCGTCGCCGTTCTTCACGACAGCAGGGTCCTGCACGATGTCCTCGGGTAGGTGCGGGCCCTTGCGCAGCTTCTCTGTCTCCCATCGCACCTGGAGGTGCCAAGGGTCAGCTGGAAGCTTGTAGATTTTGGTAGGGTCGGTCGATCGGCTGCTCGCCGAGCGACGGTGAGAGCGTTCCCCGCCGTTTTGGTCGTCCTCTGGACTGTGCACTTTTTCGTAATCCTCATCTGGGACCCAGCTGCAGCCCAGTTTGGATAATGATTTGTAGATGACGCCTAGAGCCTCCCACGGCGCGTTACGCGAACGAATGCCGAACTGCCATCTGGTCGCCTTGGGCTTCTTCGGGGGATTCACAGGTGTCATACCCTGCGGTCTCTTGGCCGAATCTGCGCTGCGAGCATGAGGCTTGAGTCGACGTAGAGTCTCTTGGCGCTCATCTTCAGACCGAGGATGTCCAGGCTCCGGTAAAGCAGGAGGGGCTGGTGGGTCCTCGAAGCCGGCCTTTTCCCGCTCCATATAATCTTTGTGATACGCAGTGAGACTGCTCGGCAGGATGCCGACCTTGGACACGTACGGGCGTGGTGAGGCGGAGGTGCTATTGGATGTGATGGACCGCGCAGAGCTTGCAAGGGGGCTTGCACCACGGTCCATTTCCGTGCTCAGCGACTCGATGCCTGAAGAGACCTCATTAACACTGGGCGGCGATGAGGGGAAATAAGGGTTATTTTCTCCAAGCAAGGCTAGCAAGTACAAAAGCAGTCAGCTATGAGCAGGGCTCAGGCCGGTAGAGGCTCTCTGGACAATGCATGTACATCTGTACTCAAGAAACAAGGCCGACCAGACAGACCTACGGGGGGGATGCGAGACACTTACGATTAACCTGCATCAGCTTATTTTCGCGTACAATCATGTACGCGTCCTTGATAGCAGACGGCTCAGCAGCCTCGAGCGCTTCCTGTACATCCTTCTTGCCGTAACCCATCGTTTTGGAGATCTTCTCCGTCACTTCGTTGTGGAGCTTTTCTTGCACCTTGGTAGGGGCGTTCGGGGCGATGTCTGAGGGCTTGATGGCCTTGTCGGGATCGATACCGGTATTGTAGAACGGCTCGACTGGCGGTGCCAGGTACTCGGGCAGGTTCTTCATGAACCAAGGATCCTGTCGGATTTCTGGGATAGTTGCACGCTGTACTGGATTGACCTGAAGCATCCGGTTGATCATGTTGGCAGCGCCAGGACTCATCCACTTAGGTACCGCATACGTCCCTCGTGCGATCTTTGCGAAGAGGCTGGGTATATGCTCATCGTCGAAGGGCAGCCTACCAACCAGCAGCACGTATAGGATAACACCACAGCTCCACACGTCGACCTCTGGGCCGGCGTAGAGCTTGCCTCCGATGACTTCTGGCGCGGCGTAGTTCGGGCTGCCGCAGCTTGTCTTGAGAAAGTTGCCGTCTGTCATGATATTGCTGAGACCAAAGTCCGCGATCTTGACGTTCAGTTGGTCGTCCAATAGCAGGTTCTCGGGCTTGAGGTCTCGGTGCACGATCTTGTGCCTGTGGCAGTACTCGACGGCGCAGAGCATCTGCTGGAAGAAACGCCGTGCCTCATCTTCCTCCATACGGCCGTGTTGCACGATGTAGTCGAACAGTTCTCCGCCGGCATACTCGAGGACCATGATGATCTCGTTGGAGGTCTTGATCACAGTATAGCTGATTACGACGGTCAGCAGGCGGTGCAGTCACAGGGGCGACAGGCGAGGACGCCGACGTGACATCCGAGAGGAAGGAGTGGGGCCAACTTACAGCTTGATGATGTGCGGGTGTCGCAGTAGCTGAAGGTACTCGATCTCGCGCTCGACGCGGCCGGCCATGTCGCGGCTGATGAGCTTCTTGCGGGAGATAATCTTGAGGGCGACCTGCTGGCCGGTGCTGCGGTGCACGGCCAGCTTGACCTTGCCGAAGGAGCCCTCGCCGAGGGTCTTGACGATGTTGTACTGGCCGATGCGCTGGTCTGTCCGGACCTTATCGGGGATTGGCCCCGCAGTGGCCGAGGCGGTCGGCACAGACGCGGAGGCCATGTTGGAGGAGGGGTCCGGGGCGTCCGGGGCGTCGAGGGCGTGGGCGTGGTCGTAGTGGTGGTGGTGGTGGTGGTGGTGGTGGTGGTGGTTGTGGGCTTGGGCGTGGGCGGGATTCGGGTTGTCTGGAGTCTTTTGAGGGCTGCTGACATTGATGCGGCTGCCTCGTCGGATCTGGGAGGAGCTCAGGGAGATGGAGAGTTCCCCGTCGTCGATGGCGTAGGAGGGGCGCGGAGGAGCCATTTCTTTTGTGGCCTCTCTGGCAAGGAACAGCAGCAACAGTAACCGCAACAGACAGTACTGTAGTACTGTTAACAAGTGGCCGCACCGCACGCACGCACGGCACTCGAGTCGTAAATTGTGGTGCCAGTTTCCTGTTGGCTGTGGCCAGGTTTGGGTGGAGGGGGCGGATGGAGAAGGGGTGGGATCGCTGACAAGGGTGCCTGACGTCCTTCAGGGCTAAACGAGGCCCACCTAATAAGCTGCTGTACAGAAGCAGGGACGGAAGGCATTCGCGGAAGGGCGGGGTGGCTGGAGGCTGGCTCTGTTTGTCCCGCCTGCCTGTCTGCCTCTATCGATGATTGCTTGGTTGCTTGATAGACAGATAGATTGATTGATTGATTGCTTTGTTTGTCTTATTGACGGATCGATTGACCGATTGATTGATTGATTGATTGATGTCACACGCCTATGCGATGTGGTCAGAGAATAAGCACCTAGGCCACAGTCTATTGTAGACAGACCATCTTTGTCTACACACGCAGCTAGAATAGTGGGCAGACAGACACAAGCTTCATCATAGTCTGCAGCAAAACCAGGCGATCCAACTGGGGCATGACTCACTGTGTGGGAGAAGGCACCAGTCGATGGCCAGGGTGACGCCACGAGTGTCTCTCAATCCTGCCGGCCGCTTTGGCTGTAGGTCAGGCAGAGCATGGGAATGGTTGTGTATGTGTTGAGGTGGTTGTGCGCTCTGGGAGTGGAATGGACGGATGTGCCCTCAACGGTTTCTGTCACAAATGACGGATTCGTCGTGGTACTGCTGTAGACTACAGCCTAGTAGATTTACTGGTAGCTTGACTGTGTGGTGGCAGTGGCAGATGATGACGCCCCTGTACCATACGCACCTTCCGCAGAATGCGGGGCACACTCGACCAGGGAGGGGAGGTACCCGGGAAGGCGGGCTGGGCTGACACGGCTCGAGATCATGGGCGAATATTCGGACCAGAGATGGCTATCAACCTGGGATGAACTCGTCTTGTAGAATGGGGAAAGAAGTGCCGAATAAGGTGGACAGAAAACGGTCTGAAGGTTACAGAGGTTTGAGGGTCATAATTGATCTCTGCATCGACATATATTACATATATATAGAGAGAGAGAGAGAGATAGAGAGGGTCAACTGTCTCTTCAAGTCCTTCTTACGGCACCGTGCTGATGCCACTCCGTACCATGTTTCAAGATCAAGCATCTATAACTCTTTGAACGCGTCGCAATCCAGTCTGCAGCATTGCATCATGCTACGAATCTTGACGGGGCGTAGCCATCGTGGCGAGGCAAGCAAGGCGGCTCCTCATTCATCACTCTTTCTCTCTGCTGACCTGTCCCTCGGCCGCAGCAGCCACCGCTACCTACCTGGCCACAGAAGAGCAAGCATCACCAAGCTGAGAAAGAGGTCAGGGCCACTCACTGTTGACCAGGCTGCGCGTCCTGCAGCCGTCCCGCCTATTGGACGTGTGCACATTTCTCTCCCGAACCGACAGCACCGAGCACCGAGCAACTGCATCGGACCCCTCGCGGATCGTCGGTCAATGCCTTCATGATCTACCACCCCTCGGTGACTTGGACGGGCCCGGACTGACCCTTAGTCTATCCGCCGTCGTCGTCAGTTGAGTGAGCGATCAATCGATCAGTCACTTAATCCCCCGCCACCCTTCCCTTCCATTCCCTCTCTCGGCCCGTGCCGACTAATAGACAGACCGTACCGTGCCGTGCTTCGGCTGTTTCTGCTCTCTTGTCAGCCATCTGAACATGCCGCAGGCCCCCTTTACCTGTTGCACGAGGGGCGGGACGACACGTCAGCAAGACATTGGAATTGGTTGAACAAGATCGGGTGATCTACGCCTTGTGCGTTGCTTCGACAGCCCGTAAGCCCCCCCCCCCCCCCAGTGGTTTCCGTCTGGTCATTGGGCTCGGGGGTTTCAAGCCCGCACTGCCATGTACACATGTAAGGCATAATAATGTCATCTTGAATATCACTTGCAACATTAGGTTTACTTGGCCCTCTGATTTCGTCACGTCTGGTGCGTAATGTCCTCCAGATTATTCATGTACGTGAGGATTGCCCAGATACTGCTTTAACAAGTTGAGAGCACATAATTTTCCGTCACCAAGACGGGACCGATCCACCCCACCGTCATCTTCTGGTGTGCTGCCGAACTCCCCGGTCGAGATAGTTGCGTACGTAGGTCATCGCTCCCCGCAACGCCGATCAGAACCCCCATAATTCCATCGTCCTGTTTACCGGTTCATGCTGAGCAGCCCTTCAATGTATTTCCTCGTATCAACGCCGATCCCCTGCGCCAGCCGGCTCGCCCCATCCGCCCAGCCCGCGCCGCCACCAGTCACCGTGAGGCTCACGCTCCTGCCGTGCCCGCCGTGGTCGCTGGCCTTGCGGATGAGGAAGATCTCCTTGCTGACAGACATGGGCGGTGCCGCCCTGACGGTCGAGGTCTGAGACGACGAATTCGTCGCCTGTGCGCTCGTGGACTCGCTGGTCTCCTCGTGGCTGCTTCCCTCCTCTCCGGAAGACGCCCTGTCGGAATCCGTCGATCCGCGCGCTGCCTCCGGCTCCCGCTCCAGGATCCGGCTCCAGACGATCCACCATCCGCGGCTTGTCTTGCACGTCCGCTCCAGCTCGGACAGGTCGGCCCGGGTTGCCTTGTACAGGTTCAGGATCTGCATGTGCGTGTTCAGCGCTTCGACGCGAGACCAAGGCGGTTGGTCTCCGCTGCTGTACGTCTCCGCCGCATCGGGAATATTGGGGATCGTAGTATGCACCGTCTTCTCCTTGGGGTCCCACACAAGATCATAGATTGCCGCAGAGGCGCTGCCTGCGTCAGGCTTCTCTGGCCTGTAAGCTGTCGAGTTGCCCAATGCCTTCCGCAGCGGTGCGATCTGGTGGTGCAAAGAGCGGTAGAGCCCTTCAAAGGCCAGCGACTCCGTCCGGAGCTCGAATAAGAAAGTAAAGATGAATGGCTTGATGACATATACCACTACGCGGCACTTGTGTGTCTTGTTCCTGTCCTGACTGTTGAACGATGAGCCCGTCGCAGGATTTGCAGAGGATAATTCGGTATCATGACTGCCGAGGACCTTCGACATGTGCACTTCTGATTTTTCCGAAACGTCAGTCTCCAGTTCCACGGTCACTGTCCTGAGAACTGTCCGCGGATTCGCATTTTCGTCCCAAGGGTGCTCCCCGAATCGCCTAGCCTCAGGGTCGTCGACCCAACCCTCCTCGACTTCGCCTGTCAGACCAATAAGAAAGTGTCCGACAGAGTCATCGCCCTTGGAAGGGCCTTTCGGGGAGGTCGGGCTGTCCTTGGTCTCTCCTTTGGATTCAGAATCTCCCCCGAGGCTCCAATACTTGCCATAACCAAGCTTCAAGTAGTCCATGTACTTCTCAATGCCGCCGGATTCCGCTTCACCCGAATTAGATGGTGGCTCTTGACTCGACTTGGAGCCCGAGCCCGCCGGTGCGTCACGCTGCTTAGGGGGAGGTGGAGCAGCGGCAGGTTTTGAGGACCGTTTGGGGTTTATGAGGCTGGGAGGTGGCTGCATGGGCCGTTCTGAGGCAGTTTTCCTCGAGCGTTCTTCCGACACCCGTGACTCTCTTCTTGGCTGGCGGGTGGCTTTTGGACTGTCGAGCACGCCATAGGCATCCTCGCCCCAGGTATAGATGTCTTCGACCCAGTGCGTGATGTCACCTACGGACTTTCGGGACAGAGATCCAACTCCTAAGAATACTGCGCCGTCCTCTGCTCCGGGCTCGCTGCCAGAGCCCAGCCACAGCGCGTGAGATTGCTGGCCTTGTGTCCGCCTCTCCCATGAGCTAGTGGACTCCTCCGGCTTGTCGCCGGCGAATTTGGACACGATGATATCGACCAGACCGTCTGTCCTATGGACAAACCCCTCCAGAACCTCTCGTTCGCCGCTCCCGCGCTCTTCCTCACCGACTCCTATGCCCAGCTCACCACTGGCGGCAATTTTGATGCCGCCAAAGATGTTTTGGACAGGGTTTCCATGGAGCAGAACGTCCCAAGTAGAGAGGAAAAGATCCCAATACCGCGCCAGAGTGGTTGTGAATTTAGACCGTTTGATTCTCATGAACAACGAGCTCAGAGACGAGTCATGGTGAAGCAGGAAGATGGAGTGCGCCTTAAGCATGTCCTGGAGAAGGAGGGCCGCGGGCTTGACCTCCCGTGACGAGTGCTCGTACTTGTCCTCGGTGGAAGCTGCAGCACCGCTTTGCTTCTTCGAAGTCGGTGGCGCAAGTGGCAGGCGCGTGAGGTCGATGCTGGCCAAGATCCACCATCCGGGCTCCAGCTCGTGCAGGACGACCCTCGTCTTTTCCGTCTCGATCGAGTCGACGGCCTGGTCGTCTGAAAAGTCCTTGCTGAAGCTCACCATGCCCTGGGCGAGGCCAATCTGCCTCAGCCGCTCGTTGCGCTCCGCCTGGGACACATTCTCGGTGGGTCGTGCCTTTCGATGACGTTTCCGTTTCTGAGTCTGGGTGTCGACGGATGAGTAGTAGACAATCTGGTCGTCAAGCGTCTCGTCTGTATTGCCCAGACTGGGGTTGAAGATGGCCAGGAAGCCGACCTGGGCAGGGACTATCACTGCCGGTGAATCTGCAGCCGTCGAGGCCGCCATCTGGGCAGGATGCGTCACCACTACCTTACTATTTGGACTGTGGTCAAGAGAGACGTGAGGAGGCCAGTCTGGCTTGGGAAGAAGACACAAAGCTCCCAAGGCTCAAGGTCCGGTCTGCACTGCAAGCTTTACCACAAGAGCAGCAGTGGTCAGCTTGAGATTGGCGCATCCATTAGGAGGAGAGGATGGGAAGTCGAAGTCCTGGGATTAGGCCCCGAATTGTCGTTGTGTGAACGGGACAAACAGACTGCGAACCAGTAGTGCAGCTAATGGCGTCACCCTGGCAGGGGTGTCCACCACAAGGGGCGCGGTCCAGAATCCCTTTCGGCCCCGCTGCCGTCCACATCGGGTGCAAGCATTTCGGCTGCCAAGATCGTAGGCGGTCGCTGCGGCTCACGCACACTTGCCCTCCTTGTCACATCCCATCTTGTCGTCAAACCAGGCTCAGCATCTCGATTTCATGCAGTAGTCAGACTTCTGGGTAACACCGCTCACTGCGTACAATTCGGTAACACCACGCATATGTGTGCATGTCTCAGGCCATCGAAAGAGATAAAAGCCTGGACAGATCGAACACCATGCGAGGGTGGTGGGCCCACGGAGAGACAGAAGAAACATCGCAAAGAGACACAACACTGCCTCTGAGAGACCACAGGAACATGGAGAACTCGCCAACATAACTCAAATTGCAGAAAGGCACTTTTCCCCTTCCATTTTGACAGCCAGTCCGATGTCTCTCTCCATTCGAATTTCTAGATAGATCCACGACAGAACCTTTTTTCTTCTCGGGCCCTTCAAGCGGCAAGCCAACGACGCGAGGGACTCTATCTCTATGTTTTGGTTGTTTTCCCCGAAATTCAGGACCCGGTATCCTCCTGGTTTGGTCCTGGATCTCCTCTGGCACCCATTCCACCGGCTTCTAACCTATCGCTCGCTCTCTGGACCTCCTTTTCCCAGTTGCTCAGACCCACAATCACCCATTCTAGAATGCCCACCAGGTACAGTGCAACACACTGCCCAATCCAAAGACCTGCGAGCCCCCAGCCGTGGAAAGCAAGGTATATCCCTCCCGGCAGCGCACCGCAGTAGTAACTCACAAGATTTACCACCGCGCCCACCCACTGTCGTCCCATTCCCCTGAGGACGCCGCCGCACGAGCCGTTCAGCCCGTCCGCGATCTGGAACAGGGCCACAAAAGGCATCACCTTCGAGACCAGCTCAACGACCCTGTCGTCGTCGTTGAAAAGCCGGCCGAAGACGTCCTTGGTCCCCATCAGCACGGCGAGGATCAGCGCCCCCATGACCGTGCTGAGCACCGCCGCGCAGTGGGCGGCGCGCCTGGTCTCCTTGGGTCTCTGAGCCCCGAGGAGGTTTCCGATGCGCGCTGAGGCGGCGACGCCGAGCCCGAACGGGACCGTGTTGATGACCTGGTCCGCAGTCATTATCACGGACTGCGCCGCGAGCGGGATGGTCCCCAGCCTCCCGGCGGCGAGGGCGACGATCTCGAAGGCCCACCACTCGGTGCCGACGTGGACCACGCCCAGCAGCGCGAGGCGTGCGAACGGGCCCAGGTGCTGGAGTGCCCTCCTCGGTGCGAGGCCGCCCCAGCACTCGTGGCCCTTGATGAAGACCGTGTAGGCCACGAGCAGCAGGAAGGACAGCCAGTAGGATATGCCGGTGGCTATGGGCGCGCCGTAGAGACCAATGCCGAAGACGTGGACGAAGAGATAGTTCAGCAAGGCGTTGAGGGGTGAGGTGATGAGCAGAGCGTAAGTGCCAGGGCGGTAGATTTCTGACCGGGTTAGCTCCCACGACGTGCTGATTTAAGAGGTGGTAGGGCCCTGCTCACCTTGGGCTTGAAGGTATTTCTTCATTGCCTCGAACCACACATATCCCAAGCCACCTGGGATCAAGCAGCGTAGGAACATTGCACTCTGGACGCATATATACTCCTCCTGTCCCAGGGCGCGGAAGATGTGCTCGGAGAAAGACCATATCACCGCCACGACAACATAGAACAGCGAAAGCACGAAGAGTCCTCTCTGCAGGAGAACCCCTAGGTCATGCTTGTCAGTCGACCCCGTAAAGCTGCTCGACGCCAGGGTGTCCAGCGCAGTCGTGCCTCCCAGTGCGATCAGCCACGCCGTCGACATGGCGAACATGTAAGAAAAGGCTGCCGTGGCCAGCGCCTCCGGGGACAGTCGGCCGACGATGAGGACGGAAATGGTCTGCAGTGAGTTCTGTAGCGTGTACGCCAGGATCACAGGGACCGAGGCCTTGGTCAGAAGCCATATCTCTGCCAGCCATGATCTCCACGGTGGAAGGCCAGGCTTGACGGTCTCGGCGGCGACATCAGAAGGTGCCGAGTCGGTGGACGATGGCTTTGGGAGGAGCGCCGAGGTCTCGGTGGGGAGACTCTCAGTGGGGGTCACCGTCTCGGAAGACGACCCACTCGGCATATTGTGTCAATGGTCTCTGTGGGGGTCCCTTTTCGCTATCCCTATAATCCTATTGTGTCCAGATTGTAATTCTTGCATTCCAGGGGGGAGGGGATTGGGAGGGGGGCTGAAATAGATTGTGGGTGTCTTAACCACAGAATTGCTCCAAATATTTAGACGGCAAGTAGACAAATATATAAGGCAGTCTGACAAGATCAGGCGCACGTGAGGAATTGGTGCAAAGAAAGCATTCTTAACGACCAAGTCATTGTCAGTGACGAGCAGTAGCCATGCAGGGTAATCATGGTGTCCCCGGCTGAACGAGCAGGACAACAGGCAAGATAAGGGCACCCACGAGTCTTACTTGCCCCAGACGACCAAGAGTCAACCAGACCGCTGGCCAGTGACGGGCAAGCTAGGCGCCATAAAAAAAAATGAGGGGGAGATACAGTAGATAGATAGGGTTTGCATTGAACAGGTAGCGGCCCACGGCATTTGTCGAATGCATCACATAACGGCCAGACATCCGGTAGCCCAAGGGTGCCGGGCGCATTCGCACTAATGCCTCCTAGACCGGCGCCGACGCCGCCGCCGCCGCCGCCGCCGCCTCTCGCCCAGCTCGTTCGTTCCCGTGCCTGGCCGTTGGGGCCCAGCCATGGCGGCTGGCGCTCAATGATTTATGTAGATGCACGGGAGAGAGTCAGCAACTATGGGAAATGGCACCACTCGGCTGCGGTGTAAGCCTCAGATTGTGTCTCTCAGCTGGGGCATTCCGAGTCATCGATCTGCACGCCATCCTCGGCAACCGGAGAGATTGGGTTCGAGATTGGGACCAGGCGATGGAAGCCTGCAACTTGTTGGAAGTTTGGACGAGGATGAGGCTTATTCGCTAGCACATGCTTTTTCCGAGTTCGCGGTCGGGAGGGGGGGGCAGCCCGTTGGAACTGCAGTGTGTCCAACGCCTTGATGACGTCGACGTTGCTTCCAAATCTATAACACCCCCGCCCCCCACCCCAACCTTGCAAAACGGGTGGGTCACCCTGGCCCTTTCTTAAAATGACCTCAAACTGAGGGCCGTTGGACAGAAACAAAAAAAAGAGACCGAGAAACGTAGTGGTGCTAAGCAGGTACTCTCAGTCAGTCAGTCTTCCGACATGCAAGAGACCAAAGTTATTTCTACTCTCCTTCCTGTTGGGGGATGACTAAGCACTCCCCTCTCTTTTAATACACTATACCTTCCGTAGCCCGCCTAGCATTAGCTTCTCTTAATACATACATACACTCTGCGAAATACTTTAATTAAATTGGCTGTCAGCAACCCCATTTAATTCCCTGATTTAGTTTTAAAAGCCTTTATATATTTCGTTATATAGTAGCTATAACTTGATTTAACTTCTCATCGCTTTTACGCTAAAATTTAATTATTAATTTAATACTAACTGCTCGCGATTATTTAAATAACTGCATTCCCCCAGCATATAATTAATTTAATAATCTTACTAACCTTGGCTTAATTGGTTAAAGGCCTTAAATGTTATTAATAACGCTTTAAATAATTATTAATAAGTCTTATACTTACTAAGCTATAATATTTATTAGCTTAGCAGCTTTAATAAACTTTTAGCTATTAAAACCCCTTAATTAAATAACTTTTAACTTTAATTTAAAACCTCCCTATAAACAACTTTATAAGTAAGGCGAGAAATAAGCTTTCTTAAGATATAAAAGGATGTTTTATTGCCGTTAAATTGCCTTAATTAGAACTAAATTAACCTCTTAAATCTACTAATGCGTTAAAATCGGCTTAAGAAGCTTTTCCCGTTCTTATATAGTTAATATTAGCCCCCGCTTTTACCTAAAAGGAACTTTAAGTATAACTTATGGTAGTTAAGGCATTAAATTATAACTTTCTTTTTAGTAAAATATAATTTAAGAAGGTATGAAGTATTAATTAAGCCTTATTAAGCTTCGTTAACTCCCTTAATTTAGTTTAATAACCTTTCTTTAATTTTTTGCCTTAAAATTTCCTAAGGGTTCCTTAATTTTAAAAGCTAGCTATTTTCTATAGCTAATTCCTTAATTAGAATAAATTTAATATTGGCTTGTTCCCTTTAATTAAAGTTAATTAAAATAAAGGATATAAAATCTTTTTATTAAAATAGGCTAGCGAAATGGTAAAGGCAGGATTATCTTGAAATTATGCTTACTTATTAGGACCTAAGGATTACTTTAAGGAGTTTTGTTTTAAACCCGCTAAGCGCTTTATGTATATTTAGCCCTTAGCTCCTTTTGCATAAATACTCTTATATACTTAAGGTAATTATTTCTTTAATATAGCTATTATTTATATTATTAAGCAAAATATAGCTTTAAAAATGCATTTAAAACTTTATTTTATTATATTAAATTAACTCTTTGCTTAAATTTAACGTATTATAAAGGACTTTAGCAAGGTAAAACGCTAAAATTAAGTAATAGCAACTTGCTATTTCTTTGCAAAACCTATAAATATTACTTTCTTTTTAAAAGCCTTTTTTGCATTAATTAGCCGTTTTATCCTTAATTTTTAATAAACTTCCTTTAAGCTAAAGAATTATAAAAATAAATAAAATATAGGCGGCTAGCCTATCTACTCCCCTTATTATAAGCATTGCTATAGCTTTCTTTATTTATTAGCTAAAGATCGCGGCTCTCTTAGTTAACACCTTATCCATAGTATTCCCCCTAAATTGAACATGGAGAACAAGATTAATAATTACCGTTAATACCCTTGCTAGGAACGCTCTCCTTAATAAAAAGCTTCTTATCCTTAAAATTACTCCTATTATAGCTAAAATTATTATACTTAGCGGAGCAGTTTAAATTAAATATCTACGTTAGCTTATAAAAATGATTTATACTTAAAGCTAAAGATATTTAAGTTTTATAGCTTTAAAGTAAATATATATATTGCTTATATTTAATACTTTATAAAGACTTATAATAAAGTTATAGTCCTTGCTAACCTTTTTATTAAAATTATCTTAAATTTAAATTTAAATAGCGCTTACTAATTTATATTATTAACTAAATATAAGTAGGAAGATTTTATTAATAACTTAGGTTTATAGGAAGCTAAGCTTTATTAGCGGTTTTATAAAAATCATAATAACCTTATAGTTAAAGTAAATAAGATATCCTACTTTTTTAATAAGGAGGATGCTTTACCTTTATGTAAATATATTAATAATAAAATTTATCTTTATAATAAAGTTAAAGAGCTAAATAAGGATACTTAAGTTTATTAAATTTATATTAAATTAAATCTTAAGTTGCATATAATAGTTACTTTATAAACTTAATATAATAAGCTTAAAGATTTTAAGCAGCTTATTAATTAAAATAAGTATAATATTTATTAAAAGTAATAAAAGAATAAGGAAATAAAGAAAGCTTAAAGCCATAAGATTTATAAGCTATAAAAGTAGCTTATTGCCCTTTAAAAGAATAATAATTATTATAGAAAACCTAAATAATTTAATTATTTTCTATGGTATAATAACTAAAAATAAGTTCCTTACCCTTATTGTAATGTTTATAAGTAAACCTGTAATTATAACCCTGATTATTCATATAATTTAGCATATTTATGCAGCCTTAGCTATAAATATAAAGCAATATATAACGTTTTGCTTTTAACTAGGAAGATAGCTAATAATCTTATAGCTAATAAAAATAAAGGGTATAGAAATTATTTTAATTAAACTGCTTATAATAAGTTAAATAGGCTAAATCGCTTTACTTATAAATATTTTTCTTTGCAAAATTATTAAAACGGCATTTTATGATTTTCTTTGTAGGTATATATTATAAATGCTAATGAAAAACTTAAGATCCTTTTTTAAAAAGTTTTTAATAATATTTAATAGTTTTATGGTTTAATATGGAATTTGCTTAATATAGGTAATGGTTTTGGATTAAACCTTAATTTAAAATTAAAATAGGAAAAATAACTTAGTAAATGCCCTTAAGGATATATTCGCTATATAAAAAGTCCTTAGTCTTTTTTATTTTTAACTTTATTAAAGCTAATATTATTACTAACCCTTTAAAATAATTTCTTTATAGCTTATCTTTATAAAAGAATAATAAAAAGCTTAAGCCTATGTTAATATTTATTTCTATATTTAAATTAAAGATTCCTTTAAGATAAAATAACTTTATTATTTTAATAATATATAAAGATGCCATGGAAAGCATTATTAATATCGTTTTCTTGCATTTAATGAAATAAGATGCATTTTATCCTTCTTATTTTCTATTTAAGTTAAACTATTTTTACATTATGCTTATTACGCTTAATAGAAAGCTTATTAATAATATTCTTAATATTACTTTAAGTGCTTTACTTATATCTTAAGAAGTATTCTTATTATATTATCTTAAATTAAAGTATAAATTATTATAAACTCCTTTCTTTTTAATTAAAATTAAAGTTAGCCCTATTATTACCTATAAGGTTAAATTATTTATTAATATTCCTAATTAAGATAAGTAATCTTAGCTTATTAAGAAAGATGCTTATATTATTAATAGCTTATTTTATAGCTTATTTTTTAATCTTTCTTTCTTAAAGAAGCATTAACTATATATATATTAAGGCCCTTTAAATAGTAATAAGTTAATTGCTATTTTAAATATTAATTAAAAGATTTATGTTATTTATATTAAATACCTTTTTGCTTAATATAAAATAGCTGCTATTAAGGTAATTTATAAATGCCTTATCTTGCTTAATAAAGGTTTTAATATTTAAATCCGTTTTTAAGAACTCTTAGTTTAAGCTTTTAAGTACCTTATTAAACCTAAAGTTATTTTAAATTATTATAGCTTAATCTATGGCTTCCTTATTAATAGCATTATAAATAATGCCGCTATTATTCTACCCTTTTTTAATTTTAAAGATTAACTCATAATGATTTGTAAAGGGTAGCTTCTTAAATACTTAAAGGCTGTATTTATTGCTCTTAACTTAAAAACCTTTTTAATATAAAAGGATTTTACTTTAATTGCCATTCCCTTATTAAAGATATTTAATAATATACCCCTTAATAAGAAAAAGGGATGATTTTTAAATGGCTACCCCTTTAATATACTAATCTTAAATTTATAATTTAACATTAATAATGTAAATATAAACCCTAACTAGGGCTTTAATAAAATATATAAGATTAAATAAATCATTTTTTAATATGCTTAACTATTTTAGTTAAAGCTAAAATAATTTAATAATAATGTGGAAATAAAGATTTCCTTAAAATTAAATGTTAATCTTAATAACTTAATTTAAAAGCTATATAATATATTATAAAAAGACTGCAAAGCCTTTAATGAAATTATTAATAAACTGGTTAAAATAAGTATAGTAAAATTAATCTAGCTAAGAAAGAATTGCATGGCTATAGCATTAGCCTTTATTATTTAGCGCAATAATAAACCTTAAGTAATTATTAATCTTTATTAAATTAATATTAAGCTTATTCTTTATAGTTATTTATTACTTTAATAAAACGATATACTTAATTCTTTTAAAGGCTATAGTGTATTTATTATTATAAATATTCTTAAAAGCTTTTTTTAATAACTTATTATCTTTAGGGATTGCTAGAAGACAACCTTTATTATCCTTTATTAAAGCCTTAAGCATATAGCTATAGCTATTATAGGTTTTATAATCTCCCCCCCCTTTTTTTAATACTATATAAAGAGCCTTTTTAATACATACTTTTAGGAATTTATATTAATTTATATTAATAACATTATAATTTTCTTCCGCTTTATTAATAAATATATTTAATACCTTAAGCTTATCTTTATAGTATTAAAAAATAATGGCTGTATAATGTTTTTACTAAAGTATTATTTCGCTTAAGCTAAATTAAAGGCTTTTAAGCACTATATATTTAGGCTTAAACTTTCTATAATTATAAATAAGATAAAGGCTATTTACAATCTTAAGATATTATTTAATCTTGCAAAATTAAAATAAAATATTAGCCTTATGGGTTATTATTATGATTTTATCCTAAACTATACCATTATTGCTAATTTATTAAATAAACTTAAAACCTTGGGATTTAGAGGTAGTTTATGGGCAAACCTATAGAGAGATATCTACGCTTAATATTACTTATTTCCTCCTTAAGTAATGCATTTTGCTTTAAATGCAAAGCCTAAGGAACTATAAGTTTGGGAGAAGAAATAAAAATATTATTAACAGCTTTAATCTTATTTCATTAAGGCCTAAGAATAGCTTAAGATAGCCCTTATTAATTGCGTTAATTTAGCCTTTTTAAACTTTATTAAACTATTTATTTTCTATGTAAATATTAGCAGTAAGGGCATTAAAGCTAGTTTATATTAAATTTAGGTAAATAGCAAAAGCCAATCTATCTTATTCCTCTCCCGCACCTTAAATTCCATAAAAAAGAATTACTTTGCACCGAAGTTAAAGATGCTTGGACTTATTTAAGCCTTGGAAAAGTATTCGCTCTTATATTCCAGGTGCCGACATGGTAACGAGGCCCTGAATTTACATTATCATGCCTTATAGTGCCTAAGTTAACGAAATCAAAACCCACCTCCAAGCCTTATCTAATAAGGAAGTTTATTATAACCTTATTAAAGTTCGCACTTAAATAGCTGCGATAAGCAGTAAATAGGATATCGTAATTCTTTATTTTATTTAAAATAATAATATAGGATTTCTTTTTAAAGCTAACCGCATTAATATTATATAAATGCACTTTAAGTACCTATTAATTAATATTTTAAATAAGAACTTTTTTATTAAGCTTAAAGGATAAAATATAAAAATTATAGCTTAATATATAGCAATTTAAGCACTTTATAACGTATATTGCAAGGATCTTTGCAATTAGGGCAGCGTTTATCGTTAATGCTATATTCCTTATTATACTATTAAAAAGGTTGCTTAAAAGGATTATAATAAGCTTACTTATTTCTTTTATAAATTTAAGAGTTATTATACCTATAATTATTAAGAAAAGGGTTTGCTTAATCCAATTATAAACCTTAATATCATTAACCTTTTGCAGTAAAATATTAAGTAAGATTATAGCGATAAAAAGACCGTTAATTAATGGAAAGATAATGAATATAACCCTAAGGTAAATCCTCTTATATAGCTTAAAAAAAATTCTTAAATAAACTTATAGAATAATAATAATAATATTAATTATAATAAGGTTAAGAAATTAGCAAAGGAACTTTACTTAAACCTAAAGGCTTAATTAAATAAATTACTTTAAGATAACGCTTTGAAAATGCTTAATATGCAGCCTCTTACCATATTAATAAAAGATATAAAGCTTAATAAATTTAAGTAGTTTAATAATAAGAATAAAGAGGAAGATAAGGATTAAGCTAAAGACTTAAATAACTTTAAAGAATTCTTAATAAGTAAAAATATTATTAAGCTTAAAAAGGTTTATTAAGGCTTAAAGAAGGAGAAAAAGGGTATGTAAATTAATATTTATATTATAAATAATGATAAAGTTATTAATTAAAACCCCTAGGTTGCGGCTATTAATGCTTTTGCTTTAATTACGGCCATTATGGATATACTTATTGCAAATCTAAATTTAGTTTTCATTAATTAAGCTAATGAGTTTAACTAAGCTGCTAAATCCAATTAAGCCGCTAAATCTAAGTAAGCTAATAAACTTAATAAGTTTATTAAATAGGCTGCCAAACCTAATAAATTTATTAATTAGGTTGCTAAACTTAATAAGTTTATTAATTGAGCTGCTAAACCTAATAAGTTTATTAATTAAGCTGGCAATTAGGCTGCTAAACCTAATAAGTTTATTAACTAGGCTGATAAATTTAATAGGTGGAATAATGAAAACGAATGGTAGATTAATTAGGACTAAGGACTCTTAAAGAAGAAGTAATTATAAGATTGTTTGCTAACATTAAAGCATATAAGGATATATGCATTTTTTAAGGGCTGGGCATATTAGGGGATAACTAAGCACTTCCCTCTCTTTTAATATATCATACCTTTCATAGCCCGCCTAGCATTAGCTTCTCTTAATACACATATACATTCTGCGAGATACTTTAATTAAATTGGCTATCAGCAACCCCATTTGGTTCCCTGATCTGGTTTTAGAAGCCCTCGTGTGTCTCGTTACACTTCCCTCTGGGATTGACTTTCAAATACCCTATTGTCCACACCAGCCATCAAGAAATTTTCTCAAGATATGCCTTTCAAAGAAGGTGACACATAGCTCATCATTTGGACACGATCTTGGAATTTATCCTCGCGCTTATTGCACATGCCCATGGGCTCAGAAATATGAATGCATGCCCAGCATGCCCGACTCGCATTTCTTATTCGACCTGGATGTACATAAATCGCATCTAATCAATCTTCATATATACAAGTATCTCGTCAGGTAGAGAACCCTTAGATATCATATCCCTTTAGGAAGTAGTATGTCATCCTTGTCACGGAATCTTGATATATAGGACTCTGGACTTTTCCGGACATCAATATCATAGCCTGAAACGTCTTGGACTCGGAGCTCTCAATTATACAGTGCCTTTTTTCTTTGTCAGTATGGGCTACCTAGGTCCTGGTTATGATCAATAGTAAACAATATCGTACATTGACAGTCCCAACCCTCCCACAACATGTCCGCCTCACCAGCATCAAGCCCCCTGCCCAGCAGGCCGCCCATCCCGGCAAGCCAACCACCTCATCAGCCTCAGCGCCCCGTCCATCCCCTTCTCCGCCACCTCCCAGCTCTCCAGCCCCATCTGCACCAGCCCGACCTCCAGGCAGTTCTTGACGAACCGCTCGTGCGGCGTGCCTGCCGAGGCGGGCGTGACGCACAGCACCCCACACAAAAACCCCGAGCAGCGCCTTCCACGCCCGCAGCGGCACCCGCCACACCGTCGTCCACAGCCGCGCGAAGTCCTCGGCGCTGCAGACCCTCGGGTCCCGCAGCGGCCTCCGCAGCATGATGGCACGCGCGTAGACCAGGGCCGCCTGGCGGACGGCCTGGTATATCACGTCCGGGGCCGTGGGTGCTGCTGCTGCTGCCGCCGCGTCTTCCAGCTCGGGAAGCAGGGGCTGCTGCTGCGGCGGGCGGGCGGCGTGGTGGTCTGGCATGCCGCTGCCCGGGAAGACGGCCCTCTGGCGTGGAGAGGGGGCTGTTGTTGCTCGCGGCCGTAGAAGAACCCGGGGCCGTGGTTGTGTTCCGGCAGCACCCGCGGGCTCGCTGCCGACGACGCGCGGCGGACGGACTGCGGCGGCGGCCCGAACGCCGCTGTGGTGCTTGGGTTTGGTATTATGAGACCCTCGGATGCTCTGTGCTGCGGTACCGCCCCGGCCTCTTCCGGCAGGCCCGAGATGCGGTCATATATCCACGTCGAGGTGGTCTGTAGCTTCTGCAGGTCCTTCTGGGAGCAGTCTGCCGGGAGGGACAGCGCGAGCCCGATGAGGAACCTCATGTCATCCAGGATACGGGCGGTGGTGTCGTGAAGCTTCAGAGGCTCTGCGCATGTCTTGAAAGGAACGAGTGGTGACACAAAGGGCGTGTTGAGGAAAACCCGGAACGGCACGTGGGTAGCCTCGGGAGATTCGAACGGGAGATCCTCCTGCAGGTATGGCTCGATTTCCAGAGATAGTGCGATGGTTATGTCGGTCCTGAGTAATGAGGAATCAGCATGGCTTAAAGGGAAGAGGACTTGATCGGGTGGGCAATACATGATGATCAACTTGGCCAGCAAACCGCCCAGACCCAAGTTTGCAAGCCCGCCCCTGGACCTGACCATCTCCCGCAGCCCGCCCAGATGGGCCTCCAGCTCCTTCCTGCCGCCCCAGTACCACTCGTTCAGTATCAGCTGCATCACTCCCGCAATGGCCTCGTCCGTCGTCGACCCCGTGGTGCGGAGGTGCGTCTCGAGCATGCAGATGGCATCGCCCTTCCGCGTCATGGCGGTGGTGTCATCCACCACACTGGGACAAGTGTCGTTGAGAAAGCATGCGGCCGTGTAGATGGCTATCTGGGCGAGCATGGGGTTGTGTAGGCAGAAGGGGATGTAATGCTTTGTATACAGATTTGAAGCCGGGTCAGGCTCGCCGTCAAGGGATGCTTTGAAGCGGGAGATGAGGTTGACAACTTTTGGTTGGGGCCAAGGCTCTTAGTCCGAGTGCTTTGCTTTCCAAGAGTTGGTGAGGTTGGTGATGCTGTGGGGAATCACTTACAGACACGCAGCATCTCGCCATCCTGCCTCGTTGGTAGTGCTGGTTGATGTACCTGACCATCTGCGCAGACGAGCGGCGGTGAGGATGGGACGTGTTCCTGCTGAACGAACCATGACATTATCTCATCCGTCCTGGTGGGCTGCCACCCGTGGATGAACTGAGCTGGCAACTGGTTTCTCCGGTTCAACAGAACGAGGGCATCGTGATAGGCTTCAGTGTGGATTTCACAGTCGAAGCTACACACAGTCGCTGCCAGAGGGCTCACGGCGTCCGGATACACAGGTGCCCAGAGGTTCTGCCTTTGGTTGATCGAACCTGCTGGGGATTGAAGCTGATACTGTGAGTCGAAGTCCAAGCTGGACCAGTATGCTGGACTCTGAATGACAGGAGACCAGGGCGCCTGCTGCAGGGAGAAGGCTGTTCTAGGCGGCAACAGAGGCTGGTCGACACCATCCAGGGCGACGTGCTCGTCCCCAGAGAATGGAAGGGGCAGGAGGCCGGGACTGGATGCCAAGGATTGACCCGACGGCCCCGGCCCGTCACCGTGCCTGTTGATCTGTTAGGAGGCATATCTTGCAGCAGTGCAAGCGAAGCCTACCTCTGATTATGTGTTTTGTATTCGCAGACAGGTGGTGGATATCTCCGCGCACAGTTGCCACAGGGCTGTGCCTGGTTGCACTGTTGCGTGTCAGTCACCCACGGATGAGGTTCTGGTGGCAGAACAAACAGGACACAAGAAAACTTTAGCTCCTCCACCACCACTTATCCCGAGAACTTGGAAGACCTCCGACGTACTCGTTGTTTCCGTCTCCTGCATTCCCCACACGAAGTGGGTGTCCTCTCAGAGCGCTGTGGGCGCGTTGTAGAATCGGACATGATGCAGTGCAAGACTGCCCATGTGGTAGCTCGATTTTCAGTGGCTCACAATAGGGTGTGTCGAGCCGCCTTTTGAGTCACAGCCACTTGTGAGAGCGGTGTGCTGCTGCAAGAAGTATATTGATCGACAGGGGCCGATTAAGGTCGTGTTCGCAGTAGGGAAATACGACCTGATTGGCGTTCTTCTCCTGCTGACAGTTCGTCTATGGGTATTCAGTCCACGATGACGGGGAGCAATCTCTATCATGGCCCTCAAAGGCCCGACCAGAAAGAATTATAGTGACGATCGAAGCACACTGCTTCATGTCCCGAGAACGTGGGAGAGAGGTGTGATACACTTCTGACATCAGAACGCTGAATCCCGAGAACCGCCAGGGCCTTTATTCTAGAACGGCGTCCATAATTAGCTCATGGGCATGTCGAGCAGAGTAGAGCCTCAGCTGAGGCGCATCGTTGATGTTCTGTGATAGGTCGGACGACCGCGTCCCAAGTCCTCCAGGCCGTAAGCAGCAGCAACGTTCCCACTTCTCTACGACGCCGGTGACTGGCCCTTCCACACCAGCTGCCTTGGTATGTCGCAGCTTGCTTCTGCGAGGAGAAAGATGTTTCGCTTTTCCAGCGAATGACGCTCCGCTCGACATCGTCCAGGGCTGCGGCATCGGGACCCAGTCATAGCGACCCGAACTGTCAGAGTCACCCCGGTTCATCCCATCACCATCTTCCTTCCTTCCCACCCTCCCCTTTCCAGAACAGAAAAAGCCACGCGACAGCTGCAGGACAGGGCAACAGACTACACCGCCCAGAAAGGAGCCCGTTCCGCAGGGCAGACCATGGCGCCTTGCCTTGCAGAGTGCCGGGCTAGGATCGAGGGCGTCCCGCTCCGCCCAGTGGTGACAACTTTAAACGAGAAAGTGGCTGTCAAAGAAAAAAACAGAATCCTGAAGCGGGACGTCACCACGCAGAGCCGAATATAGGCATGCCCCGGGTCAGACCAGCATAGCATCCGGGTGTTGGAGAGTCAAATAAACGTTCGGCGCCACGCCCCTTCCCACCGCTCCGCTGGAATGCCATCAGCAAGGCTACCGACTTGGCGCGCCGAATAGTGACCCCTGAGAGGGCAGCTCTACGAGCTGTGGCGCCCACATCCATGATCCAGATGCGGTCTGCTGCAGGCATTCCCCGTCAGACTGGTCATATCTCAGACACTCCAGTCGATATGGGGGGTGTTGGGTGACTATATCGTGATGTTGAGCCACGATAGTCACCATGCGGCATCCGTTAATTATGCGCGTGGTCTCGGCCAGGTACCCATTTGGGAGAAACAGACACGAAAGAAAATCACGAGGCGGGCGGGCCCCTGGGCAGCATCCATGGCCATCTCGTGATCATTCGCTGCAGTATTGCCCCCCCCCCCCCGCGCCCTCTACCGCCAACGTCGTACCAGAGGCTAGCCTCAATCCGGTTGATCTCCCATGCCACAGCATGCGTCCTCCATCCACGATCGGTGCGAGGAGGGGAAGGGGTTAGGAAGGCTTGAACACGCGGAGTCATCGAGGGTCCTGGGGTCCTGACCCGCCAAGCCCTGCGGGCCTTTAGGACGTGGGCGGACGCAGTTTTCAGCCACCGGTGCCAGCTGAACGGGAGCTGATACCGGTTTAGGGCCAGGCGCGGGAAGGGGTGAAAAAAGAACATACATGATCCTCGCGCAGGCGTGAGGGCAGGCATTCTGGCAGGCACTCTGGCAGGTCAGGCTGGCTCGAGGCCTCGCGCGGCGCAATATGGAGCGCGGGACAAAGGAAAGGGACGTACATTGAGTCCTTCGGTAGCCCTGTTGCAGATGCTGCGTGCTAATGGCAGCCGGTGGTTATTGGACGGAGAGCGAGAAACGCAGCCGGCCCCCACTTCGATCCCCGCGAGTCTCCAAGGCTCTCGGTGTTGCTGGGGGCGGCTCTTCCCAGTGGATATCCTCTCCCCCCCCCCCTCTCTGGAAGACGTGATGGAGGTGAAGAGACAAAAATGTCAGACTCCCTGACGGGTGACGTCGCGGGGTGATCGGCGCTGCGGCAGTTGCAAGGGCTTAGATCCACCCTGCACCAGACTGTCGGGTCAGATCGATCTGTGTGAGCAGGACTTCCGGACTACCACGGCTTGCTACCTCCGATCCGTGAGAGGAGAGAAATGACTAGGCACAGTAGATGCCTTGCTTACGCGCCGAAGCCTTGCCCTACCTCAGTGGAATTCTCATACACAATGCTGAAGACTGAAAAATCTGGGATATTCCGTCGGCGGGCCAGGTCATGTATAGACATGACGCAACATAAATACACGCATTTATGTATTCAGGAGGCTTCACTGCCGTCACTCAATTTGTATGATTATGGTCCATGAAATTATTGATATTAGTTCATCAAGCGTCAAAAAGCATGTTTACTGAAAATGGTATCCTTAACAACGAAGAAAAAACCACAACCTGAAACGCCATCATCCATATATCTCGGCTAACAGCCGGAGCAGCTCTCAATCCCCAGAAATTTTTGTCAACCGCTCAGAAACAATTCCAGGGAAATGTTCAACGACCTTGATAAACTGGTTTCCTGCCGACAGGCGGCGGCGGCTCATCGTCCAGAGGATACGGTGGCGCGGGGCCCACAGGAGCCGTACCTACACGCCGCGGTGCTCTCGGGACCTGGTTTTCTGGGAGCGGTGTTTTCGGCGGAAGTGGCGGAGGTGCTACCCTAGGTGGCTGTGGTGCATACTCCTGGCGGTTGGGGCGCTCGTCCGACGATACAATAGCGATCTTGTCTGACCCAGACGCATTTCTCCACTGGGCGGGTGTTGGCGCATGTATCACAAGCTTATCGCCATCTCCTTGTGGCTCACTGGGTAGAGCTGAAGAAGCCGGCGGGGCTGAGGGCGGCCTGTGACCGCTGGATGGCGGTGACTCTCGGTGACGTCCTGTCGGCTGAGGCGAGCCGTGGACGGATGGCGGCAGGGGTTGACTCTGTGGTATAGTAGGTAATACCCGCTCGTACGAGCTTCTTGGAGATACGTGAGCGTTTGGGAGCGACAAGTTGTCTGTCCCAGAGTCATAAGATTGGCGGTCGAACGAGCGCCGACTGGATGGTGTGTGAGGCGATGGCCAACTCTCCGGTATCTCGGCAGGCAGCTCGACGGCAAGTGGTGCTGAGATGTCAAACTCGGGCAGCTTGTATTGCAAGTCTGGTTCCGCGCTGAGTCGCTCAAGTCGCTGCTTCGCACGGTGAATCTTGGCCAGTTTCGCGGATGCGTCCTGGACCATACCCTGCTCCTTTTTCCTCCCGAGATACATCCTCGTCGACGTGCTGATATCCGATAACCGATTCCATTCGTTCATTCCGAACTCCCCGACGCCCACCTCCACGTTTAGGCGATAGTACACCTCGGGATTGACTCCTCTGTCCGACAAGTGTTGCTTCTTCATCATCTCATGAGTCTTTTCACAGCCTTCGATTTTGGCGATAAGTCTCCGCTTGGCTTCGGCAAAGCCACCAATGAAGCCTTCGTACCATTCTGCCTTGTTTGTGTCGCTGCCCTTTGGTCTCTTCCCTGTTCCTATGCTGAGAAATACGCCGACTTCCCGTCCGGGCCACTCATTAACAACAGCTTCGTCGAGGGCTTCTGGGGACGGGTTGAAACGTCCGTCGCCATCATCATGGAAAACGGTCTGGCCAATCTGGATGGGCTTGAATGCCAGCCCAATAGAACAAGTTGCTCTCCCCGCCTGCCAAATCTTGCAGTCGAACTCCGGGGCAGGCTCTCTCCTCGAGTCATATGACCTCAGCAAGACAACATCTGTATTTTTGCTAGATGCGCCTTTGTACACAGCCGTCACAGCACTGCATCTTGGTTAGCCACGAGATCTTGCCCGCAAAAGAAAGGCACAGAAGAAACATACGTCTTAGTTCGGTAATCTCTTTCGTCGTAGAGGCGCGCGTTGGGATCACCACCGCCCCTGCCGGAGTAGTAGGGCCGGGCCATCTGGGCCTGGGGGCTCTTGTTGCTGAAGCTGACCACGCTTGCATTGCTGGCGTGCCTCCGTGGGTAATGCGCGCTCGCCCTAGAATGCGAGCTCAGAGGGCTGTGGACCGAGGTTCCGTCGTCGCCCTCCGACTCGGATGTGGTGTGTTCGGACACTGCGTCCTTGATAGCCTCCTCGAGCCTCGAGGCCTTGAACAGGGTAGCGTGGGTGGGAATGCCGAGGATGGTCTTGTCGGTCTCGAAGACCATGCGTGTGAGGCGCACATAAAGTTGCTTGCAAGTTTCCAGGTCAAGGCGCAGCCTGCCCAGCATGAGGGCGATCAAGCCGCCTGTTCCAGTGCCGACGATGAGGTCGAAATGGTCTGCTGGTTTTGGGATCTCGTGGCGTCTTGGCGCGCGCCCCTCGATCTCGACAAAGGTTCGGTGCATGATCTCCTGGATGATAATGAACATGCTGTAGCCCCGGACACCGCCGCCATCTTCGTGTCGAGTCGTTAGCGCGCGCAAGACTGGCGGATGCAACGGGAGAGGGTTGTTGGGTGGGAGAGGTGGTGAAAGCGGGAGAGCGGAGTATCTCTCTTCAGAACTGGGCGTGCGGTGCGTGGTGCGCGGTGCTTACCTAGCGACAGGATCCGAAGGGGCGGACCCTTGGTGGTGTCCTTCCTCTTCAAACCAGAATCCATCTGTTCACGAACACCGTCTCTGCACGATGGTCAAGCGACTGTGGTATGGTGCAGGAGAGAAGAGGCGCTCCGTGGGGTTGACGTCGAGGAAGGGTCGAGGTTATGGGCGGGACAGGGAAGCGATTCCGAGTCGAGCGCTGGTCCTAGGTTTGTAGGATTGTAGGTACCCAGCAGGGGGAGGAAAGGCCCAACTGGGGCGCAATGCGTCACTGACCCACAAGTGAGAGGCACCTGTGCAGGTGGACGACAGGGGTACAGGGCTGGGGTGCGTTGGGCTCGGTCGAGGGAGCTGGAAGCTTGGGCCGGGAGGGGCGGAAGGGGCCAGAGAATCTGGAGGTCTTCAGCACCACCGCCACAGGCACTCGAGGGGCAACTGGGGGCAGGAGGGGAGCAGCTGGGCGAGAGCAGGGATCGAGCTGCTTGTCAATTGGGTAGGCCTGGCAGGTCAGCAGCACCCAAGTGGCGCTGGCCTAATTCCATGCGAAAAGCGAGCAGATCGCCCCAGATGCAGCAATGCATGTAACTTCAACTTTTTTTCCTTCTCTGGCTGCGGCGACGTCAATATTCCGTCTTGTGTCTAAGAAAAGAAAGAAGGCCACACCTGGACGGGCAAGCTTTAGGCGGCCGGCCCACAACCGAGATCGAGATTTTCTCTTCACATAGGACTCAGAATCGGACTCTAGTCAGGCCGTGGTTGATCCGGTCCAAGGATGGGATGATTGACGGTGACGGTGGCAGTGCTGGGAACTGTCGAAAGTGCTCCTCCTGCTGGCACTGGGCGTATTCCCAGTCAGCCAGTCAGCCAGTCTGGGTCCCAGGTCCCAGGTTGATCGATCCCACTCTCTCGGTTCCTTGTCGCCGTCCTTTCTGGGTGAAACGCCGAGAGGCCTGCGACGACAATGAACAATAAACAAACCTCGAGGACGCCCCCTGTCACATTCTACAAGAGCAAACTGCGCCTGGTGGTTGGGAACTCGGCATGGTTTACCTCTGACCTCGCCGTCTTGAGCTTGATTTATGGCTCCCGCTCGGCCACCCCTGTTTACATCAGGCCTCGAAATCTCCCCAACTACTGTCGACTGCCCAGGCTGCCAGCCATGTCTTATACCAGCAAGACCGTGTAAGCTTAGAATGGCTTACTACAGACATGCAGATGCGGCGGTCTCACTGTCGCCCACATTCAGCCTGGGGCCACGCTGATATCCAGTGTACAGCATCCCTTCGTATCTGAGTCTAATAATAAGCGTATTCAAGCACGTCGGCTCATGTCACATCCGCAGGTACACGCAAGCCTGGAAACCTACTGTATGTGGTAGTTTGCTAGGGCATCAACCATGCCAGATCGGGGCAGCCATTCGCCCACCTCCTCCTATGGTGGCACGCTCCCCTTATCCTAGTTCTGAGTCACTAGCCATAGGATCCGAACTCGAGTTCACTTGGCCCGCTGTGTCAAAGAAGCGAGGACGCGACCTGAAGTGAGCAGTCGAGTGATTGGACGCCCAGGAGGGCGTTACGGGACGAGGTTGGTGATTAGGTTCCCTGCAATCGTGGCTGAGCCCGGCGGGAGCGGCGCGGCGTTCTCACCTCCTCGCGCGCCCATTGGATCGCCACCGAGCTGGACAGGGCCTGGCAACTAGGGCAGCCCCGATGCCATGCGCTCCAGTGCTGCCAGTCGGCCAGCAGTCACGAACCGGACTCCTGCCCATCATGCCCACTTTTGGCGAGGGCTTGACGCCGGTTCTCTCATGGAAATATTCTGGAAAATTGCCATGTTCGGCTCATGGTATTTCAAGACTTTGCCCGTTGTCTCCCCTGCATCTTCAAGAGGCCGCCTTGAAAACGCAGCGAGTCTCCACTTTGGATACGAAGAGGACCCTTTCGAGGCGGCGGACCTGCAGACCGCATATCTACTGTGGAGTACTCCGTAAAGACTGACAGATCATGGGCGCACCAGAGATCCAGCTTACCGTAACGCGACACCGTAGGGTAAGCACCTTCAGGAAGTCGTCCGACTCAGCCCCGGCATCTTCTTCACTACGGCCTCCTTGCCCGGATGACTATGAGTTCCAGATGTCGTGAAGCTCCGTTTTGAAAACATTAAAATCCTCATCCTGTACTATACCTAGGAGGGTAAGCTTGGAGTGTTAACGTCGTCGGTAAGCCCGCACATTCCGACGCTGAGCATCGGCGTTTTCCTCCATCGCACGCCTCAAAACTTGTACTGTGAATTGAGCCACGAGAGCAGGATCAGAGCATCACTTCCACATCTCTGAACGGAATGATCGATTACGTTCCTGCGACGATTTGTCAACAGTACCCGTAATTTCTAACCACTCTTCAGCATGGCCGCCTGGTCAGAGCTGCGCCACTTCTATTAATGAAAGGCGCGTTGCTTCTTTGCCAGTACAATCATGTGGCGAGGACTCCAGTAGCACGGCTAGTTTGCCATAGCATATTATAAGTCGGTGAAGAGACCCCTGGTGGAAGGCAGCTAGCCAGCCATCCAGCGCGAAGGGATCATCGTCATTTGGCAAGTTCATCATGTTTGCGTCGATTTATCTCCGATTGCATATTTGTTCCATAATCTGGCGTTACCAGGCACCGTGGACAGTACAAGCATAGTTTTCGCGCAATGACATGCAGCAATTGACGCTATATTTCGACAACTCTTGTTTCCTCCCTTCGTAATGAATATATAACGGACTGGACAAACGTTAGTGTGTAAGTTTCAAGCTTGTGACATGAATGAATGGTTGACAGTCGTATTGGTATTGAATCCAGCAGTGGACGAGCTTGGACGTTGCTGCAGACTGACTCAGCAGCCGTTGGCCTTATCTTATCAACATTCATTATTTTTGCTACCCTTGTGAAGGGTTTGGAATTCCAAACCAACCCGGTCTCTTCTGCCAACCACAAACGTCCAGCCCACAACATCCACAGCACCGCATCCCAGACAAAGGTCATCATGGCCCAAGGCGAGATCAAGAAGAAGGCCGCGCCGGCTTCCACGAAAGCAAAGCCCATGAAGGGCCAGAAAGTCAAGAAGCCCAAGTCAACCAAGGCCGACAAGCTGCAGAAGAAGTACACTTCAGGCATGGTCACCAAAACAGAAGCGCTGCTGGGCGAGCGCGCTGGACACTTGGAATTGATTGGAAAAGGTAAGAAGGCCAAGAAGGACGAAAAGCACAGGGGTGGCTCACGGAAGTTTGGTTGAGGCAGACCAGGAAGCATCTCTTGGGCCATCGTCCAGCTGGCAGATGCCTCCCACAGAAGACGCCCGGACGGCTCACAACAATCAGCTATCGGGTTGCTGTCCGCATGTTTGAGCAAAATCAGGACCCATTGGGCTTGTATGGCCGAAAGTCAGCCTCGGATCAGAGCAAGAGGACAATCGGAGACGGTCCCCTTGAAGGCCTCTCGACGACAGAGGGGCACCGTAGCCCGAAGCTGCATATGTCATTTGCTCAGGATACACGCGCATCAAAAATGGAGTTTGGAACGCGGCATGTGGGACGGAGGGCTTTAGGTTGCAGGAACACCACGTTTGTCTGGTGACTTACGATGCACCAGACAAACAATACGGCACTTCGATACCGCCACGAACGCACCCAGAATTGCCCAACATTCGAACAAATTTGAGTGCATGATCAGCAGGTGCACCTCGGGGAATACCGTGCATTGATGTCAGACACAGTGAAGCGCCCCCGCGGCGATCAGCACCCGGGGCCAAGTCTCGGCTAAAAAGGACTTCGTTGTTTGTATTTCGAGCTCACTACCCCACGACCTCCGCAGAAGACGCCGCAGGACGAATCACGAAATACTCGCAAGGACACGCGATGATGAAGTCGCTGGGCACCAACGGGGTTGGCATGGGGAGCTTGGCAGGACAGTGACATCCCAGTGCAACGGCTCAGCAATAGCAGATGCACATGGCCGCGAATCCAGCCTTGATCGTCACGCCAGATTCCAGGCTCATATTCAATATCACATCCAGCTTCATCAAAAACAATATATTTGACCTCGTCTCACCGGTTAAACATGGCAACCATAGTGCAGCTTGGTCGGTTGAGCGGAATCTTACAATTGCTGGAACCGGGAAATTCTGTCTACCATATATACCTTCCCTGTGATATGGAGCTCAAGTTTGCTGCGAGGCGTCCCCTGAGAGAAAGGTCTCAACGTCCAAGTCAATAGTACGATACCGACCGACGCAATGGGCTTCTTGTCGGATGCTCTGATCTGGGCCACCCTCGCTACCCAAGTAGCAAAGGCCCGACCCGGAACCGGACCTGGACCGCGAAGCTCAGCGACCGATGAGCTCCCACGAGCCGTGTCGTGCGCAACGATCCCGTCACCGTTTCCAAAATGGTCTCAGCTGCCGCAGCAGACGACCTTACCCGACCCTTTCTTACCGCTTGGATTCACCACTACTGACAATGCCGGCAGCCAGTCGGCCTCTGAATTCGCGCAGGATGTCATGACAGGGAAAGGGAAGAACAGAATCCAGACGTTTGAGGAGTGGTATCAGTGCCGGCAGCCTGAAATCATCACCATGTTGCAGGAGTATCAATATGGCTACTATCCTGACCATTCTCAGGAAACCGTCACGGCCACCCGGTCTGGGAACACCGTCAGCATTTCTGTCACTGCAAGTGGCAAGACTGGGAAGTTCTCGGCGACGGTGAAACTGCCTACAGGGGCCAGCAAGTCAGCTCCAGCACCTGTAGTCATCAATATCGGCGGAATGCAGGATCAGCCTTACTTGCAGGCTGGTATCGCTGTTGTGGGATTTGACTACACAAGTGTGGCGGCAGATAGCAACAGCAAGACCGGCGCGTTCTGGAGCATCTACAACGGAAGGGACATCGGTGAGCACGCCCTTGCCATGACCATTCGGTGATCTCGCCCGGCTAACCCTCCGGTCTCCTCTCCTCCCAGGCGTCCTAACCGCTTGGGCCTGGGGTTTCCACAGAACACTCGATGGCCTGAACCTCACTGTCCCGGAGATCGACCCGACGCGTGTCGGCGTAACCGGTTGCTCCCGCCTCGGCAAGGGGGCCTTAGCCGCCGGCCTCCTTGATAAGCGTATCACGCTGACGATGCCTATGTCCTCGGGCGTGCAGGGGCTCGGCCCGTATCGCTATCACGGTATGAGCGGGCAGGACGAGACGCTCGAGAACAGCAAGCAGGGAGCGCCGTGGTGGAGCAACAACGCTCTGGGAACATTTGTCAACCACGCCGAGTGGCTGCCGTACGAGGCCCATACCATTGCTGCCGCGATCGCGCCGCGGGCCCTGGTGATCGACCAGGGGACAGGCGACCAGTTCACCAACTCCAAAGGGACGGCGGTGGTCGTGTATCCTGCTGCACAGGTGGTGTATGACTGGCTCGGCGCAGGGGACAAAATCGCGATGAGTGTGCGGAGCGGTGGTCACTGTGACTTGTCGGGGTATTCTGCTGTCCTGCAGTATGCGCAGAAGATCCTGCTGGGCAAGAACATCACGCAGGATTACAACAACCTCGGGTCATATGGCTCGCCTCTCACCACGACTTATCCATGGGCAACTGCCGTTCCCAAGGCACCATGAGTGGACGCGTTGTGCAGAAAAAGAGCATTTGGTTCCCGAGCTTGGGGATATTTTGACTTTATGCGACGCTGTTGTGGCAAGTATTTTGTGTCGGAGGATACTTTCAGGGGTTCTGTAAAGCAGGGGGCAGTGTGCCTTGCACTTTCTTACCAACACAAACCCTGCATCCCGACACTTCCTCGGGAGCATCCACTGGCCAGTTACAGTTTGCTCCATCAACAGTGGATAAACTTCAATCCGGGAGAAATTGCGTTGCGGCAGTACTTTTGCAGCGCCTTATACGATAATCTCACCATTGCCACCGCTCAGGCCTCTGCATATCGAGGTGGAGAGAGAGAACAAGAGTGCGCAACTCGTACGGCTGATCAACGAGTCACAGCCCTGTAGCATTTGCTGTGAGACCGGCAATTGGGAGGCCGGGTATTTTCATGATCCAAGGGCACTTCTTACCTGTGTTTGGCGCCCAACCGGGTTTGCTCTCCACTTTCACAATTCTGGACCCACCTCAGCTGTGCAGATCCGAGATCAATGTGACATTCGTCAGAAAACTTAAACCACAGTGTCGGATATCGTGTCCCGACCAACTGGTAACCGCCAGCCTGTTGGGGCGGGAGAGCGGCCAACAGGATGCGTGTGGGTACCACGGCATGTGTATCCAAGTATAGCAAGATATGCTCGAGCAGTACCACGGCAAGTTTAATTGCCTCACACTTTGACGGCAACGAAACATTCTCTCCCCCAAAGGCGAGGCCACGCACGTACACATCAGTGCAAATTCCAAAGTAATGAGGGCGCATTGACTGTTTCCCGAGGACCACTTTTTGGCACTCCGTCAGCTGTTATTCGCGATCCACTTGCTGGTTTCCCGTTTGTTCACCCTCTGCCGCTCAGGAAAGTCATGTCGAACTTGAAACGCGGACTTATTTTCAGTGATTGGCGAAGAGGTGAAACCAAACCGTCCTGTTCTGGGTGCTCATCTGTCGTTCCACTCGCTCCACCAAGTTGCTCCAGCGCCCCCGAAGGTCAGTGTGCGCGCCCTCAACGCCTGGAGCAACGGAGCAACTGCTCCTATGTCTTCACGCCCCGAGACCATCTCCTGCAAGACGACCACGGCAGTGATGAGACGTGTTTCTACTGGTGGAGGCCGGTCATCCCCCTTGCGACGGTGATGCCGATCTTCGCGAAGACCGCTGCCTCACATCACCGAGAGAAGGTGTGGGAGCAGCCGTCTCGTCCCCGGTACCTTATGACAGGGGGGGGGATACACGTCCACAACGGCTTTGAATTCTGTCCCGGACCTCTGGAAATACACCTTGCCAACCTGCTGGGAACCCTTACCCGTAGGCTCCACGTCGGGCTCCGCTTAACCCAACGCTTCGGGTCTACTGATATTTCTGGGCCATCCCAATCGAGACTACCGGACGTTCTTCGGTGATCACCACTGTTCGAGATTGTCCGGTCATGCAGCTGGAATCGTAGCCTTTCTCGTCCCCTTCTTTTCTTCCGAACTTCTTAGCGTGCTGTACCGTGGTTCCAGACGATTACTGCAGGTACACACTCCATCTCGCAACCGGGCCGTTCCTAGCTTCGAATATGGCGGCAAACAACCCAAACAGGCGAAGCCTCGATCTCTTCAATGTCGACCAACAAGCAGTAGAGAATCTCGACCTGACTTTTCAGGAAACTCTTCCAAGCAGTACCAGTACCGTACGTTATCTGTCAAGTAGAGTATCCCTTCTCGACACTATCCCGAAAAGCTAACCCCTTCGACATTGTTGAAGTATACAGAAATACCGTGAGTAAACAAGCACTACAATCTCCCAACAGCGGTGTTGGTACTCACCCCTCCGGTCGACAGTGACACGTACTCAATTTCAGAAAGTGTTCTCGCCTACCGGCTCGAGAATGGCAGAACTTACCACGCCTACAAGGACGGATGTAAGTCCGCATACACACTCGCCGAGCCCCATGTGAAAAGGATACGAGACCAACGATCATATCCCAGGGTACCTCCTCCCAAACGACGCCGAAGAGGTCGAGCGCCTGCGCCTGACTCACGACATCGTCAGGCGGGTGATGGGAAACCGCTCCCACCTGGCGCCGTGGACGAGAGAACACTTCCCCCGACGCGTGCTCGACGTCGGCACGGGGACAGGGGACTGGTGCTTCGACTTCGCCGAGGAGTACCCCGACACCGAACTTATCATAGGGACCGACCTGTCGAACATCCAGCCGGACGTGGGCCCCCCGAATGTCCAGTTCATCATCGACGACTCGTCCCAGGAGTGGCTCGACGACGACCTGGACTACGTTCACACGCGGGACACCAATGGCTGCTGGGAGGTGCGCTGTCCATCTCGATTTGTTCCCCAGGAATCTCTGACCGGCCGCAAAATCCCGAAAGGAAATACGCCCCCAAATGATACATCCTGATGCTGACGGTGTAAGCTGACAGAACATGAGCGCGCAAGTCATCCAGCAGGCCTTCCAAAAGTTAAACCCCGGCGGCTGGCTAGAGAGTCAGGAATTTGACATTGTGCTGCGCTGCGACGACGGTACCGCCCCTGCCGACCATGGGCTCAGACTTGTAAGCAACGCTTGAGGAAGAGGTGTTCCCTCTGAGCTTTCCCCATAGGCGACTTGGTGTTTCGGACGAGAGACTCAAGCGGGCCTGGGGATTGTATAACTACATCAACGACGCCAGACATCAAGCCCGAAAGGATGCAGGATCTGAGAAAAAAAAAAAAAAAAAAAAAAACTAACTCGAGGCTTTCTAGTGGCTCTCGGAGCTGGACCGCATAAGCCGGGTGGCAGGGAAGCCCTGTACCATCACCCCCTGGCTAAAGACGTGGTATGAAGAGGCCGGGTTCGTCGACGTGCACGAGGAGATATTCAGGTTGCCAACCTGCGGTTGGCCCGAAGACCCGGAAGAGAAGATTATTGGGACATGGATGGAGGAGATGTTGAACAGTGGAATCGACGGGATCCTTCGGGCGTACCAGTTGAGGGTGGCAGGACTGACTATGGAACAGCATCAGGTACGTGTAACTATCCGCTGGACCTTCCCATCTATAATTCACCTTTCGATTTGGCGGGTGCTCTTTTCGGCTACATACGTAGTCCTTAATACCACTGCACTATAAACTGGGACTATATCTGACTGAAGACCACACCACAGGCGGCTCTTATACCAGTTCGAAGAGACCTCAGGAATCGGGATTATCACACTTATATGAATTTCCACGTGGTATATGGCCGAAAACCAGACACGGAGACAAGCCAAGGTTTAGGGAGAATACCAGAATCTACAGAGCAGGAAGAAGAACAATGATACTATGGAGAAAAGTTCGACTGGCTTAGACAACAGCAGTTGTGTACCATCAGGCCAGCGAAGGCCATCTTAATCTTCTACGTAATGAACGACACTATACAAGTTTGGCGACCACCAGTGGCGGGATTATCGAGACGAGGACTGCAGATGGACGCGATGTAATACCTGGCCGATTCCCACTCTACCGATCTCTCCCACCGAGATCTCTAAGTCTAGTCATTACTCTTCTACCACTGAGCGAGTGAACCCTTGTCGCCACCACTCTAGTCTTTGTTGTAAGCTCGCAAGAGGACATTCCATCCCAAAGGGCTTATGTCCCTAGTTATCCCTCCTAACGAGCCATTCCAAGCCCTTGGCCCTCTCCGCCCCAAGCAACTCCCTCAGCCCGTCGCGGGCGAGGAAGTCATGGTCGCAGTACTCGAAGCCCGGAACCACCGTCTCGGAGATCAGGAGCCCCTCGGCGCTCGAATCGGCCCCCTCCCTGTCCGGGAGCAGGTAGCTGGCCTTGAAGTGGTCGCCCTCGACGATCCACTGCAGCCTCTCGCCCCGAGAGACGTCGTGCCCGACCACGAACGTCTCGACCTCCCCGGCGGCGTCGATGAGCACGTACCGGCCGCGGCCCTTGTGCAGCGTGTGCACCGTCCGCGCGCGGTTGCGGTGGAAGTTGCCCTGCGGGGAGCCCGGGGTCAGGAGGTAGAAGATGGTAGTTGAGGCGTTGCGGACCTTTGGGTCGAAGCCCGGGCGCTGGGGCCCGGCGAGCGCTAGCGTTGCTTCCGAGGCCGGGGTGATTGGGAACGGGGAGGGGATGAGGAGGGGGTCTCTGTCTGTTTCGGCGAAGTAGCCGCCCTCGATGTGAGGGAGCATCTTGAGCGCTTTGATGATGGCGGCGGTCGCGGGAGGCTCGGATGCTTCGCCTTGGCTGCCGCGGGTGAAGAATGGCTTGTCATCTGGGCTGGCCATTGTTAAGGCAGCGGGTGATATGGAATAAAAATGTTTTAAAAATGTCCAAGTGGGCTGATTTGGTCCAAGTTGACGATATTGGACCTGGTTGAGTAAAAAAGTCAAGATAAAGCGATGAGCGGCGTCCGGGGCCGGAAGTCGTCATACTAAGCCATAAATCCTCCATGGACCAACGACACCAAAGCCAACAGCAACCGATAGGCAGCATGCGATAAGCTGACTGGGCACCTCATCACCTCTGTCAAAGTGAACATCGCACATCTTCTTACATGTAAGCAGTACGGAGGCAGTCAGGAGCCCGTCAATGTCGACTCAGTGGAGCTCCAGTTTTGGTCCAGTCGACACTGCCTCCGGGCGACTCGTGTACCAGATTCTCTCTCAAAAAAGTGAAGAAGTCGACAGAAACTTCACTCGGCAATTAGCCTCAGAATCGATGATCATGACATGTCGACAGTATTAAAAAACAATCATCCTGGCAGGGTCGTGCATACCTGACGTTGAATGAAGCTCAGAGCTGCACCAATCAAGGGGTCTGGATGGGTCGAAGAGTGGGCTGCGTGACATAGTTGCGCCCGTGTTGGCTTTGAGTTCTACAGACACTTGTACTGGTGCCGACCCACCCACTCTCAGCTCAACAACACCTTGTCCCTGGGCTCATACGCCGCCATATAACTTCGTCGCGCTCGAAAGCTGCAGAAAACCAGGAAACTCTCTAATCAACGCGTCATTCAAAATCCGTCACTTTCCTCCAGGATGGCGCCACCGGCCCCCACCATCCTCACTCTCAAGCAAAACTTCATCACCACCCAGACGCGTCTCCTCTCACAGCCCCTCCAGCCCAGCCGTGCCTGGCGGCGCGCAAACGAGGACGCAGCCGCCGTGTCGGAGAAGGCCGTCGACGACGCGCTCTTCCGCCTGAACCACACCCTGCAGCAGCACTCGCGGCGCGTCTACGCGACCCAGGCGACGCGCCAGGTCGCCGAGCAGGTCGACAAGCTGTACCTGGGCGCCGGGGAACGCCACGCCGCCACCGCCGATGATGATGACGGTGACGGGGACGAGGACGACGACGACAGGTGGAGGAACGTTGGCGCCGACTACGCCGACGCGGGCGTCATCTCGTCGCTGCCCCCGGCCTGGGAGTCCGAGAGGCAGGCGGCGGCGTTCCCGCTCGAGGCGGAGCGCTACGCCGAGCTCGCGGGCCGGCTGCGGGGCCTGGCGGCGCGGAGGGACGAGGCCCGGGCGCGCGTGGAGCGGCTGCGCCGTATGAGGGCCCTGCTCGCCCCGTTCAGCGGCAGCGGCAGCACCGACGGCGCGGGCGATGACGAGGGGTCTTCGTTCGCCCCGCTGGGTGGCGTCCAGGAGAACCTCGTCACACGCGACGGCGAGGTGGAGAAGGAGCTCGAGCGCATGCGTATGCTGCTCGTGCGCGTCGGGGACAAGGTCGCGAGGTTGAAGGAGAAGGAGGCCGGGCGGGACGATGACGACAGCGACTTATTTGGCGATGGTGACGCTATGATTGTGGATGATGTTGAGGTTGAGGAGAGGAGGAAAGTGGATGGGCTATTGGACGGTCTGGGTTAATAAGGGGCGGAGGAGATGAGAAGCATCCCCGTACTGCGTTTCGCTACTCAGGCGGAAGCGGCAGAAAGGTCCTCCTTTCCATGCTCTGGCTATAGTCCCGGCCGTTTGGAATCCATGTTGGAATCCAACGCTGGAGGACTCAAAGGTCCGCGAGTGCTCTTGAATCAGCGTTTTCAGGTGCAAGTCTGATGCTCACATTCCCGGTCACGGTCACCATGAGGCTGGGTACACTACAAAAAGCTGACTTCTAGTTCCTGTCTGAAGACACGCAATACTCAATCGAGCCGAGTTCATACACACTTGTAAGGGAGATTATTCCAGAAACATGAGCTGGGTATCCGCCAAAAAGCATCCGAAGATCATACGCGCCCAGTCACAAGCCATCACCCCCAAACCAGTTACGTCCCGGACGTCCCCGCAGGAATCACTGTCTTGTCCGTCCCCGCCTCCTTGGTAGGTGCTTCGACCTGCAGCTTGACAGGTTCAGCCTTCGGCGCCTCAGTCCCTCTGCCAGTCTCGGTGTCCTGGGAGCTGTCAACCTCGCCCTGGCCCGCCTGCCTCACGACCTCCACGTCGTCGAGAGTTGTTTGCGCCGAGGCTTCCCCCTCCAGCGCCTTCTCGTCCTCCTTCTTCTCCTCGGCAGTGACGTTCTCAGCAACGGCGTCCTTTCCACTGTCATCTATATCAAGCACCTGGCTCTCGTTAGCCTCCTCCTTGGCCTCCTTCACATCGTCCCCTTTCCCTTTTCCTTCTCGTCGTCCGCCTCATCGTCGCTGTCGTCCTCCCACATCCACGGATTCGGCCTCTCCACCCTGAGCTTCACAATGTCGTCGTCCCCGTTCCCGCCCTCCGATTTGTAATAGACCCTCAGCCCGAAGACCCCAACCGCATTCCACGGGTCTTTCTCGAACTCGTTCAGCTCATCCTCACAGGTCGGTCCGCTCGGCGGCGACGGGCTCGAGGGCTGGTTCGCCTTGGCCGCCCGCGCCGCCGCGGCCCGCGCTTTGTCCTGCGCCTCCAGGTACAGGTCGATCTCGTGCTCACTCACCTCGGACATCGAATCTAGGTCCTCGATGCCGTCGTCGGTCGAGGCGTCCGAGCTGCACGACGAGGACGCGCCGGGCGGCGGCGGTGGCGGCGGCCGCATCGAGGAGTAGGGGATGCCGCGGAGATGAGGTGGTAAGTGGTGGCGCTGGCCGCGAGGGTGGTCGTATACTGCAACACGGGGTGGTGGTGGTGGCGGCGGTGAGTAGAGATAGCCCGGTGGTGGGCCAGGGGTCCTCGGGGGCAAGGGGAGTCCGGGGCCCGTCTGCACGCCGATGTCCACATGCATGTGAGGCGGTGGCCCTGCTTTGTCTGCAGACGGCTTGGGGGCCGCTTTCTCAGGCTTGGGCTGGGAAGCCCTGGGCGTCGGAGGTGGCTCCTCTCCCTTGGACGCTTCCATGGAAGTCGTTGGCTGGCTCTCCCCTTCCTCCTCGGCGGCTGTTACGTACGCGTCTTCTTCCTGTGTCTCCTCGATCTCGACAGGTGTCCTCTCAAACATGGTGCTCGAGGCAGGCGTGTTATCTCCGGGCTCGGTGCTCGAATCGTTGCCGTCCTTGGATCCCTCTGCGACGCTCTTATCGTCGGATGGTATCTCAAGTCTGGCACCGTTTTTGTCACCTGGGGCAGCCTGACCTTCGCTGTCTTTATTTTCGAGCTTGTTGGTGCCCTCCGTGCCCTCCGTGCCCTTGTCTTTGGCAGAAGCGGTATTGCCCCTGGCCGTGGTTCCACCAGGTGATTTGTCTGCGCATCTTTCCTCGTCCTTTTTCTTCTTCCGTTCCTCTTCAGCCTTCTCCTTCGCCTCCTTTCTCGCCTGCCGTCTCTCGTCTCTTGCCTTCGCGCGGGCTCTGGCCTTCTCAGTCGCCTTCTTCTTCTTCATTGTCTGCCGGATGGCGTGTTTGCGCTCCTCTTCCCTCTGCTTCATTATCAACTTGGCCATCTTCTTCCTCTCCCTGTCTCGCTTCTTCTTCTCATAGTTCTCCCTTGCGGACTTCTCCTCGGGGGTCTCAATAATCCTTCCTTTGCTGTGCGCAAGGTCATACGCGAACCCGATGCGGAGCAGCTTCTCCCTCCTCTCCTTGGCAAAGGCTCGTATGACATCTTCGACGGGCATGATCCCCTCGTTGCGCAATGCGTCGATCTTGACCACGACGACGTAATCGCCCGCCTCAAGTTCGAGCTCCACGTTGATGCTGCGATTCATGCGGTCTATGCAACAATTGTAAGTTAGAAACTCCACTATGGCAATTTCGAGAGTTGGCTGAAAAGGTACATGAAGTGATGTTTTACACGACGTAAAAAAGGCTACAGAGCCTCGCCCCATAAAACATTACCAGACAAGGTTTTCAAGGCACTTCAAAAGGCAGAAAGGGGAGAGTATCGGAGGTTTGGAGAGACTCACAATATCCCTGGCTCCTCACAACGTAGTCCTCCTCGCCCGACTTGTGCAGCCTGAAGCTCAGCTCGAAGCGGTACTGGCCCTCGAGGCCCTTGAAGTAGCGCTCGTCGAGCTGCGAGCACACGATGACGACCGGCCCGGGCTTGAGGAGCGAGAAGGCGAACTTTGTGTCGTGGTAGTCCAGCGTCCACGGCACGTTGAGGGTCGTCCAGATCGACGCGACTTTCCAGCTCGAGTCGAACAGCCTCGTGCGGTCAAACGCCTGGTACTTCTTGAGGAGGTCGTCGTACGAGATCCAGAAGGACCCGTCGTCCCCGAACTTGTGGTCGAGCTTCTGCAGCCACTCGGCCGTCCACTCCTTGGACCCGTCCGACCATGCGCCCTTCCACTCGTGCTTCCCCCAGGGGTTCTTGAGGAGCACGAGGCGCACGCCGTCGATCTCGCGGGCTTTGAGGACGGAGTATGCGTGGAGCTCCACTATCCCTTTGCGCTCACCCCAGCCTTGAAACGTTGAACTGTCAGTATCGTACGCATTCTCTATTGCCAGGCCTGCAAAAGAACACACAAAGCATCATCACACTGGGTGGAAGGAAATTCCGAGCCACCTGATCGAAGAAGAAAGCAAGAGCCTCGGACGTGGCATGCATAGGAACAGATCACTTACCGCGACCCCAGACACCAGTGGAACAGCCAAACAGAAAATCCTGATTGACCTTCATCAGCTCTTCAGTCCAGAAGTGCTCCTTGTCGAGTATGTCGGTCGTGTAAATCTCAGAGGTCACGCCGCCGGTGAGATCCTCAATCCCCTCGCCCCCATAGCCGCCTTCAATAGCGGAATAGTCGCCGTGGGCTTTGGCGTAGGCCTTCTCGAGGAGCGGGAGCCACGTCTCGTTCGGATTTTCACACTGGGCAAAATACTAAGGCGACAAGATCAGTATCCGGCACAGACGGGAAGAACGAAGAAGGGCTGGAAATGGCCCGCTTACCAAAGCGCCGCTGTTGGACTGATAGATCTTGCGGTACGCCTCCTCAGAGTTGACCCGCTCTCGGTCTTCCCAAAGCATACGCTCCAAGCACCGCTCGTCATAGTCCGGTTTTGTGAGGTACAACTGCGGGCAGGTGTCAGTGTCAAATCGTTCATGACCCAGGCCTCTGATACGCGGAGTTTTGCTTCAGGTTCAGCAGAGCCAGCACCTACGACGGACTCACCTTGTCGTCAATGATCTCGCTGAACCACTCCCCATCCCGGTGGAACACGAAGCCGTACACGCCAACCTCGTGGTCGTGCGCCACGCAGCACCTCTCGATCAGACCCGGCTTGTTACTGATGGTGCACAGCGCGGCCATAAGCCAGCAGTCGCCATCCCTGCCCTGGCGGACGTCGTGGGCTGTGGGGCCATCGATGAAGAACTTAGGGTCGTCGAATATGTCTACGACTCTTTTGACCGCCTGAGGGCGGAGCTTCGACTCACCATCTCCGTCTGTGGGTAGCGCGGCGTTCTCCCTGTCGATGCGGTCCAGCATACCCATGACGCTGGTGGCGGACCCGGGCTGCTGGTGGTCGCGGTCCTTGAGCGGCGGGTCCCGGATGTAGTCGTCGCTGCGGTCGTCGTCCTTGACGTTGTCCAGGGAGTCCAGGCAGTCCCGCCGGTTGAGCTTGAGGTCGATCTCCAGGTCGAAGTGCGGATCACGGTACTTCTGGTTGACCCGGCGGCACTCCTTGACGATCTGGGCGACCTTGTGCCGACACTGTGCTGCGGCGTCCTCGTAGGACTGTTGAGTAGTCTTGGCCGGGCCGAGACACTTAGCCGAAGCCCGTTTAGCTGCGCGCTCAGAGAAGTCATTCTGTTGAGGAATGATGGAAGTAGCTGTGTCGAGGCTGTCAGCACGTGTCTGGGCCAAGGCGGCCAAGGTCAAGAGACCTCTCAGGAGCCGGGTGACATGTTGTCGACTTACCCTTTCCAGGCGCCTTGGTCTTGTATTTGTCCCAAAAGTCATCTATCTTCTGTTGTGGTGTCTTGGGTTGGGGACGCCGCCGCCTGTCGCCCTTGGAGGTTCCCGGGCGTGGTCCATCATCCTCGGACGAGCTCGATACCGACATACTGGAACTACAAGTCGTGTGGCACCCTCGGCAATCTCTCTTATTGTGGTCAAACTGGCAGGTTGGCGTCAAGAACGGCAGGTCTGGGTGTGCCTTGGGGTTGAAAACAGCCTCGGGCAACGATGTGCGCTTTTATTGCTTGCTAGGCGAGGCAACGAGCGAACCACGGCGGATGATCGAGGGGGCGTCGCCGCGTTGTGCGAGGCGGAGAGGAATGATGATGGACCAATAGACGTATACAATAAATCCTCCAGCTTCAAGACCGGACTTGCATGTCTCCAAGGAAATATTTGCAGATCTCGGAGTCCCCCAGTACTCCAGCCTTGTTCCTTCACTTGAGAGGGCGGAGGACCCGAATGTCAATAGGCCTCTGGTCTATTGTGCCATGTAATATGGGAAGAAAACAGCTATTTGAGATTGGAAGAGAGGAGAAGCCCAGGAACCAGGGGGAGAGGAAACGCAACATGTGGGGGCCAGATTTATTCAGGTCAGGTCTGGTCAGGTCAGCTCTGTGGTCAAGGCCGGTACGGGTCGACAAGGCTGCAGCGGCTGGACCTCGCATCTCGTCATACATATGATTCGCGGGTGCAGCCTAAACTTGCGCGCAGTAGGCGGCGCACGAATGAGGCTATGAATATCCGGAAGAAGGACTGGATGGGGGTGAGTAAAGGCAGTGGTTCCCTCTCCCCTCCCTCCATGGACGCTGGCTGCACCTTTCCTGCTGATGAGCTAGCCTTTGGCTGCGGGACGAGAGACGAGGTGTGAGACAGCAGAAGCCACCAGGTGGAAGGATGCGACACAAAGGAGCAGAGTGAGAGGAGAGCGAAGCGACAGAGGCTGAAGAAACAGACTTGACAAGGGGAGCCGAATCAGCAGACACGCAAGACGAGGCGGAGGGGACGGGAGGAACGGTAGCAACGGAGGACCACAGCAGCTCTAGCCAAGCTGCAGTCTCGAAAAGCAGCCATCCTGCCAGCCCATCCGGCTCAAATGGGGGGGGATGGGGAAGGGGGGCAGAAGTCATCGTGCCTCGTACACACACACACACGCAGAGGGAAACACTGCATGAAGGACTGAGACGCCACGGCGAATGGTGGTCGGCGACGGGAAGACTAGCAGCAGAAATGGATGGGCAGGAGGGAGGTGGCATGTAACAGCCCAAGCCATGTGTGTTTTGTGAGAGGTCGACTGGGGGCCTCTTCGCCGGGTGCTACTGGCCACGGACGGAGAGACCGGCCGTGCTCTTCTGCGTCCTGCGTTCTGCTTTCCCGCATATTGCGTCCCAAGGTTTGCACTCCTGAGCGAACCGTGTCGCCGGCATGCACAATGTGGTGAGCCAAAAGGAGCAAGGGGGTGGGTGGAAATAAGGCTGAGCCGGGCTGGAGCTTCTCAGCGTGTCGAATCGGCGGTACGGTTGACCGAGCAGCTGATGACCCCGGATTTCGATGCGAGGCGTGGGGGCGCCCAGTCTTCCACGGGTCGGTCGGACGGGATCATCCCTGCGTGTCGTTCCCAGCTGGAGGTGCAACCCATCTCATCTCACATGCAGAGACCAGACAGTCAGGCTACGAGGTACTTGACTGAGAGAGGGAGAGAGGGAGAGAGAGTGTGTGGATGACGGCACAGTTCGTATGCGAGCAATCTGCTGGCGACCGACCATCTAGATCGGTATACACTTTTTCTAGCATCCGTCGATCCTCTGGTATCCCTGTAAGCTGCGGATACTACAAAACATTGGCCAGCCGAGTAGGCAGCAAAGTCGTAATATCTAGTAACGCGTTCCTCCTCAACCAGCCAAGTGATTGAAGGCAGACTTCCTCGTGGGGCACCGGGTATCGACGGGACCTACGACGTGGCGATCGCACCGGATCACACCGGGAGGACGGGTGGCCGCCTTGAAGGAGAGCTGCTGGTATGCCACGGCGGGGCGACATCGCGAAAGGAGCCTGCTTGTCAGACGACCAGATAAAATCTTAGATCGAAGCCCCAGGGAGAATAAAAGAGCCGTGTGTGCGTCCGTCGTCCGGCGCAGCACCGAGCAGGATGTGACCATCGGCTTACTGTCAGACGGGTCCACGGCAAGAGGACGGCACTTACTGGTCGCCAGCAATCGCAGCAACTCGCCCAGCATGAAGCTGACTGCATGCAGCGTGTCGGTGAGGCTATCAGCTCCTATGGCCCTCCCCAGCCAATACAACGGGAGACGGCAACACGGGAAAGACAGAGACCAACGAGCTGTCTCATGGGGATAGATCGGAGGGGGTGTAACCAGCGAGAGAGTGTGCAAGAAACAGAGAGAGAGAGAGAGAGAGAGAGAGAGAGAGAGAGAGAGAGAGAGAGAGAGAGTCACGATCGATCAGCGCAGAGCCTCCTCAACGCCCCCGCCACCACCATTGGTGAACCCCATGATGGGAAGGAACCGCCCTCCATTAGGGAAGGAGCCGGGTATGCCCCGCCTCAGTTGCGCTGCGCTGCGATGCGCTGCTTGCGTGCATGCATGCAGATGCTTTCGTACTTGAGTGCAGACAGACAGCAGCTGTGACACAGGGGACATCTCGTCATCAACGAGGCTGTCGACAGGAGGACCGCAGATGCTCCTTCCTGGTCCGAACCTTCCTGCGGAAGCGCTGGTGATACAGGCTCGGGGAACACATGCACGCACGCACACACAGAGAGAGAGCCACAAAGGGCGGCTAAGACACAGTGCCGTCCCCGCCTAGTTGCTCAAGCAGGGTCGAGGAGAGCGAGCCATCTACCAAAAGGCCGGCGCAGCAGAGCCTCACACGGCACTCCGGTCTCTCTCTCGTTCTTGATAGTCGAATGCATTGGTGCGACCTGCCAGCAGAGGGTCTAGACCGCTGCTCTAGACTAGATCGCCGTCACTATCGATTCTCCACACGGTATGTTGCCTACCCGGTACCCTGGGTCAATATTGTACAGTATTATCCATCAACTCTTGCACACCAAGATGGAGGTATATACATAGCCAACCCCGCGTGCGCCTGTGTCTCCGCACTTACAGCGGTTGGACTGGTGGACCCTGATCATACAGCCTCATTTACACGTCCATTACTAGTCACTTGCCGTCCCATGTTTCCCATCGTCTCGTCACCGCATCGATCTTGCACTGAGGTTCGCAAATGCGTCCGGACTGTGCCGCCCATTGGACCATTCCATCCCCAGTGCCATCATGCTGTCTCGGCTCCTGTTTCCCACCATACCGTCCATGCCTGAAGGCTGTGCCGCAGCTGGCTGTGGTGCCCCAGCCCCACCGAGGAAGGGGTTCTTATTACCGGCCGCCGTCATAGAAGCCCCCAAATCTGCCTGGTTCATGGCCTGGTTCTGGGGGTTCGAGATCTGAGTCAAGGATGCCGGTCCTGCCTGCCGTTCTGCCTGCTGTTCTGCCTGCTGCTGGGGTTGCTGCTGCTCAAGGTTGTTATTCTGTGCCTGAGGCGCAAGCTGTGGGAGATTATATAGAGCGAGGATAGATGCCTTGTCTGCTCTCGGCGGTGCTTGTTGGGCCACAGGCTGGCTGAACTGGGTAAACTGGTTGAACTGAGCCTGCGGCACCGGCGCGGCTATCGCAGTCTGTGGGAAGAAAGGGTTGTTCATCTGCGGCTGTTGATGTTGTTGCTGCTGCTGCTGCTGCTGATACGGCTGTTGATACTGTTGCTGATACTGTTGCGGCTGTGGCTGCGGCTGTGCAGGAGAACTGTAGAAGTTCTGCTGGCTTTGCTCCGGAATCTGTCCCAGCGATGTTGGCGTGGCCATGCGGGTTGGAGATCGCGCAAATGGATTATTGGCGTAGGCACCACCTGTAGGAGTCGGCATCAAACCAGTGTTAAGAGACGCGAGTTGTTGATTCTGCTGCTGCTGCTGAGGCTGTGGTGGTTTTGGTTGCGAGTTGTTCAAGAAGGGGTTGTAACCAGTATACATGGGCTGTACAGGTTGCGCAGGCTGCAACCCAGGCTGCTGGCCCTGCTGAGGGTATGCGGGGTTACTATCAAACACATTGCCAGAATAGTTCTGGGGTATTGATGGTACTGGCGGCTGCATAGACTGCTGGCTCATCATCATCTGCTGCTGCTGAGGCAGACCGCCGGTGTGGTGAGGGAACAGCGGCTGTGGAGCGCCGAGTGACATGTTGTTGAATGCCTGGTTCAAAGCATCGTTCGACTGCGTAGCCGTCAGGCCGAACGGGTTATTGCTGTAATAAGGATTTCGGTTTGCCATATTTCCCGTCGACTGGCTCGATATGGGCTGAACCGGAGATATGTCGAAAGGGTTGTTCGAGGCGGACATGGGCCTTGCTGTCTCTGCCCGAGACACTGTTAACCCACCAATACGGCCTCCGGCCGACGCTGGCGGTCGGATGACACTCGGGAACTCGTCCACTGGGCTAGCCAAAGGTGATCGACCTTCTAACCGCACAAGAGACTCTATTGTCCTCTCCAAGTTGCCGTTGACGCCCTTGAGTACGACCTCGTTCTTGCGCTCGTCTGTGAACCCTAGCTCCCGCAGCTTTGCCAGCTTTTTGTGCATGTCGTCGTCGCTGTCGTAGCCCAGACTAGCACCGAAAACCTTGGAAACCTTTGGTCGATGGGCCTGTTCTGGACTGTGGGGAGGGAGCGGGCTTGAGTGTGCTGATCGTGGGCCAACATCCTTCTTGGATCTGAAGAGCGGGAACGTTGAGGAGGCAGAGCGGAAGCTGAATTTGCCCGTGTTCTTCGGTGGTAAAGGAGGAGGCGTTTCATCAGATGTCGTGCTCCCGGTGTGGTGCCTTCTTGCGGCGGCGAAGCCTTGATTCATGTACTTGGATCGTATGTACCGTTCGATCGCAGAGTCAGCTTCGTCGGCGTCGACGGGGATCGGAGGTCTCTTGTTGTCGGGGTTGTAGAGCTTGTTCGATGAGACGTTTCCGACCTTTTTCATGTTCTGCTCCCGGCGTCAATCAGCACGCCCGCAACAAGGTGACGGGAGAGCGTGTTTCTGGGCTTACCTCGACCTGCTCGTTTGACCAGCCGTCCATGCTGAGCGACTTAACCTTGGATATATGTGTGCCGAGTTTGCGATGGATCGACGCGCATCGCATGCACAGGAAGATGCCCAACTACCACATGTTAGCATTTAGAGACGTGCACAGAGGGGAGAAGCGTGTCGGTCGCGTGACGAGGGGTTGTCGAGGCGCTGTCGAGGGGGATCGCACGTACGCTCCATGATGCCCAGCCTACGTGTCTCGAGTGTTAGTGATGGCCATCCGGGGGACACAGAGACCCGGGACTAACCTGGATTCCGCGCCTGGCAGTCTGCGCACTGGTTGTTCCCGGGAACATTCTGGACGAGGTCCTGTAGGGTCTTTTCGTTGCGAGCCTGCTGGCGCTTGCTGAGGGCACCGGCCATGTTCACGGTCGTTGCAGGAAGGGACGCGAGGCCAATTGCAATCGGCAGTGTGGAGGCGGTCTGCTAAGGCGTCGGAGCCTTGCTCGGGATGGCGACACGAAGAGCTCGACCGCGACGGGATGGGATACCGGTACGTAGTGGTGGTACAATTATGGATTATTGTCTGGGTGTGCTGGAAGCCGACTCGGTTCGTTTTAGCGGTACACCGTGCCGTCGGGGAGAGGAGCAACAACAGGAGGGGCGCAGTCGTATGAACCCATACATAGTACGTCAATCCAATCAAATCTTGGGCATCAGGGGCGATTCATACGGAATTAGGATCGGATATTAAGAACAGGGGGCGATCTGGAGGCGGGATGGAACCAACAGGACCACACCAACGGGGGCGAGTTTAAAGAGAAAAAAGGCAGCAAACGAATGGTGCAGTGACGGAGAAATAGAGTGAAGGAATGTACGTCAAGAAGCCTCCAGGCTGTGAATGCAGGCCGATTCGTGAATGGGAGATGAGATGGGTGAAAAGGAGCGGCCGCGCGGTGGATTGTTCAATTAAGTCCGCCCATCCACCACCCCCCATCGCGAAAACCGAGCGAAGGACCGGCGAAACATGGGGGAGGCGCCAACGGTGCAATCCTTGGGACGGCGGCCTTCCAGCTGCCAAGCTGGGACTATGGACCGCTGCGGTGGGCGAGGAAATAGTGGGCTGTCGCTACCTAAGCGTGCTGTAGGGTGCAAAGCTAGAGCCCAGGACCACAGCACCAGATTTGCTAGTGCCCGTGGACTTTGGGCATCTGCTCACGGGCCACTTCCGCCGAGTTCGGAAAAGGGGTTCACGATGCTTCAATTAATTAAATGTCACAGCTCAGGCTACAGTACTTGCTGAAGCCCAAATCTTCCGTAGCCCACTGCTTGGGCCAGTATCTATTTACAACAGACCCACAAGATTGTTCTCTGTTGTTGCTTCAGGCGGAGCGGCCACGACTGACACGATCATGGCCACAGCCCGTCGTCAAAGTCCAGACAGAGGTTTAGAGGCGGACGAAAAGCCAGTGGCTCTCATCCCTCAGTCATGATCACTCCAGAGTCAGGTCCCATAGAAGAACGTCCACGGTCATTTACATTAGGCCAATGACCGTCTTGTCCTGTCCACTTGACGCAGCACACCACCGTGTGAACACTAGATACCTCCACTTTTGTCTCTATGACTGACACGCAGCCGCCTCTGAAGAGTACGGCCGAAGCTACTCTCTCCTTGTTATCGCCATTTATTGCCCTTCAAGGCCTAGCACAGCCTTTGCTACCTCATAGGCACCTAAGTGGGGTCTTCCCTATCATGGCACGCCAACTGTAGCGTGCTTGGTCTGGTGTGAGTTGTTTACCATCTCTGCGGATGAGTCGGGTCAAAATGTGGACCGGGAGGACCACAGCACTGCAGAACAAAATGGGAAGCCTCGACTTCCGTATAGGAAGAGTACAACACTCCACCTGTATCTTGACGTCCGACGACAGCTCACTTTCGATACCAATGTAGTCACCATTCACTACCCCTCCACATAGAATTAACTTCTGTGTTTGCTCTCACAACTCCCGGGTGAGGAGGCTCGACTTGGACGGCGAAGATGTTAGGCCCGCAATGGGGATGAGTAAGATGCCCCCAAGTGACATTAAATACATCGTCGGAACCCTGGAAAGACAAGGTAGCTGATATGGCATATTTCTTTTGGCGCACAGGCCATTCTGACTTCAGCATTGTGATCTAGATGTTCTCATTGCCCATACAATGAAATGGTTATCTTGACATGCTCTAAACAACCCGTTTCCAGTTCATTTTTGATTTGGCCAGCATGAATGAATGTGGATATTATTACGGCTTGTCCTTCAGACTATGGGGTAATATTATATCATAGTAATAACCAATGCTGGCATACAGACCATTGGGCAATATCGAAGTCGCTGGTTATTGATTGTGCTTTCCAATTCCGGAAACGACCTGTAAACCGAAGGGTAGGGTTAATACAAGACATGGAAACATGGGTGACTCTGCTGCCATTCTGAGAGTAGCACACATCCATAAGCACCTGTGGACTGTATACGCCATAGTTAAATCAGGGTTCCAGCCAGGCCAAGAGCGTCGGCCGCGACAGTGATTCCAACTAGATCATGATGAGCCAAGAGTCCTTCTTGAAGTGTCAAACCTTCAGCCTTTTCATTGCCAACAGCAAGATACCACCGTCATGACATGAAGCTATATACAAAGACGAGCCGGGCCAGAGTGTTTCGTTGAAGGATCCCCCTGGGGCCATGACACCTCGTGAAAGACGTACTCAGATCGGGCTAGAGCATTTGGGGCTTTGAAATAAGATGCTACGATGCTGTCGTGTTGTATCGAAATTTGACAATTACAAACTACTGCAATCACATTGTGAGCTTGACCAAGAAAAGGTACATCGAACCTATGTCTATCGTATTGTGAAGAAATCGGTAGGATAGTCGCCACTCAATTCAATGAAGTAACATGAATTGAATTACGGCATCCAAGAAGAGGTAGAAACACAAGTATCTACTGCATTTATCACATCGGCAAATGCAAGGCGGCCTATTGACAACATTTGTAAGCTGGTGTGGCCGACTGGCAGCGGGTGGTGTCATTCCAACCCCCTTCGGAGTAATTTGTAAGCTGCATTGTAGACAGCGACGTGTGACACCACCTAGTTGACTTACACGCAAATCACGAATATTAAACCATTTCTGTCCCGCTTTAGACCTGCGAAATTACCCTGCTGCTGACGATAAGTGATTAGTCTACTAGTACGCCCCATTACCTCCATCGTCCTTGGACCAAGCAACAGTCCTAACCAGTATGGCTCCCATCCGCGTCGCGATCATCGGCCTCTCAGCAAGCGCAATAACCTCATGGGCGGAAGAGGGACACCTGCCATATCTCCTTCTCCCCCGCGCTAAGGAGCACTACGAGATCGTAGCTCTCCTCAACTCCAGCGTCCAGGCCGCGGAGGCGGCACGGGCTCACTTCCACCTCCCGGCCTCGGTGAGGGCACACGGCGACCCTGCCGCGCTGGCCGCGGACGATGGCGTCGACCTTGTCGTCTGCTGCACGCGCGTCGACACGCACGTCGCCCTCGTGAGGCCATCCCTCGAGGCGGGCAAGGCCGCCTTCGTCGAGTGGCCCATCGCGTCCGGGTACGCCAGCGCGCTCACCCTGGCCGGCCTCCCCGGGTCCGCCAGGAGCGTCGCGGGCCTCCAGGGCCGCGTGTGCCAGCCCGTCCTGCGGCTCAAGGAGCTGGTCCGGTCCGGGCGCGTGGGCCGCGTGCTGAGCAGCGAGGCGCGCGTCTTCGCCAACATCATGACGCGCGACGCCCTGTCCGAGGGGATGGCCTACTTCGCGGACCGCAGCATGGGCGGCAACCCGCTGACCATCACGTTCGGGCACGTCATCGACTATATACACGACGTGCTAGGCGAGTGGGAGGGCGGCGATGCCGCCAGCACAATGCAGGTCCAGCGGCCGCTGATCAAAATCCTAGGAGCCGATGGTACTCCGGCGAGGACTGTGTGGTCTGATGTGCCGGATTTCCTCGCGGTTAACGGGAGGGTTGCGCCCGGGAAGAAGAACGTTGTGGATGGAGCGTCGCTCGCCGTCACGTTCAGGCTCGGCCCGCCTTTCAAGGGACAGCCGGCTTTCGTGTGGAGCATCAACGGCGAGAAGGGGGAGATTCTACTGACGAGTCCCTCTGGACCGTATATATTCTCAGGGGACTCGTACGGCGAGCCCGTCCAGATCCAGGTCCACGATCATGAGACTGATAAGGTGGTGGATGTGGAGGTGGAGTGGAAGGACTGGCAGCAGGAAATACCTCTCCGCGCGAGAGGTACGGGCGAGATTTACGAGCGGTTTGCCAAATGGTGGGACAACGGCGCTCCCGGTGAGCCTGATGAGCTGCCAGAAGCAGAAGCCTTTCCCACTCTCGCTCACTCCTTGGAGAGGATGAAGGAGTTCGACACCCTTTTGAAAACACTGGAGTAGGCCAATGAACGACCTGGGGTCCAAATTCGTTATGGGTAACATATGCTCTCACCAAGACAGTCTATCGTATCAAAATTAGCAGCGCTAGCAAACAGAGACCTACATTAAATTACATAAACACGTATATTGTCTTCGGTTCGCGAAAGACGGCAAGTTTGCGCCAACTATTTGCTTGCTTGGTTCGAATTGTTAGCAGCACACGATAGTATGCATCTTTGCAACCTGTTGCGTAGCAGAATTTCTCGGTAAAGACTGTTGGTATATTTTCTTCTGTGTTAAGATAGTATCATCGAGATAGGTCACTCATAGAGTAGGCCGTACTCGAGGAAATAAAAAGCAGACACTGAAAATAGCCGCGAAACACGGCTTCACATATGGTGAGCTAAGCCCATTGTGCAAGACTGCACCGGTGGGCCGCATCGGAAGAAAGTAACGATAGAGTAGTGCCCGGACGTCTCTTCACTGACGATCAAGAGAAAACATGGCCGAGACACAACCAAGGCATCCGCACACGGAAGCCTCTGCACCATCCGGGGGAGCTCAGTACAGCTTGTGCTCCAAGGTCATGTCGGACTCGGGCTCGAGGCCGACGCACGCGCGGAAGATGTTGGTCAGGGCAGCGCGCTGCTTGGCCAGGGAGTTGACGACGGGGGCGCCGGGCGGCGTGAGCGGCGCCTTCAGCATGTAGCTGAGGACGCTCAGGACGCTGTGGAAGCTCTTGTAGCCGTCATCGCCCTCGGTCTTCCACTGGATGCGCGTCATCATCTCCGTGACGAGCACGAGGTCGATGATGAGGGGCGAGGCCAGCAGGGAGTCCTCGCAGACGTTGAAGATGCTGCCAGAGAGGGGCCGTCAGTAAAACTCGTTTACTCACAAACGCAATGCAGAGGGGAATCCAGGGCGGGCAGAAAGGAGACTTACGAAATCGTCTGGTGGCCGCCCATGAAGATCTCGGCATAGTACTCGTCCAGGGCGCGCTTGTTGTCCCCGACAGCGGGCATGTACTTGATCACCACGGTGTGGTCAGGGTGCTCACCCTTCTTGTACAGCACCGTGTTCGCCTCGACCATGTCGTCGACGACGTTGGACTTGGAGATCTCCTTGCTGCGGAACTGCTTGTGCGAGCTGAGGTTCTTGCCATCGTTGTTGCCCAGGTGGTTGTAGCTCGCGATGGACGTCAGCTTGATGCCCGCGTTGATCAGGAAGTCGACCAGTGCGGACTTCATCTTGGTCTGGCCCGACTTGAAGTCATCACCTCCGATGAAGGCGCCGTGGCGCTCGGCAAGGGCGACGGCGCCAGGGACAAAGGTGTTTTGCGGGCTGCCGTTGATGAAGGGGGCATTCTCAAGGATACACGCCACGGCGAAGACCGTGGACGGTGCGATCTCTTCATGGCCCTGCTCAATGGACTTGAGCAGATTGTCGGCAGTGTCATTCACGCCCGGGACAATGTCAGCATAGCGTTCCGTGTTGGCTGTCCACTGGACAACGACCTTGTCGAGGCCATGCTGAGCCTTGAAGTCACGGATGTCCTTGCGAATCTGCTCAACATGCGCCGTGGAAGCCTTCGTGCCAGGGACGACGTTGTCAGCCCTATCCTCCTGATTCGCGGCAATGAAGTCAGGGTAGTAGATGCTCGGCAAGGGCCGCATCTCAGCCATCTCCTTCTTCACCATCGCCTTGAGCGTAGGCTCCAGAACAGCGGCACGGTCCATGGCTTGAGCAAGGTCCATTCCGCTGATGTCCCAGCCACCGATGACCAGGTCATTCGGATGCACCATGGGCAGCACATCATGGAACGGGATGTTCACATCCGCGTTTGTCTTAGCATCAGTTCCCAGCTTCATGGTTGAGCCCATGATGACGGACCCATAGTAGTTTGCAGCACGTGGGCCCTCACGAGTGTCCCACACGAGGCCACGGCGGTTGGCGATGATTCCCGCAGTGACAGTGGTACCATTGTTCCCACCCCAACCAACGAGCATCATACCGACCTTGGGAACCTTGCGATCAACATGAAAGTTGTACACGGTCTCCTGCGGGGTGGCCGTGTAGCTTCCATCGTCGGCGGTTGCCACGCTGGTGGTGCGATAAGTGTACTTGGACAAGATCTCACTGTCCGTGTACTTGACATTGGAGGAGTTCACCATGAAAAGAGGTTGCTTGTCGGTGCCATGGCGAACTCCATTGCCGGTTGCCTGTCCGTTCCCGTACGCAAAGCCCGCAGCGGCTTCCTCGGCGTGCGGCGCCATAATGACTCGTGGTCAAGGGCTTGATTGATTTGCGCGTTGTGATGACGCCCCTTAATGAGTAAAGGGCGAGTCCGCTGTACTCCCTCCTCGAGAGGCACAACGGGCTCCTGCGTACGGGTGGTGGACGCTGCGATTGTCAGTAAGATCTCGCGCAGCTACTTATATTTTGAGAGTGAACTTACGAGTTTAGGAGATTGGAAAACGTCTTGACGATTTCTTGTGACCGCAGCCCGGAAGCGCGATCGATATCTAGATGTTGTGAGACTGTGAACGTGTGGCTGTTCTTACTACCTGATTGGTTCCGAGTACTGAAGAAACTACGTTAAGACTGATCACGAACGAGGGAAAGACGTTCGGGACAAAGCATATTTATCACCCTCAATCTTGCATGTGAAGCTTCAGGCGGTGAGAAGGCAAAGCGATCCGAAGATCCCGCTATCAAACGCTAACCGAGACCGCCAGCGAAGCACGCGACAATTGTCCAGCCAATTTCCCGAAGCAGCCAGCAAGTACTACATCATTGGGTAGAACAGCCCGTTGTTCTTGCACCTGCATAACATTGCAGCTGCAAGCAAGCGAGAACGTTCACTGCCTGTGTACGACAGCACAATCACGGATAAGCTGGAAGTGAAATGCTTGGCCTCATAGCAATGTTTATGCCGTGCGCTGCCGTCTTCCGACGTTGAACGCGGACGGCACATGGACTCGTCAAGTTTTCGTGCACTGTAAATCCCACGCTGCAATCCAGCCCATCGACACTGATTCTTTTTTCCATTAGAGACGTAGTCTTCGCCTGCTTTGCAAGGCGTGTGGCTCTGAGCCTCGGCATAAGAGGACCAGGGCGAAGCCAAAGGAGGCTAGACGCCCACTGCTTCGAAAGCAGGTATCCTGCTGTATATAGGATCCGACATCTTCGAAACCAGCAGAATCAACCGCTGCCAAACCAATCCATGTGCCACGGATTTTGCGATTAGCTGATGAGCTCGGGTTTTTTTTAAAGTGCAGTGAAGGCCGAGGCAATGGTCAATCTCACGACCTTTTCCGCCTGTGCCTCATTGCTCAGAAATTTCACTACTAGCCATCCCTACTAGCATGCTCCTTCGTTATTGCCAAGCATCGACGCCGGGCCTTTTCGGGTACCTTGATAGCAGAATGAGCCTGAAGGCGGCGCTTCTAACGCATCTAGACACCCGCAGGCCCCGTCTGCAGGAATGACAATGATGTGTCACAAAGGCTCGCACAACGGGACAGCATGTGCCCCTCCCCCGCGTAAGTTCCACGAGAGGAAGTCCACCACGAATGCTGACCGTAGACCGACCGGCAGCTCGATGCCAGAGATAACAACACTCCTGCCCGGCCAACCATGAGCATCGTCGCTTGAGACCAATTGCGGCATTGGAGGAGCCTCGCGAGCCGGCGCAGGGTCCGTCGCCTCTTGAAAAAACACGACGAGAATATTGCTCATGACTGCATCCACCATTCTTTCCACTTGAAGACTGCATGCATAATATGCCACATTTCAATGCAGCCCGCACGCATTTGGCTGTCCTGGACAGCCGAACACCCGGAAGATCTGGAAGGCTGGCTGAACCCAACCTGAAGCAGCGGGTGGAATAAAATGCCCGGGAGAATTGGGGCGACGGCGGTCGATGCGACACGGCTAGCTGCTGGATCGCCGGTGTTCATTTACCCACTACAGATCCGTGGGTGCCGCTCCAACCGTGTTTCATGATGGCACCGCAATCCCCGGTGAAGATGAGACCGAATTCATCGGAGCGTCCTCGATACGGCCGCTCTGGACCCGTCACTTGACGGTGCCCGTAGGGGGATGTTGACTCCCGTCGCTGCCGACGCTCTTGACCTCTGCGTCATATTGGCTCGAGGTTAACGTAGATCTCTTTTCCGGGAACAGGCGGCGGGCTTGACCATGTGCTCTCCCCGTGCCCAGCACTAGCAGGGCGCCGGTCGATAGAATAACATTGAACCAAATCTTGTGGGAGCCGATGGGTGATGGGCTGCGTGATAGACCGAGGAGCTGACGGTGGCTCCGAAAGAGCCGATGCCGCATGTGTCTGTCTAATTTGACTTTCTCGAGGCCACGAGATCGAGCGGTCGAGGTCTGTGTGCCGTCCTCGAGGCCGACTGACAAGCTTAGCTTCCAGATCCCCAGCTTTGTTCCCCCAGACGAAGGAATCACACATCGGGTGCAGAAGCCACCGGCTGGCTCGACAATGCAAATGAGATGCTGGGGATCGTCGATCACTTGACAAATGGGGTTTCCTTGGGGCTGCTTAGGGTGATGACCTGATAACGAATTTGATGGTAGAGTGATGGAGAATAGGATTGATTGACGGGCAGGCTTTGGATCGGCGCCGGGGTCGACATTGGGGGCCTTCCCAAAGTGGCACTCAGAGAGATTGCAGTTTCTGCGGGATGGAGGAAAGGGGATTAGGGGTCCTCTTGTGGCGCCACATTGGCCGTGTTGATTCTTGGTTCATGACCACGTCGGGATTTAGGCAGTCGGGGCAACGGCGGTGGATTGGATTCTGGTTCGCCCGGTATTGAAACGGCTGATTGGAGTTGTGCACGTCGGCGTGCCTGCTCCATCCCATCCACATGACAACTGAAGCGTTTCGAGAAGTGCTGTGGAAATGATGAATGGACGGGGCGACGAAATTAAAGCTCCAAGCCCACTGGGCCGCTGCAACCACACCGGCCAGGGCTGATCCGTTGTCAAGATCGAGTACTACCTGAGTGCCGATGAGTATGTCTTCGTTGGCCATCTGACTCGGCGGTCGTCCCTCGTGAATGCCTCTGGCCGGTTTTAGAGTGGGTTTGCGAGGGTGAGGGGTGAGCATGATGATGCAGCCAGCCCACTCGAGGTTTACATTTACGCGTGTACATGATTATCATCAAGTAGAGTTTTTCATCCATTGGCGGAGTCCGGAACTCAGCGAGGCAGGTAGCCCGAGCAGAAACCCCATCTGGAGTTCGCGAGCTTGAGCTTGAGCGTTCCATCGGCTGCGTACGCTGCAAGGTACCCGTTGGACGAGACTGAGGGCTCAATCGTCCGGGCCGCCAATTGCCATCGTGTGCCCTGGTTCATGCGGCGACGCACCCGGCGGCAGCGGTGGAGTCAATTCCTCCAAGGTGCAGGCAAGGCCAGGCCGCCCGACGCCCGAAAAAAGAAACCTGTTACGCGTCTGTATATTTGACACGGCTGCGTGGCTATAATTGTCGACTTGGCGCACGGCTCAATGCTACGGGCATAAACAGCAACACGTCGTCCGAATGCGCGTGTCGCACAGCCTGTTTGGTATTGGGTGTTAGTTACGGGACGGAGCAAGAATAGCGGTAGGCACTGTCAAGACCCAAAGGACTCAGGAGGAGGGTGGGGGAGCCGGGGTGAGGTGAGGTGAGGAAACTCGTCGGGTAAAGCCAGGTCAGGTGAGGTGAGATGAGATATGATTAGAGATCGGCACCCAGGTTGCTGTTATCTTGGTCGTCGTCGACAATCAATGCCTATCGTCCTCTGCCCTCAGCCAGCGTCGATTAAAGAGCGCGGCATCCTCGCCAGCTGCCAAGTTGCGCGATTACTGTGCCCTATGGCTGCTGTGGTTTTCTGTGGTTCCTGCCGTAGCATCACCGCCTCTCGCTCCGATCGACGAGGTGAATTTCCGCAGTCGCAACGCGCCCAGATGCCAGCGCTGCTCAGGTGAGCCTGCCTCTTTTCGCGCATCACCCACTCGAGGCCTAGCCGACGTCTGCAAACCTTGGAAAGCCAGGGCTGCTGGGGCCGCCAGGCTTGCCGATCCTTTTGCACAATTCAGGGACCACTTTATCACCACCTCTAGTATCCATATCCTGCAGGTACTGGCAGCCTGCCCCACCCGCGCTTGCACATTTGCACCACATCTGGACCCGCCTGCCCGCCAGCCGCTCTTTCTCCTTCCCCCAGACGGACTAGCGGCCATCTGGGGCTTGCCTCCCTCCTCGAATTCGAATTCGAACCCAACCCCATCCAGTCCCGCCAGTCCTGCTACTTGGAGACCAGTCCCATTCCGTTCAATGTAATTCAACTTGTCTTCGTGTCCAGAACGAGCGGGCTGCAGACTGCAGACTGCGCACAGCAGGGCCTCGAAACTCGTTCCTCTCCGCCTTCTCGCGTCCTTTTCTCGCTGCTCTGCGCGGCTTTCCTCCGGATATCTTAGCTAGACTGGCTGGATTCCAGTAACATTCCCGACGCTGCACACCATCGTCGACCGCCTTGCCAGTCGGGGGACGACGCTCTGATGTCTGGTGTGGTCTTGGATACATGCACATGCCCACACATGCCACACACACAGGAGCTACATCATCACCCAGTCCGTCACCTCACTTGTCAGACTGACATCTGCGACCAGTCTGAGGGACACTAGCTAGCGCCCTCTAGGCCACATGTCACAATCAGTGCCTTTCCTAGGTACATACGGGCACAGAGACCAAGCCTGAAAGACCGGGGCCAGGGCTGGCATCATCAACAGGAAGACAGCATCGCGCCAGAGAACGAGAGCACACAGACTCAAACGGTCGCCCGGCAGGGGTCCAGGTCCCAGGATCCAGGTCCAACGATCTCCGAATTGCTGCTACCTTGGTCAGGGGTAGCGTCGGCCACCACCAATCCGAGAGCTGCTTCACACCCACCTCGGCCGCTTTTGCTCACAAGGGCAGCCCGTCTCGACGACCGCCCACACTCCACCCTGCCACTGCCTGGCACCAGGAACCTCCATCCACAACTCGAGACACTCTCTGCAACACCGCAGGCACAAACAAATTAAGACTCTTCCCACCTTTCGCTTTGTCCGTTGCAGCCAATTGGTCTTCTGTCGTCATCTGGTCTTCTGTTTCTTTGTTTTCGAAACGTGCTCTGCCCTTGGACTCGACCGACAACCCGGAATCAATACTCTTTGTCCCGCCACACCTTCACACCCTGCGCCGTCCCATCCCGGCTGCAAACCCACTGGCCGGTTTCACCACTCGTGACCACCGTCCCATTGTATGGGCTTTTACCCATTGTACACCACGTTTCGCATTGCACGGCGGCCTTCCTAGGCATCAGTCGCCGCCGATCTGAGATCGAACCGACGGAGATCCCAACCTTTCCCCCTCACGTCGCCAAACTCTGGCACTCACGTCACTCTCCGCCAGAACGGTACCACAGCAACTACTCACTTTGCCTCCGGGACAACAACAGACGCGCTCAAGGCACGCCTACCAGATCTCACTCAAAAAGCATTGCGCTTCAATCGTATTATCACATTAACGACAGTGCCGAGCTAGGCATCACGCATTGCCTCGCAGCGCTGTCGGCCAATACGCCCAGCCCAAGATGGCGGGGGCACCAAGAGAGTCGAGCTTCATGCCGACAATAAAATGTTCATCATGTGGGCAGCAAGTCGAGTTATCCATGATGGGCGATCACGTCTGTGGCGGTGGTGCAGGTGGCGGTGGTGCCGCCAGCAATCCTGCCACGTCTATCGATGCATTCACCCCGTTGTATAAAGGCATACACGACAAAATCAGTGTACCACCAGTAGACACTGCCATGGCCAGTCCGTCGAGCGCCTCACTCACCTCTCCCTTTCTCCAGACTACTGACACTCAACATACAGATCGCAGTTATTCACGGCAGCCATTGACACCACTCAGCTTTTCCAGTGGCTCAAGGAGTGTGTCGCCTAGAACACCAGGCGCCCGCCCAAGTATCGGCAGGGCCGAAGACTACTTTGCGCCGAGTATCGCCAACGAAGATCAGAACCCTTCTCAGGTGAGGAGATCTGGAGGATATGGCGGCTTCGGTGATCCGGACTTGTATCCTGGGTACACGCCAGCGAGCCCGCAGAAGAAAGCACCCAGTCTGCTGACACGCATGGACGACATCGCCCCGGGTCCATTTGGCAGTGGTCAATCAGCATCGCCTCCTAGAGGCAGATTTGGAGGGTCCCCACCGCGTCGGTCAAATGATGAGGCTGAGCGGCCCGGCACTTCGGCATCATCTGGCAGCAATGGAGCCGGGAGTATGGGTCCCCCCAGAGTCCCAAGGAAGAACGGGTACGGTGGTTTCGGGCCGCCCCAAAGAGAAAACCAGGATGTGGATGCGTTCGGTGGCCCTAATCGTTCCAAGACGTTTCCCAGACCGAGCGAGGAACTCGAGCCGCCACTGCGCACACCCTCCGCGCCTGGTCCGCGGCCTGACCGCTACGACAAGTACCGGAACCCATCGACGGATCTGAATGTGCGCCTGGGTCCCGTCACAACCCGTGCACCTCCTCCGAGGACGAGCCTCGTGCGCGCGCCCACCTCTGGAGGTAACGCTCCTAGCATCAATCTTGCTGAAGAGTTTGGAGACATGAACCCGTATCACTCACCTTCGGTGTCCGTGTCATCTTCGCTGTCACAGGGCTCCAGTCAGCCCAGCTACCCAAGCTCGAGCACGAGCCCTGCTCGCTCTACGGCATCGGGCCGCAAGCCATCTAACACATCTGGCTTCGATCACCTGATGAACGACATACAGGCGTCCATGGATGAGCTGAGCCCGAGAGACTTGGATAGCCGGAGGCAGGCGCCGATGAGTGAAGAGCGATTTGACCCTGCCATACAAGGAGGACGGGCCCCCTCCATGCCTTCCTCTGGTTGGGACCAAGGAGCGCGGTCCGACCCAGCAATCCAGGGAGGAATTCGATCCGGATCCTCGCCTCTTCCACTCACTCAGGCTCGAGCGCCTCCACCACGGCGCGACCCGGCTGCTCGTGGGTCGCGTGGAAACTGCAGGGCATGTGGTGATGCCATCGTGGGCAAGTCCATCTCCAGCGCTGACGGACGACTGTCTGGCCGTTACCACAAGGCTTGCTTCGTATGTACAGACTGCGGTGAGAATTTCCCGACGGCGGAATTCTACGTGCATGATGATCGGCCTTACTGCAAGCACCACTACCACAAGGCCAATGGCAGTGTTTGTGGATCATGCCGGGACGGCATCGAAGGACAGTATCTCGAAGACGAAAGCATGAAGAAGTACCACGTCCAGTGTTTCCGCTGTGGAGACTGTGGTGTCGTGCTCAGAGACGGCTACTTTGACGTCGGCGGCAGGGCATATTGTGAGAAAGACGCATTCAGGCGACTACAGCCCCAGTCATACAGGCGGAGCCCGTCGATGAGCTCGCAGCGAAGCTACGGCAGCTCGAACCTTGCGCCCCCGGGCAGACCGGGAATGCGCGGACCTCCACCCAGCGGACCACCTTACCGACCCGGCATGCCGATGGGCAATGGCAGACTAGGACCACCCATGGGAGGTGGTCCAGGCCGAGGACTTGCTCCGTCAGCCCCGATGCCCAGAATGGAGAAGAGGAGGACAAGGCTAGGGATGATGTGAGCGCCCCAAAAAAGGTCTCAGATCAGATTGCTCGCCATTGAATGGGTACCCGCGTCGCCATGGATTCGACATATACAAAATGCTTCGTTTGACACGGAGCCCCTTCTATCCAGCATGCGGAAAATATTGTTCTTTTTCTTTGACTTTTGGATCTCGATTTCGACTTGACATTTCAGCAGCAGCTAGTGCAGCAGCCGCTCTATACCCCGAGTATTGCAATTGCATTCTTCCTTCATATACCCATTCGCTTGCGATTTCATTGCGACGCACGCTTGCTTCCTCATTGCGAGCTGCAGTCGATTCGCGATCTTTGTTTATTAGTGGCATCATCAACTATACCGATCTTTCATCCACGTCGAGGGGCTTGTCAGTGCGCCTCAGCATCTTTACGGCGTTCAGGCATTGGGTTCTCATTTAGGAAACGACTCATGTGTAGGATGCTTCACATGGATACGAGGCTCACATACGGCCAGCCCTGATTATTCTTGTTAATCGGGCATGGTCTAATACTACCTTGGGCACATACTGGGTGCTTGGGAGAGTCTCTAGCACACTTGGTTAGGCCAAGGAATCGAGCTGAGCAGAATCGAAGAAGATGAAAATGGATGGGCGGCATGGCCCATTCACGCAATTGGTATGATCAGAGGTTACACAGGCGAGATGGCGACCTGAGTCTGGTCGAGGTCACTTGACCGTTTTCGTATATATACATATGTTGAATAACAGCAAATAATCCTACGAATTTCTCGTGTCCATCCACAAATGAAGCGTCACAAGTGCAGCTAGGGAATCTGGCCTAAGTTCCACTGATTGCGAGGCGGATCTGGGTTCGCCTCTGCGGACGTACCCAGTCCGTATTGTAAAGTCGGCCGGCCGGCGACGCGCAACGGCTGCGTCACCGATGATACCACGGCCGGTGCTGGCAGTGCGAGCCCCGTGCCATTTGGTCTTACACGGACGACCCCTCTCACTGTTATTGGTGATGTCGTCATTCAAGAACGTTGTCATATTTGGTGACAAGCCAGGCCCGCGTGAAAACTCATCACGGTTGCCTTATGCCGCGCATAGATGAAAAGATCCCAGAGGACCGGTCGGTGGTCAGGCCGCCCCACCGAGTCATACCCTCAAGCCTCCTCCTACCTCTTCCGCAAAATGACGAAGGGGGTGATTGGGAATCAACGAAATAGAAAATGACAGAATGTTATCCGGCAGTTTGTTTGTCCGCCACGAAAAGAATTGGCGCCGGGGACGTTGGCCGATTACCCACTGTAAGGTAACTCTGCTGCCGTGTGACCACACCACCCAAGGAAAAGGAAAGCCCGTGTGAGCGAGCAGATAGGCCACAGAGGTTCATTTGGCGTGCGGTGATCTGTGCCAATCACAGCGATCGGTCTCTTTCTTGCCCTCACGGGACGGGCGGCTTTGGGGGAAAAGGGTTTGGTTGGAAGACGTGAATGGGGCAGCGTCTTGACAGCGAGAGTCGTCTCCCGCTGCGGCGATTGCATGCTTCGAATTGAGTTTGATCCTGTCCTGCTTCATTTCGTTTTTCATTGCGATGGTACGCAGCACAAATTCACGTCACTCTATCCCATACTCTGATACTCTCTGTCTTCGTAGGGCTGAAGCATTGAGGTGATTTAGCAAAACCTGGAATAGGCCGGTCCGGCTGTGGCTGGCCCCGGGGCTTCACACCAAAGGAGCCCTCACCCCAGATCCCGGGAAACCTGTTCGGGCGGGTGGGCGTTTCAGGTTCGTCTAGGGGTGAGGGGGCCGGATTGGGACTTGGCTGGTTGCGAGAGCGTGTGGAGGGCGAGGTGACCCGGGCCACATCTTGTTGGACTTGGGAACACCCAATGTGGCAAGCCTCTTGTCGCGGCCGAGAGAGAGATTTGAGATGGGGCGACCCGGCCGAGGCAACGAAGTGAGTGGACGGCAAGTTCCAGACTCGCCTCACGACGGTGCTGGACTGCTGTCATCAACGTGGTCTGAGACCACCTGGCAGCTACCGCAGTAGACTAGGCAGAGACAGATGGTAAGACAAGTGTTCGGCCTGAGCCGTGCATGTGCATGGCCTTTGGCAGGTCTGGAAGCATTGTGCTTCTCTCACCTACATCCCGCTTAGATTTGGATGTCTGGCGGCTTGGCCACTGACTTGCTGGAGCTGGGTGAGATCGGGAATGGTGTGCTGTCGGAAGAAGGAGAAATGAGAGACTTCCGACCGAGACTAGCAGCTAGCAAGCGTGACCCCAGATGCCGTCAAGCTTTTTTCTTCTTATTTTATATGATCGTACCATCGTATTCCTCATCTCCAATCTCCATCTCGCAGGACCCAAGGGATCTCAGGATGGGCCTTGCGCAGAGTCATTTTTGTGATTGCCGGGAGCAACCACGGAAGCGGGCTGTGAGATAATGACGCGGCACGAGGCAAATTGGCCTCAATTACAGCGCGGTTTTTTGTGTACGCATGTACAAGTACACCTGTACATCATCCGGTGCGTCGCAGCTCCGCCCACCGGCGCATAGTCATGTGCGTGCTGGCCACTGCCCGTTGATATTGGCAAGGACTCGGGAAAGCACGCGTGGCAGGGCGCACTATGGGCATCTGGGGTGATCTATTGTCGACGGCGGCATTGTCGGCTGCCATCCAAACCTTGCGGGCCCGTAGCTCCCGACACACGGATGCACTGAGATTATTGTTAGACCGTTAGTTGTTAGCCTTTGAGCCTACTAAAGTAGGGGACGTTCAGCTCCAACTCAAATCGGGCAAGGCACGAGGAATTAGACTACAGAAACATGCTTTCGTAGGCACGGCAGGATGCGGTGGAGCGCAATTTAGGGGTCTAAACAGAGCGGGCGCCAAGGCGTGCCTCTGGTGGCGCCCAGGCACCCCAGGGCCCATGCTTTTCCTTCTCGAATCGTTTGACTCGTTCCTGGAGCTAGAAGAGCACCGAAGCGGGGAGGTGGCGTCCCTGCTTGGGCCTAGCAGGATGCATCGCTGCAAGCTGCAGGCCGCATGGCTGCACGGCTGCACGAGAGAGACAAGAAAGATTGCCAAGTGGCCAATGGTAGGAGATGGGCCCCTCGGGGCGCCCCTGAAATCCACCAGTACTGGCCCGAGATTGGCCTGCGATCGGATTAGACTCTGTTTGATGTTTGTGAATTGGGGCTATACGCCATACATTGCCATCCCACAACCATGCCACACACCACCGCACCTGCACACCATGCATGCACGGGCATGCTCTGCTCTCTCACACATGCTATGGAGGGAGCTTCCTTTCTCAAACCCTCGCCGCCTGCTGTTGCTGCCGCGCGAGATGTACAGTAGCAGTAGCAGTAGATTATCCGGCTCCTCCCTCTCCTCTCTTGTCTGTCTAGTAGGCAGTCTCCTCCTACATACGGCCGCCCCTTCCTTTCGTGCGGCGTTTCCCTGTTTCTGTTCATCAACCAACCTCTGCTCCTTCCTGCCTCTTCCAGCTCCCGCTCCCGCCCTTGCCCTGTTCATCCACAAGCGCCCGAAACGACAGGACTGCACATCACCGTTTGGGCCGCCACCTCCGCTGCCGCCCGCACCGCCTGCGCTGCGTAGCTCTTTCCCTGTCCAGCCCGCTCATCAAACAAACTCAGCGAAGATCGCCCTCTTCCCGATTCATTGATTCCAAGCTTTTTTTCGACTGCTCGACCACTCCACAGCCGGATTTTGTGGACTCGTCTCGCGTCAATCTCTCTCTCTGCAACACTTGGGCCCTGTCCTGCCAACATTTGACGTCTCGCGGCCGCCGTCATAACTGTCTTTGTTCTCCCCTTTTGTAGCATCTGTCCTGTCTTGGATTGTGTCAAACAGTGCACACGTCCACACAATCAAACCCTTGATCACGACGTCTGTCGAACTACTACACTCATTTGTCCTACCGCTCTATTCAATTCGCGCCCCAGCAACTATTAGACTGCCATTTGTCCCCGCCATCGCCTACTACTTACCGTACTGTGTGGGCCCGCAGGAAGAGCCAACAGGGCCAGATTACGACTGCCCTTTCACACTCCACTGCCAGTCCCTTGCCTTCTCCAGCGTCACTGTGCGCTCCAGCCCGCACGCCCTCCCCTCGCTTCAAGGCATGCTCCATGAGCGTTGCCCCCGCTGAACCACGACCAGAGAGTCGGTAGTCTAGCTCCGGACGACCATGCTCGACGAGAAGAAACCTGCGATCCTCTTCGAACCCCCTGACGCAAAAGCCCGACTACGCGCCAGCTCCGTCACCATGCTGAGGCAATCACGGCGCCTCCTCTGGAGGTCCCGAGGCCTGGTGTACACGGCACTTGCCAGTGTTTTTGTGTGCTCGCTGCTGCTCAGCGCCTCCTCCGGCGGATATGGCGTTGTTCCCTGGACCGTTGACATGAGCGGTACGGCGATGGGTTACGGAAGTGGGCGCAAGTCCTCGAAAGGAAAAGCAACGTCCGAGGATTATGACGACAAGGCAAACCAATGGTTGTTCTCCAAGGAGTACAACGAAACTGGGTCGTATGTCTTAAACTTCCCGTCCCACGTTGTCATTGCGCATTCCAGAGGCTAACAGGTTCCCACAGATTACCCGACGCTGGCGTGATATACGGGAACACCCTATCCACACTCACCGACAAGGACAAAGTCCGACCCGACACGGAAGCAAACCTGACCTTGTCGGACGTTTCGACATCCTTCACCGAAGAATCCCCTTACTACTTCAATCCCTACCCAAAATACGACAGCGACGAGTGGAAGGAGGAGCACCGAAGCGATTTCGTCCCTTGCGACGGGCCTCTTGGCGAGATCAAGGACATACAGGTGTTTAAGGGACACCCCGAGAAGTGGCCTGCCCCGAGCTTCGGAAGCTTCGATTTGTTCGATATCGACCCCAATTTGTGTTATGAGAGGGACACGAGGCTAGGTCAGTATGGAATGCAGTTGCAGTTCGACAGACCAGCACACATGCTGGATTGGACCAAGGTACACTGGGGGAAGCTGCAGCAGGAGTGCGCAGAGAAGAACAAGGCGCGGTTCGACAGCTCAGTTCACTCTGAGGAGTCTGTCACAGCAGGCGACAAGGAATCCAAGAAGGGAAGCCCGTCGATAGGTGAGACATCTGAAGAACTCAAGAAGCAGAGGCAGGCGCAGCGACTGAAGCGACGGGGATCCGCGAAAACAACAGAAACAGCCGGCCAAGTTAACTCGTCATCCCCTATCATTCGACCGGAGAACCCTCCCGAGTCCAGGACGGCTGTTTTGCTACGGTCCTACACGGGCAAACGCTATACCGACAATGAAAAGCACATGATCCGATCACTCATCAATGAGTTGTCACTGCGAACTGGCGGGGAGTATCAGGTCTATCTCCTTGTGCAGGTCAAGGACTCACTCGAGGATCTTGCACTGTGGGACAAGGAGACATACAAGTACATCATGCAAACCCAAGTCCCCAAGGAGTTTCACGATATTGCCATACTGTGGGGCAGCTATGAAGTACAGGAGATCTACCCCTTACTCGACCCTCTGGACGCCGCGACAGTCCATAATGCACAATGGCTGTCAGTGCAGAAGTTCTCTCAGGAGCACCCAGAATTCGACTACGTCTGGAACTGGGAAATGGACTCCCGGTTGATCGGCCATCATTACGACGTGCTCACAAAGATAGCCCAATTCGCCAAGAAGCAGCCAAGAAAGGGGCTCTGGGAGCGAAATGAGCGCTTCTACGTTCCAGAGTACCACGGCGACTACGACACCAAGTATCGCAAGTGGGTGGAGAAGGCCTCCGGGAAGGATACTATCTGGGGCGCGCCTGAATTGCCATTCATCAACCCCGTCGGACCCAAGCCGCCTGTGGCGTCGCCAGCGCAGGACAAATACGAGTGGGGAGTCGGCGAGGATGCCGATCTCATAACACTTTCGCCAATGTTCAATGTCGATGAGAGCAACTGGATCCTTCGGGACCAGGTCTGGCAGTACAATGACACCAAGCACAACTCGACCGAGCTGCCCCGCCGGGCAACCATCGTGACACAGTCGAGGCTCTCAAAGCGCCTCATCGACGCCATGTCAGCTGAGAACCTGAAGGGAAATCATGTTGGCTCTGAGATGGCCGCTAATACAGTAGCACTCCTTCACGGCCTCAAGGCCGTTTACGCGCCCATGCCGGTCTTCATGGACCGACCGTGGAGCACGGAGCAGTTGCAAAAGTGGTTCAACCCCGGACCAGGAGGTACCAGTGGAGGACCGGGTAGCGCCATGGGTTGGGGCCGCGAGCATCGGTTCCAAGGCACCACTTGGTACTACCGGGCTCAACCGCCTCAGCGGCTGTATAACAACTGGATGGGATATGAGGACACGGGAATCGGTGGCAGGGCATGGGAGAAGCGCAATGGCCGTCCGTGTCTGCCAGCGATGTTCGTACATCCCATCAAGGATGTTATGCCAACCTGGTCAGGATACGCCAGCCAGTCGGAGTTGCCGTACAACTGGTGGGAGGTTTTCAAGGACAAGGAAGAAAAGGAAAGCAAAGACTGAGTTGTCAACCAAGCAAACAACAAAATTTGTTGCCGGTCACGGCCAACCCACCAGCACCACCAAAGAAGTGGCAACAACGAGGCAGTCCGCCTCCGAGAGGTTGGGCTTTTATACCCGGCATAAGATTGCCAAGTACATATACATCTGGACATCCAGCATGCATACACTCATCAGCATTGGGGTTTGCTGGTGTGGACATTTGTTTTGGACTCTTTGCTATGTATCATACACGCCACAGTTTTCATTTGACGGGGAGAACTCGAAAATTATGGTCGGTTCCCTTTTAGCGAGGCGTTTTTGGTCAGGGAAATTAGAACACATTTTGAACACCTCGTCCGGCTGCTGCCTTCGTGATCGTGACTCCTATAATGCCGTTCACGTGTTCCAAGCACGTCAATATCTGAGAACCCGACCATCTATCTTCGTAGGTTAAAAATGTCCAGTGGCCGTCCCAAGTTGTTGGACAGTGTCATGAGACTTGCTTCTGACCCTCAGCAGGTCTTACCAGGCGCCCCCCCCCCAGGCGTTCCCAACCAGACTGTATCAAGTCTGGTCCTCGTTTGCACGACCAGGTATGGGCCGCAAAATGACAGGCAGGCCACAGGCAAAGATGATGAGGCAGGCATCGCCTTCTTCTACTGTGCTTGATGCCGTGCCGAGAAATCCCTGAGCATATGGGAATGCCTGGCAACAAAACTCTCGATGAAGTAGCTCAAGGAGCACCCGGCCCATCAACATAGTCCTGATATGTGCACATCGGAAGATTTGACAATTAGGGCTCTCATTTACTCCAATATGCCACCAGATACCATGATACACTACCTGTAGTGCAGCTACCTGGTTTCGCAGATTGAGTTTCTTCGCTTCTGTGGATGCCTGAGCAATGCTATGAGGCTGCTTTTGGCAGGAGGCTTTGTCTACAAAATTTTCTTTTCCATTGAATCTATCTGGTAGAATGTGCAATCCCTTCCCCGACCTTCTTTTCATCAAGTCCTCAGGTTGGGGCCGCGTATTACGTAGGGTTCGCAACACTGTGGCCGAGTTTGATGTCTGTGACGCTGTTGGTACATATCTGCGTGGCCATAAACAACATGTCGTGATGTCTGCCTGCTATGGTCCAATTCCAAGCTCGACACACTCGTGCTTCATGCCTTGTCATGGGCTGATCTGATCCAGTCGTCAGGCACAGTGACGTGGTTTCATTCGCGTTGCTCCGATTTCCTTTCCTCTACTCTCCCCATGCTACCCCCCTCGTGTACCGCACAACAGCCGTCGGTGCTGTGAATTCGAAATGCTAGTCTCCGATTCTGATTTGCATCAAGTATCACCGGAAGACCGGTCTCACAGGTATATCTGTCCTTGCTCTCTTCATCCTCGCAAAGGAGCACCGATTCTTTTCTCTCAGTGCGCAGTCACGACTGCCTGGAAGACACACTCTGACAAAGATGACGCTCCCTCAAGATGGCCGGGTCGTCTGGACATAGCCGCAAAGCCTGATCAATCTCTTGAATAGCTAGCTGGGCATCACTGAGATTGTCATTGAGCCGCAGAAAACGTGCCGTCCTGAAGTGGAGCTTTGCTTCAAGCTGCTCCGATGGTTGCCACGTGAGTCCTAGCTTCCAGTACCCTGTTGTCATAGCCTTGCGTGCGTGGATCAGGAAATTCTCGGCCATCTCTAAGAGCAAAGGGTCGTCTGGTGCGCTGAGATTGATATGGGCGCAGTTGAGGCTGAGCTGAAAAAAAGTTTCCGCTACCTGGTGGATGAAATGCTCGCCTGCCTCCTGGGCGAGTCCGGACCAGTCGTCACCTCTGCGCAGCAAGTCGATTTCAATGACGTCTTGCGCCCACGACTTGCTGGCGAGAATGTGTTCGTTTCTTTTGAACAATTGCATGCCAATCTCTTTCCGAGCAGTCAGATGGTCCAAAACATCCTGAGGGCCACCCCACTTACTCGAAGCCACGTCCTTCAAGGTCGAACTGGCAAGATCGGCCGACACCAGACCGCAGATCTGGACATCTCGGATCCCATACAAGTTGTCACGTAACGGCTGAAGTAGTCCCTTTTGAGTCTTTTCAGTGAAGTAACGCTCCAGTGATCCAAGCTCCTCGTAGTCTCGGGTTTCACGGCGAGCAATCGCCATAGGCCCAACATTGAAGCTCATCGTCAGCTGGCTGCAGAACCCAGGTATCGCATGGGCAATCATCAAGTGTTGACACAAGCGGCCCAAATTTTCAGCCAAAATCATCGCCTCGAACGCACCGTTTTCACTGAGCAGGTTTGGCAACGGCTCGCCGTGATAGCTCATATTGACTTCAAGGACGTAGCCTTTGAACTGCCTCACGTGCTCTGTGTTTGCAGTCACGATGGGCACGCCGCCTCGCGTCAGCAGAATTAGTGGGAAATCCTGGAACTTGAGATGAACGAAACGGCTCTCTTTAACCATGAGGTCGTAAGCTTCGCGGTGGACGTCACGGCTGGCCCTGAGAATCGCAGTGTCGATAGAGTGTGGAACATGGGTAAAGCTCCCCAGGCCTTCCTCGAGCGCAGCCTCTATGGAGTAAACTTCCATCTTACATGGGTATAATTCGGCGAGGAGGTAGGCGTAGATGTTGTTGCAGACCTCGATAGGCAAGAAGCCCAGGCTGCCCACGTTGCCGGGTCGCAGGCGGGTTAGGCGATTCATGTCGGTCATCTTGAGGACTCGTGCCGGCGATGATGGTGGAAATGGTACGGGTTGAAGTTCAAGCGCGACTTGATTGTTGACTTTGCGGCAGAGGACGAACCTATCGCGGGGTTGGATGGCTTCAATCAGGGCAGCTGAGATCTGTCAAACAAACAGGATCCTTGCGAAGTCAGTGATGCTTCCCCTCAAAGTGAAAGATGATTCTTCCCACAAAACTTACCAGCGAGAGCTTATCGAGAAGGCTTTCGAGAAGTGGCTGCTTCGGAGGGGGAGGTCGTCGCTCAGGCTGGTAGTGAACAATTGCCAAGATGTGTACGCAAGTGGCTGCTCTTCCAGCACACACGCCAGCACAGTTTGTCTGGATGAAAAGGAGTGTTGGACGCGTTCTGATTGTTAACAGAGCTGATCGTCTGATGTTTTGTTGTCGAGGTGCCTGCAAAGGGGGACTGCCAGGTGTAAGGTTTGGGAAGTGCAAAGGGCGGGCAGCAGCAGGCATTCGAGGTGTACCAGGTTGGAAGGAGGTGTGAGAAGTACTGCAAGTTTTGCCGTTGCCTTGTATGAAAGGCTGCACCGATATCACAGCTGTGAAAAGAGGGCTTGCTGCCCTGTCAGTGCCTACTGGGTCACCAGTAAAGCATGTCGACCGTGGAGTCGCTCACATATGGGCTGGCGTATGGACTGGGGGCAGCGAGGTTGGCGTTTGCTGGGGAAACGCAAACACTTGGAGGGGCCGTGTGCGAAATAGGCATTGGAAACATTGCATAAGGGAAAGACAGCTTCACATATCGGCCAGAACCCATGAAAAACATGCAGCTTTCGAAAGCCATCTTACCGAAAGACAGCTGTTTTTGTCAGAGCCTCTCAAACACTACACCCCCTCTATGCATGGCCGTCCAGATACGTTTCAAAGGGAGAGAAGTCATTTAACATAATTCCTACACAACGAGAAGCCAGAAACCCCAGCGGCCAAGCCAGCGTCTCTACGCGTAGGAAAGGACGCCCTGATCCAACAGCACAAGAGCACCCTTTGTAGCCTCATCAATGTCTTCCTTGGGCAATCCAAGCGCCCCATTCGCGAGGCCGAGGCGGGTGTGGTCCCCTTCACCCGTAGGGTAGAAGATCCTCGCATACATCTGCCTCGCAAAGCCACCCCTGTCACCCTTCCTCATCGCCTCCTGGCCCTCCCTGAACCTCTGCTCGGATCCCTCATACCCGATCCTCCAGTCCTCGTCCTTCGTACCCGTCACCCTCTTGACACTCTCAAACATTTCCTTCTGGCTGACCGTGAAGCTGTCGACATACAGCGCCTTGCCTGCCCAGTTGTTGATGGCGGGGGCCTTGTCGCCCTCGTCCTCGGGGTAGACCTTGAGGCCCAGGAACGCCGCGAGGCCGCGGCCGCACTGGGCCCAGGTGGAGGTGGAGATCCTCTCCCCGCCCTGGTCGAAGAAGGTCATCTCGCGCTTCTTGAGGTCGCACCCGAAGCAGTCCGCGCTGCCGAAGATGGACCACTCGTACCAGAAGCCGCAGCCGAAGGCCACCCAGCTGCTCACGCCGAGCTTCTCGATCTCCCCCCTGGCCTGCTGGAAGGGCAGCCCGATCAGGTTCTCCGTCATCATCTTGTCGTTGGTGGGGTCCGGCCCATACGCGTTGGGCATCACGAAGGGGACACCCGCCTTTGCGGCGGCGCGGATGAGCTTCGACTCCGTGTCCTCGGGCGCGGTGACGGCGAGGGTGATGATGAGGAACTGCTGGCCCTTGAGGGCGTCGACGATTGTGGCTTCGTCATCGTAGTTGATAGCCACAGGGTGGACGCCTTCCGGGAGCTTGTTTGTACTGCCCTGCCGGGTGAGGGCCGTGACTGTGTGTTTGCCAGTCTTGAGAAGCTCTTTGACGAAGTAGCGGCCTATACTTCCAGAAGCCTAGACGATTGGGTATCAGAAAATGCACCTTTGGTCTCTACGAGGGTTGTTTCACTTACGCCCACGATAGCAACTTTCTCGATGCGGTTGACGAAACCGGCTGGCTTGTCTTTGGCGTATTTAGGCGACATCTTAGAGTTTTAACAAATGCTCTATCATGTGTATATATATATATATATATATATAGTGGTTGACTTGATTGTGGACTTGGAGACTGTCTGTTGGTATATTGATAATGGATGAAGGACGATGAAGCTTCCGAGCGATATACGGATGTGATGGTCAGGTTGGCTTTATATGTTCGACGCAACATATCTGTGAAGCCCAGTATGAACTTGATCTTAGATCGTTTGATTGAAAATATGTCAGCATTCTTGGATTGCGGAGCTTAATAGAGAGTCGGCTCAAACTCGAGGCCGAGTGAGGATATGAAAGCATCTCCGTGCGGTCCATGCCCCGATCCACCCCCATCGGCATCGGTTGCAAGAATAGTACTCGGCGTTAAGACCTGCCTACCTCTGTTCCTACATGGTGCTGATCTGACTAACACCTAGTGGCGGATGGCTGTTGCTGGTGGAACAGGACCAGGGGAACAGTAAACTGTATCGAAAGCTATCTCCGCTTGGCGGAGATGACGGAGAAAAGAACTGCTCGATTGGATGTCAGTATCTCCGCTGCAGCAGCTGATCGGCAATAAGGCATGCGCTAGGCCGACTGCTTCGGAATGGTCAGCTCGGACAAGGCGTATCTAGAAGTCCAATCGTACGTGCGATCCTTAAGCAAGCGCTCGCCGAGGCCCCCGAGCTCGAGGCCATGAACGGCTCGGCGATAGTTTGAGCCGGCCGAGCTGTGGAGTGACTCAGTGTCAATTCATGCAGCAGTGAGTGGAAGCAGACGCGTCGAGATAGTGCTTTGTCAAAGGTCAACAAGAGTTGGAAAATTGAAGTTCTCGTGAGTCGCAAAACGGCGAGCCTGCCGGACATGGGTCGCAAGCGAAAAGGCGGCTGAGCCCCCTTCTGCCCCGTAGTAGCCCACGTCGCACGAGTGCTTCTTTTCTGTGCTATCGAACGGACTCTTTAGCCGAGTGCTACGGAAACTTGCAGCGCGGCGGCGTCAACTATTGCCTTGTCAAAGCCATCCTGGTCCACGGTCGGGGCGGTTACTCGCTCGATGCCAATCCTCCTTGCTCCGTATGGTCGTCCAACATTGTGATTAGACCCAATTGCTGGAAGCCCAGACGAAGCTCAATCAGCAGTGCCATCAACACGTGCCGTGGTGTGCACCCGAGCTTTCTACTGGTCCCTTGAGCACCTAAAACACTGCTCGGAGGTAAGCCGACAGGTCTCGCGGTCGTAGCGAGCAAGAGGAGCTGACCTGACCTGGGGAATCCGAGAGGACGGTAATCGGCTCACGTTTGTTCCTAGCCTCCTCAGCCTCAAATTTAGGTGCTGACGGTTCGCCGTCCATCCAAACAAACGGCGCTCGGGTAGCCGCATTGTCTCAAGGTCAAGCCCTCTTCACGGGTGTGTGAGCGTTCGGGGGACCGTGGCCACCACTCGTAACGTCACACGATTCTTCACCACACCCAAGGAAAGAATTTAGACGAGGCCGGGCTGGCCTTTCTTTCCCTGCCCTGGCGTGCGACTGGACTTCGGCAGCAAGTCACTACCTGCCAAGTTGTCCGCTGCGGATTCAAGCCTCGCTTAAGGGAAAGAAAGACAAAGACTTGGGCATTTGTGACACCTGCTTTTTTTCTCCGACCGATCCAATGCAGATCGATCAATATCTGAAAAAGGCTCGGATTGGAGCCCAGAAAGTGTTGACGATTTTCTCCCCATCCACAGTAGGTAACCTGAAGCAAAACCGGGTGCGATACCGACACGAGGTAGCTCGGAAACCAGCTCACCTCCCTCGGATCCCTGTGCCGCGGATGGAGATGGGTACACCACTTGGGCATGCGGTACTCAAGCCCATCAGCACATAAGTACAGTACCTAAGCCCCCTCAGTCAGCCTCGATAAATGGGAAGTCTTCTCGGGCAAGCTAATAAGCCATCCGACTAAAAACAGCACAACGAGTCGGAAACTTCAAGCGGCTCGTCGTCCCGGCTTCTTATTAGTACGCGAGTACAAGTGCTCCTTCGTGCTGTACCTCGGCAGTGTCCCGGTTGAGCAATGATCTCGTCAACCTCGGGCCCGCAAGACGAGCGCTGCACTGCGGGGTGGGGGTTGACTCGCTCGGCAGCCGTGGGCCATCCCTGCTTGACGCGGGGAAACCATGGGAGGATTCTGGGGACGAGGCCCCCATTCGGCAGCAACCTTCTTTTTCGTCGATGTCTTTCAAGTTGCCGCGGGCGTCCATTCCCAGGGCTTCTCGGCGGGGGTTCGTTCCGAGGGTGACTTTTGTTGAGAAGGGAGCCTCATCCGATGCGCCTGCCGGTGCGTGTTCGATGGCTGTGATGGCCCCAGCGAGGCGTTTCGTCACCCCCGCCCACAATTATTCAAGGGTGAGGGCGGCCTGGTGAAGTCACCGTGGCTGCAACAGAGGTATCTCCCTAGTCGTAGGACGCGGTACCAGACCGGGATACAGAAGGATGCTGTTCCCCCGGTCCTCCGTCCTGGTAGGCTAACAGATGCCTCGGGACATCTCGACTGAGGTCACTTCCCATACCCAGGTCGTTATCTCCTTTCCCCCTCCTCCGCTGGTACAAGGCTACTCATCTCATCTCTGGGACGTCACTGCTGCTTTTGACACCTTATCCTCGGGCATTTCTTATACGCGTGCGAAGTCGTCCCCCCCCCCCCGGTTGTCGCCTTTTTTCCTCTTCACTTCTGCCCGGCCTGTTGTCCTGGAATCTTGGCAAAAATGGTGATCAAATCTCGCTGGAACATCCCGATCGACAACAGTTCTTTGCAGCAATGGATCTTTGGCTCGTCAAAGGGTCCCCTTCCGGACCGGAAGACCATCATCGATGCTGAACGCCCAGACACCCATTTCTTGACCTTCACCGAGTATCGACTACTGGCCAAGCGTGTCGGCCTGGGGCTGCAGCAGGCCGGCCTGAAGCCCGGCGACAGGGTGCTCGTCTTCTCCGGGAACAATCTGTACTTCCCGTCCGTGTTTCTTGGCGTCCTTATGGCCGGTGGTATATTCACGGGTGCCAATCCGACTTTTGTTGCGCGTGAGGTTGCGTATCAGCTTCGCGACAGCGGTGCCACGTTCATGTTTGCCGCGAAAGGCAGCCTGGACATCGCATTGCAAGCTGCGGAGGAAGCAGGCTTGTCGAAGGACCGTGTGTTTATCTTCGATGCAGAGACTGATGCTCGGCTTGAGAAACCCACACCCGGAGTGAATGGCCGGCAAAAAGGAGCGAGGCACTGGACCGAGCTCATACAGGCCGGCAAGGCGCAGGCCGAGAGCTGGGACTGGGTCGAGCCCTCAGATGCGGCCAGCACAACTTGCTGTCTAAACTATAGCAGCGGGACGACCGGCGTGCCCAAGGGAGTCGAGATCTCGCACCGCTCATACGTTGCCAACTGCACACAGGTCCTGTTCGTGGCAAAGCTGGACCCGGAGCACGACGTCAAGAGAGACAGGGCTCGGGCACTCGCATTCCTTCCGATGTACCATGCATACGGCCAAACCTATTTTGTCGCAAACTACGCTCGTCAAGGCACGCCAATCTATGTCATGTCTCAATTCGACTTCATGAAGATGTTACAGTACATACAGAAGTATCGCATCACCACCTTGACCTGCGTGCCGCCAATCATTGTGGCTCTTGCGAAGCATCCTGCCAGCCGCCAGTTCGATCTGAGCAGCGTCGAGACTGTCGGGTCTGGCGCTGCGCCACTGTCTCATGAAGTCATGACGGAATGTCAGAGCTTGTTCACCAAAAACGAAGTCGTCATCAGCCAAGGCTGGGGCATGACGGAGACAACTTGCACGACCCTAGCCTGGGATAGTAGAGTAGATGCGCGTGCTGGCGTGGGAGAACTCTACCCCAACATGTCCGCAAAGATCATGGAGCTGGACGGGAAGACAGAGATCCTGGAGGCCAACAAGCCAGGCGAGATCTGGGTGAGCGGGCCAACCCTGCTGAGAGGGTACTGGCGCAAGCCGGAAGCAACCCGCGAGACGGTTGTGACCGATCCCGACGGCACGCGGTGGCTGCGAACCGGCGATATTGCGCACTGCGAGGAGTACCGCACGGGGACGATATGGCACATCGTCGACAGGATCAAGGAGCTCATCAAGGTCAAGGGGAACCAGGTGGCCCCGGCCGAGCTCGAAGGGCTGCTTCTCGAGCACCCGGCCGTCGCGGATGTCGGCGTCATCGGCGTGACCATCGACGGAGAAGAGGTGCCGCGGGCTTACATCCAGAAGAGCCAGGGAGCAAAGGCGACGGAGAAGGAGATTGCGGAGTGGATGGCAGAGAAGGTGACCAGGTACAAGCGCCTCAAGGGCGGAGTGGTATTCGTGGAGGCGATTCCGAAGAATCCGGTAAGTTGAACATCCTCACATGCTACACTGGACAAACTGTTCTAACCGGGTATGGCCACAGTCGGGCAAGATCCTCAGAAAGATTCTTAGAGACCAGGCTAAAGCAGAAGTTGGGGACCGTAAACCATTTGGTTCGAGAATCTAGATGATGACGAGACCTACAAGGGGCCAGCCAACGAGACACAGCTGGTTAAGCTGGCGGCAGGGACAGTATATAAGCCAGTGTCATGATAGAATATATGAGACAGCATTCGTGATGATTCTATGAGTTTATTTTCTGGCCTATAGTCCAGTCCCGAGCTGCTATCACCGTGCCGTCCCGACGCAGCCGAGACCTCGGGAATCTGCGCTTTTGATTAGCGTACTGCGGGTGGGTGAAGGCGAGTAAATGATTGCTGGCAAGAGCTTCAGCAGATTGTCAAACTCATATCCGTACTGCTGAGATATTATGAGCAAGAGTGAATCAACAGATCCACAAGCACGAAATAGAAGCATCTGCTGTTATCGTCCTCACTGAGCTTGGAGTCTCCTATGTAATTGATGTGTCGTGTGCCTGCTTGCGTACCATTGGTCAGAGCTCCAGGATGGGACCCACCTTTCTGCTGAGGTAAGCCATGCCGACCTTGTGCAGCCAGGGAACTTTTTTCCTCGACCGCGAAGAGCTCAAGTCGAGCCTCTCCGATCGGTAGCCATCGCGATTGGGACGACAATAACTGGTGGACAGTTAACGACATACAAATTGGGCTGTATAATTGATCGATCCCAATCGCCTGGACTCCAAGATCTCACTACCTCCCCTCGCCCTTCCTTTTGAGGCTACGACCCAGCCTCCAAACCTCATGATGGAGGCCCCAGCACAAACCCTCCTTCGACCAGCGACACGAAGCTGTGTCTCCAGCACAAGACACGCCCTCAGACAGCAAATACGCTCGAAAGCCACCGCGTCACGGACGAGGCGCTCTCTTAACATCGCTCCACACCCCTCCTTCCTCGCCTCCGACTCGCGCCAGCAACAAGACCACATCATCTTCAACCCGCCCGCGAGCGCCCCGTCCGTATACCACACACCCTTCAAGTTCCTGCCCAAGACCGACCCCCGGCGGCGCGCGAACCTGGCCAAGATCTTCGAGTCACACTTCGCGCCGCCCACCACCACGGGAGGCGCAGAGACCACCACCACCACCGCAGACCTCCCATCGGTGCGGGGGCTGCACAAGCCCAACCCGGCCTTCGACGCCCGGGGCCCCATCACCAAGTCCGAGGTGGAGGAGATGCGGCGGCTGCGGGAGGAAGACCCGCACAAGTGGGACGTGAGGGCGCTGTCGGACAAGTACGCGATCCCGCACATCTTCGTCATGATGTGCTGCCAGGCGCCCAAGGAGAAGCTCGAGTTCGAGAGGCAGAAGATGGAGCTCATCCGCCAGCGGTGGGGGCCCATACGCGCCAAGGCGAAGGAGGACCGCCACCGGAGGACGCAGATGCTTTACCGGGGAGAGATATAGGGTGTCTTCGGTTTGTGGCCTCATACGGCCACGCGAGGATGCTGGATGCGATGCCTCAAAGGTACGAAGGTGGCGTATCCTGCCCTGTGGAACTCTGGGGACAGAGCTCTCGATACAGATTGTTGAGCTGCGCCTGACCGTCCGCCCTGGAGAACCGTTCAGCTGGCTCTAACTTGAGTCGGCCCTCTTGTGAGGTTAGTGGGACGAAGCGACACCACCCCCAGCGAAGGCAGCTTTGGGCGACGAGGGGCGACCACGGGATGTACCTTAGTGTACGATTCGTACTGTAAAATCTGGGAGAACAATAGAAGACAGGCCGCAGAGACAGGCCTGGACACTGGCAGGCAATCGCCGAATGGATGGCAAGCTCGGCTGACCAAAGTCTGGAGAGCTCTGTTCTGTACATTTAAACAACCTCCAAATACCATCTCAAGCTTCACGCCAACCTCAGACATATTTAGGTCAGACTCCGGGAGACCAAAATGGATGATCAAACAATTTGATTCGCTGTTCTTCCCATGTACTGGGGCCTAGTCATCCTAAAACAGGCTCTCGACTATTCTGCGAGGCTAAACGTATTTAATAGGGCTATTACTCTGACGCCGTCCCTTGAGGTATCAAACGACCTCTATGCAGAAGCCGTTCCGTCCTTGGAAACCTGAGGCTTCTGGTCCATTTCGGAATCCTTCTTGCTTGGAATCACCCTTGCACACCAACCGCACCAACTCCGGGCCTGGCCGTTTACCTCACGGCGCAGGCTCTGGCCCGATACCTTCTCGTCCTCCCACTCAGGCACGCCGCCGCCGACTCTCACCATGGTTATCTTGACCGATTTGATCTTATTCCCTATGCCTTCCACCTCGTGCCTAGCATAGCCGGGTCCCAAGGCCGGGGAAGGTGTCCTCGTCGCGGATGTTGAGCCAGGGTCCAGAAGACCCGGCGAGGAAGAATTGCTGTGGAGGCTCAGGTTGCTATGGCTACTGCTCCATGAATGTGCTCCACTGTACAGGCTCAGGGTGGTCGGTGACGTGCCGGCAGAATGGCCCTGAGCCAGGAGGTCCTCTGCCTCGCGGGCGTCTGCGGCGTCGCAGTCGGTCTCGTGCTCAATGTACTTGCTGTTGCAACACTCGTTTTTCCTGCAGCACTCCACACCCCGATCTGCATCTAGGATTCTTGTCAGTAGATTCCTCCCCCTTTGGAAAATGAAGAGCAAGTTCAATCAAAAATTGCTCTCGCATAGGTGTACTTGCCCCCGATACCGGTGCCGAGTCCGCCTAAGACTTCCCCGTACTGGGACCGCCATTTCCAGATCCTGGGTCCGCGTCAGCGGTTGTGGGTCCCTTGTGACGTGCCTCCTGCTGTGGACAGGGGAAGAGAAACTCAAAAGAGAAAAAAGACGGATTCCTCTCACCCGCGATACTCGGAGTCCGCGCCTCTGATCCCGCGACCGCACGGCTGGCAGAGCCATACTCCGGCCGTCTCACATGTACATATCGCGCGTTGCACCAGGTCGGAGGCGGCTGGGATATCCGGGCTTAGCTGTGGCTTCACAAGGCGGCCGACGGGTGCCTTCTGGCAGGAGAGACAGAGGCGGCGATGTCTGTCGCGCATAACGGCAGGGGCTGGTGGTTTGATAGCACAATTCTGGCGGTCGGAGATCTTGTCAGTTGCGAGCCCGCAGAGCTGGGCGGCATTCGGGAGACAAAGCTCACCCTACACACAACCGTGCTACATTTGCGACACTGGGAAACCATGTCCCGAGCACAGCTCCCAGCCTTGCCGTTGTAATAGCTGCTCCTTGATGTATCTTCCATATAGTACCAGTTGCCGGCCCTGGCGCGGTATCGCAGCGTAGATTCGGGGTCGACAGGCAGCTCCTCGTTGACGCAGTGAACGGTCGACTTGAGGAGGATGGAGCGGTACTGCAGGAGGGAGTCGTGGACGCCCCGACAAGTGCGCGACAGGCTATCGAGATCGTTGAGGTCAAGGTGAGCAGCCACGGCCATGACAATACTGGAGTCTCCAGTCAGTTGGGCTCTTCCCCAGGCACAAAGGGCCCGGAGAGAGGTCGGGGTTGAGAAGACAGAAGACCAAAGGGGCCAAAAGGTTTGGTGGTTCGCCTACGGATAGCATCCCAAAGCCACTGTCATCGGGTGTACCTCTGCGACAGCGGGCTCGTGAGTCGCCTCCTCGCGATCGTCCGGGCCTGGAGGAGCGCCGTCCTGCTCCTTGTGCCCGTGGACGACCGAGCAGTCCGGCGGCGCGGTGCCGTTCCACACGGGCTTATTCAGGCCGTGGCCCTGTTCAAGTGGCTCGACGTCATCGTCTTCAAGATCCACAAAGACGGCCATTGTGGCTTTAACATGTGTCCAAAGAGAAATAACCAGTAAGAAGTACAGGTAGAGAGAAGGGCAAAACGAAGATAGAGCTAAGAAACCATGGAAGCAACACTCGAAAGAGAAGGAGAGGGGGGAGAGGCAGGTAGGGAAGTGAGATATCTAGTCTATGCAGTCCGGTAGCTGAATACAGGTAGACTGGACTAATAGACCGCATAGGTACGAGATCGATCTCGGAGGGATCTGGGAGAGGCATCCTTGACGACTGACCTGGAGGGGTCAAGGGGCACTGCCGCCCGCCGGACCCCACCTGCCAGTCTAAGACATGTGCAGCAAGGACCCAAGGTACCGGGATACTTTGCGGCCCAAGCCTTGGAAGGACCCCCCCCCCCCATCACTCTACTACCACCCTCCGGCAGCCGGCTGGACCCCTAGGCTCGACTGTCTTGACAGTCTCTCTCTATCGAGATATCAAAAAATCGGCACGGCACGGCTGCATGCCACCGGCAGCAAACCGACGCCGACTCGTGAGATTGAAAGAAGCAGAGCTGCCTCTGGGACTTCTTCAGCGAGGCCCCGGATCCTTTCAAGGTGGACACTTCTTCGCGATTATCTCCAGGTGGGAGCTGCCTAGGAGCCGGAACTGCAGCTGGAACTGGACCGGCCTGGGCAATACCAGGCAAATTCGAACCTCGATTTCGACTCTACGGCTAACTATCCGCAGTGCTCATTGCAAGTGGCACTACTGCTGCGTGGGACTCTTGGTCGGGTAGAGGAGAAGGCTGTTGGAGACGATGAGCCAACATTGGTGCATTCCGATTTCTTGCGGCTAGCTGACATCGACAAGGCCACAGCGATGCATCGAGTGCTTACAACCGCCGTCATGGTAACCGGAGGCTTTGTTGTGTCGGTGCCTGACGACGCTCCTTACTCAGAACCATTCCTCGACCGGTTCCTGGCTGTGGGCCTTGCATCGTCTCGTTGGTTTACCGTCTAGTGACTGGTAATGCACCGACTAGAGGTCATATGTCTGCAGGATGGCTGCTCATTCCGCGCCAACAGTGGATCTTGGATTTGATAGCACGCAGCTATGAAATGAAAGTCAAGTTCATTGCCCAGAGAAAAGATATAATGGCCTAGTGACCAGTGTCACTTGTGTTGTGGGGGCCGGAGAGGTTCCAGCATACAGACGTTCTCCTCTAGCGTCAAGACTACCATGTGCCGGTCAGGTTTGGAAGCTCCGAGGGACACGAACCGGAACATGGAGCTCAAATCTAAATTTCACATTCTGTTTCGTTTCTCTTACTCTCATCATGCTGAAGGAGGGCCCGATCGATCAGCTCTACATACCTCTTCGACATCCTCCTGAGCCACATCATCGTTCTTCTTGCACAATATGTCTGATCGTCCAGCTTCTACACGGCCACAGGCGCAGCATACACGCGAGAGATTGCATAGAAGCTCACAGGAAGGGCTCGACGGAGAAGACAATCGGGTTGCGCAATGGGTCGAACGAGTCGATGATCTGGCGCAGGAGTCGCGTCCGCTTCCTTCTCGCCGCACCCAAAAAGCTAACCTCGAGATCGCTTCGTCTTCCGAGGACATGGACTCGAGACAGATCACTCTGCCGCAATATCCTGGTCAGGTTCGTCTCAGAGATGCGCAACAGCGTGCTCGCCGTCCCAGTTTGTACTCGCCAGAGGCAGGACCGTCCCGTATTCCCGGCACGCCCGCTGCAGGAGAATGGTCGACACATGCCCCAGCCGGTTCTTCGTCGCCAAAGGCTCTGTCAACACGGAGATCAAACCCGTTGGTACATGATCCTAACAAAAATCATCGAAGCACCAGCAGCATTCCATTACAGGACTTGAGAGGCTCCATGCGCACGGAACAGTCAAGCAGCAATGACGATACCACGGATTTGCCTGTTGGAAGACCGCCGGCCATTCCGCATCGGAGTCCGCATCGTTCGTCACTAAGAACCGACGGTACAGCATCTAGGCCGGACTCGAACGGAAAGCAATCTAGCTTTATGAATGCGGGAACGAACTCGGTGCTCAATCTGGTCCCGGCGTTGCCTGGATCTGCATCTCGTCCAGTTTCGGTTGACTCTACTGGCAAGGCATCAGGCACCCCCTCATGGGCAGCACAGCCCAATCAACAAGGCCCAGTCTCAGACGCTGCGCCTCGAGTTCCGGTACTGCCGAGTCGGAACCCACGCCGTGGGGCGACAAGCATTGCAAAAGCTTCACCTTCAAGGCACGAACAACCTGGGACCAAAAGATCAGGGAAGGCTCCCACACGGTCTTTTTCACCTTCAGTGGTCCAGCGAGACTCGCAGCATGGCTCAGCATCCCAAGCGAAGCTACCTAACGTCACCAACTCAGCATCTCCCACACCGCATGGCGCCCCTCATACACCGAACTTGGGGCTCAAATCGACATCCACGAGACGTACCCCTCACGCAGATGCAAGCCGATGGGCCTTCCAAAATGGCCCTCCAGTCACGACAACGGGCCGAGAGATAGACAGCGGTGGTTCCAGTACGGGCTCGACCGTCACCTCCTCAAACCCGTCCACCGTTGGACAGAAGTCTTCTGCGTCTGGCAGAACCAAGGCGTCTAGTATCTCGTCGACGAAAGAGCGCAAGGAGGCAATGGAATCCTTGAAGTGCATCCGCAGCGACGTGATGGTAAATTACCTTTACCAGCAGGCTCTCACAAAATCCTACGTCTCAGCCCTCGACTTGTGGCAGGGCATCGTACTCAAAGAGAAGCGAGGAAAGTACTCATGTTGTCCTCCACAGCTGTCAATCTTCGAGAACGGCCTACTTGACAACGTCAAGAAGATGAACGTATGCTGTGCGATGACAGTGAGTACGCCAGTCACGAGAACTATCTTGGAAAGCACAGCATACGTGGAGCTGAATCACGTTCCTATGCCGAACGGCTTGCAGGTGCAGGTGTTGAAGACCATGTCGGACTTACCGCGATGTCAGATTCATCATTTTGCTGCTTTTTTGGAGGATTTGATGATCCTCGTGGTGTGGGACGATGATCCAGAGCATCTGCTGCAGCGAGCTGAGGACTTGGAGGCAAGGTTCGTTAAGATGATCTGGGTTAACAGAGAAGAACAAGCCGAAGAGGATGGGAAAGAAGATCCGAAGGCACTAGCAGATGAAGGAGTCGAGGCTGTGGACCCCGGAACATTGGAGGCAGGAACGGCAGGGCAAGAAGAGCGGCCGGTCATGTTCGTGAGCTCTATCATCGTGGCTTTCACGGTCTGCCTCGCTGTCACATGCATGGGCTTCGGCTGGAGGCGCCTGGCCATGGAGTGCAAGGTGGACAAGAACTTTCTCCGGCTGGCGCTTCTTCTTCTCGCGCCCGTGCAACTATTCTTCAGCATGGTACGTGAGACCTCACCTGTGTGTCACGTCTACTTTTTGGACTAATGAACGATGCCTAGTTCTTCTTCCAAGCGGTCTGTGGCAACATTATCCAAATGATAGGCCCCACCAGCCCGATGAAAAGTAACTCGAAGTACTACTCCGGGAAAGCACCCAAGAAGCTGGACCGAAGGGACTGTCTCCCTCATGTTACGATCCAGATGCCGGTGTACAAAGAAGGCACGAAAGCTGTCATCCGACCCACAGTCATGTCCGTCAAGACTGCTATCTCGCACTATGAGATGCAGGGTGGAACCGCCAACATCTTCGTGAATGATGACGGTATGCAGCTTCTCAGCGAGGAGGATGCACAGGAACGTCGGGACTTCTATGACGAGCACCAGATTGGCTGGGTAGCAAGGCCAAGGCACGATCCTTACGGCGAGCGCCCATTCGTGCGTCGTGGAAAGTTCAAGAAAGCGTCCAACATGAACTATGCAATGAGTGTATCCAGAAGGGTTGAGGAGAAGCTGCACCATGTCTCCCGGGACGAGGATTGGACTGACCTGGAAGAACAACACGAGTATCAAAACGCTCTTGCGGCGGTTCTCGAAGAGGACAAGGGGAGGACGTGGGCGGAAGGTAATATTCGCATGGGTGACTACATCCTCTTGATTGACTGCGACACGCGAGTACCCAAGGAATGTTTCCTAAATGGGGTCAGTGAGATGGAGCAGTCGCCACAAGTGGCAGTCCTTCAGTTCACGTCTGGAGTTTTGAATGTCACAACCTCATTTTTCGAACGAGGGTAAGTAGCACGTTAAACAGCACCACCCCACCCCCCAGGACCTTTTCGCTGGCAGACGCAATGCTAACTGATGCTCCTCAGAATTACGTGGTTCACGAACCTCATCTACACAGCTATAACCTATGCCGTCTCAACGGGTGATGTGTGCCCCTTTGTCGGCCACAATGCTCTCATGCGCTGGTCAGCCATACAAACCGCAGCCGCCTTCGAAGACGAAGACGGATACGAGAAGTACTGGTCTGAATCCCACGTGTCTGAAGATTTCGACATGTCTCTAAGACTACAGTGTGCTGGCTATTCCCTTCGGTACGCCGCTTACACAGGCGATGGATTCAAAGAAGGCGTGTCCCTGACAGTCTACGATGAGCTCGCCCGTTGGGAAAAGTACGCATATGGGTGCAACGAGCTGCTCTTCCATCCCTTCCGGTACTGGCTCACGCGAAGCCCGTTCACGCCGCTCTTCAGGCAATTCGTCACGGCGCGCCAAATACCCCTCCCGAAGAAGATCACCATCTGCTCTTACATCGGGACGTACTACGCCATCGGGTCGGCGTGGCTGCTCACGGTGACAAACTACCTCCTGACGGGTTGGGGTTTCGGGCTATACGAGAAGTACTACGCCGACTCTTTCTCCATCCTATTCAGCGTCATCATGGTTTTCACGGGGCTGGGAAACCTGTCGCTGGCGGTGCTTCGGTACCGGCTTGAGAAGGGCTCGCTTGTCGGCAACTACCTGAACAACGCCAAGTGGATCCCGATGCTCACCATCTACCTGGGGGGAGTCTCGCTGCACGTGTCGCAGGCGATCCTGAGCCACTTTTTCGAGATCGAGATGAATTGGGGCGCGACGTCCAAGGAGCTGCGCGACGTCAGCTTCCACGAGGAGCTGGGTAATGTCCTCAAGAAGTTCAAGGGCACGTTCCTCTTCTGCCTGGCCAGCACGCTCGCGATCCTGCTCGGCTACTGGGTCGTGCCGTACCAGTGGCAGATCCGGGACTTTGCGTCGATATTTCCGTTCGCGATGCTGGTGGGGTGCCACTTCCTGCTGCCGATCGTGCTGAACCCGGCCCTGATAATGTTGAGCTGGTAAGCGGGAATGGTATGTTTGCTTGGAGTTGTGGTGTCGGTAAGTAGATGTGTGGAACTTAAGGTCCAATCTGCATGTCATGGGTTCACTGAAATTGTACCGAAGAGGCATTGCGCGGAGTATTGCTAGTGCGCGCAGAATTTCACGTATAGGTGTTAGATTAATGACAATGAATTTGGGTATGCTAGCCTTAATGTTTCAATACTTTTGTTTTCTCGGTGAGAGATAGAGGTCAGTCAGGACCGTTGCTGAAAGTAAAAGGCAAGCACTGCAATTGAGGATGCCCATTCGGTGCCTCGTTGCGAGCGAGAATGGGTCCAAATCGTAAGACTTTCTTTGTTGATGGGGAAATTAATTTCGGTTTAGCATCGACCTGGAGGGCCTACTTCCTCAGAGTCGCAGTGGTTCCCCCTTCGTTCCCCTCACGGCCTGGGCGCGGTATTACGGTGAGGCTGGACAAGGCTTAATGTCGTGAGGCTCAGGGTCGTGCCCGAACCTTGTAGGCAAACTTTGCAGCACAAAGAAGATGGCGCACCCAAACGGAGATCCGGCTAGTCTACAGCCCAAAGAGTGCGTAGGTTGTGCTACAATAATGCGGTCACGGGGATGTCGCCTAGTATAGAGGCTGCTCAGACTCTGGCTACTAGTAAGTGGTGAAGACTGGGGCTCTTGGGCTCTTGTCACAAAGGAATCCTGCCGTGGGCCGGTGGGTGGCCTCGACCGGGCTTTTTGCCAGACAAGAGGGCTAAAGCCATTGGGACGAGCAGTCCTGGCTTTCCAGCGGAGGAAAGAACCCTCGAGAAGGGTTCCAAATTTCCAACCGTCGTCAAGATCTGTAATCGAGGGCGAATCCTGTTGGTAGATTACGGGCACAATGGCTGGCCAAGTTGAAGGATGGGTAAGGGCGGCGACCGTATCGGTACGTCACGGTGGATACGGGGTGAGAGCTCGACGTTGGCTTAAGTAACTGTGAATGGGCCGTAGCTGGAGCAGGTGGGGGATGCGACTGCCAGAACCCAATTAGGTTGGCAGGCGCGGGATGGTGTGGACCGACAAGCTCGCCAGCTTCTGGGTGACGTCTGTTCCGGGCGCCGATCCAACAATCAGTCCTCTGTCCATTCTGTCCGGTCTGTGTCTGGGCTTTAATTTTTGATTCTGATTCCGATACTGATTCCTGCTCTTCGACCTTCCATTTACAGTTCTCCTGACATTGTATTCTTACCATCAAGCAGACCGATCGATTCACCGATATCTCAAGCAAGCAAGCGAACCAACAACCGCCTCTCGAACTGGGCGAAGCTGCAGCTCTGCTAGCCCTGCCCCTCGTCGAGATCCGATGAGATCCCTCCGCCACCAATAGGGAGCAGGTGTAACCACCTCCCTCAGGAGAGCCAGACACACACACGACCAGTCTACCTGCTCTTGCATCGCGTAGTGGAGGTGAGTTCATGTCCATTTGGTGTGTCTGTCGGTACCAAGCCCACGGTTGAGACCCTGCATCCGCATCTGCGTCGCCTAGCCGGCTTGGTCTCTCGGGAAGCGAGGCTCGGGTCGGGCGCGGGCGGGCGTGGGCGGGCGTGGGTGTGGGCGCGGGCGCTGGTGAGAGGTGTGGTTGGACCCTGAAAGCTGTCGTCCCTGCTGTCTCATCAATCATCAGGCTGTCTTCTCAAGCAGTTCACTGCCCAGTCTGCCCATATAGCCCCTTCCACCTGCCCCAGCTTTCCTGCATGCCTCACTCCTCCTCCAGCTTGTCATTGGGGGCCACGTCGCATCCTCTGCCGAGCTGACCAAGCCATCTGCGGCCTGACCTGCTATTCTCGAGTCGGACCAGCGTCGGCATCATCATCAGCATCAGCACAAATTTCGCCTTTCCAACACTCGCACCAGCTGCCGTACCCTGTTCCTGCCGCTAACCTGAACGAGAGCGTACAGTGAGGTGACACCACCTCCGTAGCTCCTCCAGTACGAGCATTGTCCCGACCGTCACACGACCCCAGACCGCCACAGCCTATCTTTGTTTCCTCCGTCCGCCCTATCGGTGTTTTATCCTCTACACAACAAACTACCTACGCCTGTAGTTCCCCTGCAACTTCCTCTCCGATTGTGCCAACGCCGACGTCTTCTATCCCGATAGCTGGCAATGTCTGGCACCGGCATGGACGCGCACAAGGCGCCCGGTCCCCAGAACCGGAGCGATTCCATTGATGACTACGATGTCTTCGACGATGCCAAAACATATTACGCAGCTGACCGCCACAAGGGCACAAAGGCCTCGGCCCGGACTCGCACCTTCTCCCAGGTATGCCTCCAATTGACCGCTGGCCACTATGTTCAAGGACATTTACTCACAGCAATGACCATGCAGAATAGTCTCATGCAGCAGATGGAGAGACTGGGCCTGAAGGAGCCTTTCCGCCGGGGAAGCCATGGTACGCAACATCAAGAACTCGTCTGCCCATCCCATACCATCGAGTGCTCTAGCTAACGTTCAGCCGATGATCAGACGAGACTACCCTCCAGCAGAACCGCCGGTTCCTCATCTCGGTCGATGCCACCCTCGAGAGTCTACAATCACAGGAGGACACAGATGGCAACATGCAGATCACAATCGAGGATAACGGCCCCAAGGTAAATTGTGCGTCCGGCTACGTCTGCTGGCTCAAGCTGACACCATGCAGGTGCTCTCTCTCCGGACCGCCGCATCCAATGGCTTCAACAGATTCGACATCCGAGGGACCTACATGCTGTCCAACCTCCTGCAGGAGCTGTCCTTGGCCAAGGAGTTCGGCCGCAAGCAGATCATCCTGGACGAGGCACGGCTGAACGAGAACCCGGTCAACAGACTTTCCCGCCTTATTCGTGACCATTTCTGGGACGGCTTGACGCGGAGAATCGACGCATCAACCATCGACATTTGCGCCAAGGACCCCAAGGACTGGACCGATGACCCTCGCCCACGCATCTACGTCCCATTCGGCGAACCTGACCAGTTTGAGTTCTACACCAAAGTCGCAAAAGACCGGCCGGAACTGAGGTTGGATGTCGTCCGGCTGCCAGACTCGATGGAGATCACTGCTGAATTTATTCGTGACTTGAACAACGCTCCAGGCCTTCTCGCTGTTGAGATGGAGAAGATCAAAGATCCCAAGACCGGCGAGGATACGCTACGTGGCGTGCCGTTTGTCGTGCCTGGCGGCCGTTTCAACGAGTTCTATGGCTGGGACAGCTACATGGAGTCGCTGGGCTTGCTTGTTAACGACAAGGTCCACCTCGCCAAGTCCATGGTGATCAACTTCTGCTTCTGCATCAAACATTACGGCAAGATTCTGAATGCCACCCGGTCCTACTACCTAGGTCGGTCACAGCCGCCTTTCTTGACCGACATGGCACTCCGTGTCTATGAAAAGATCCGACACGAGCCAGGAGCGCTGGACTTCCTCCGGACGGCCATACTAGCTGCCATCAAGGAGTACCATAGCATCTGGATTGCTGCTCCTCGTTACGACCCCGTCTCAGGCCTATCCAGGTACGGGCCTATTGGGCTGGGCGTTCCGCCAGAGACGGAGGCTAATCACTTCGTGCACGTCCTGGAGCCCTACTGCAAGAAGCATAACCTGGAGTTCAAGGAGTTTGTTCGCGCTTATAACAATCGCGAGATACTCGAGCCAGAACTGGACGAGTACTTCATGCATGATCGTGCTGTGCGAGAGTCAGGACACGACACCAGCTATCGTTTCGAGAAGGTTTGTGCGAATCTTGCGACCATTGATCTGAATTCTTTGCTCTACAAGTATGAGACGGACATTGCCCGCACCATTCGAAACATCTTCAACGACAAGCTGCCTATTCCTGAGGAGTACTGCGTCGGCTCGCTCGTTCCCGGCCAGGTCGAGTCCTCTGCCATCTGGGACCGCAGGGCCAAGCGCCGCAAGTTGGCCATTGACAAGTACCTGTGGAACGAAGAAGAGGGCATGTACTTTGATTACAACACCGACACACACGAGCAGGCCACTTACGAGTCGTGCACAACATTCTGGGCGCTCTGGGCCGGTGTTGCATCTCCCAAACAGGCCGCTGCCATGGTGACCAAGGCGCTCCCCAAGTTCGAGGCGTACGGAGGGCTGCTAGCCGGGACGCTTAAGAGCCGCGGTGAAATCAGCCTCGCCCGGCCGAACCGTCAGTGGGACTACCCCTACGGCTGGGCACCGCAGCAGATCCTCGCTTGGACGGGTCTCTATCGTTATAGCTTCACGGAAGAGGCCGAACGCTTGGCGTACAAGTGGTTGTTCATGATGACCAAGGCTTTTGTGGACTTCAACGGTGTAGTGGTCGAGAAGTACGATGTGACGAGGCCAATTGACCCGCACAGGGTTGATGCCGAGTATGGAAACCAGGGCTTGGATTTCAAGGGCGTTGCGAAAGAAGGGTGAGTCAGACCCAGACAGTAGCGACTGTTTGTCTACCATTTGGTCGTGGCCCGTTGCTAACGAGATTTTGCAGGTTCGGCTGGGTCAACGCCAGCTACGTCTACGGCCTGCAGATTGTGAGTGCTCACATGCGCCGGGCGCTGGGTACATTGACGCCGTACGAGACATTCGTCAAGGCTCTCGACGAGAACCGGGCCAAGGCGCTCTCTGAGATGGCTTAGACGGGTCTTTCCGTGCTTGCTGTTCAGTTAGATCTTAGATGCGGGCGGGCAGTGATTTCGGTGTTGGAGGTGGCTCATGATTCTTGAAAAAAGCAACCGTCAGCAAAGCATAGGAATTTGAGGTAGAGAGTGCTTAACCATCGATAGACTGGGGGAGAGCACACTCGAGTTGAAGGCGGTCAATGGTCTACATTCTTGGCTTAGCGCAGCTCGGGAAAGAAGGTATACAGGAACGACATGATGAGCATCAAAGACTGGATGGACGGTAGATAACGTGAACACGGGACGACGACCAAAACCTTGGTGGTCGCACTAGAACATAACCTAAATAGCATGGAGACTTCCATTTCAACAAGAGCATCTCGACCGACGCCACATTACCTGTACAAGTGCATTATTAGGTTCGGAACTTGACCGAGAGGCGGCTCAAAGCAGGCGACGCTCTCCTAGACATTCCGCATGTGACAGCTGGAACGAGTCACGGAGGTGAGACAAGGCGTCTGTAGAGTTGATCGAAGAACCGAGGTCCCAGCCTGGATCGGGCCAGGCGTGCATAGTAAGGAGGCTCAAGAGCGGCCAGGGGTTGTACCGAAGTAAAAGCTATGACGACAGACCCTCGTATCACATGTCACGCTGGCCTGAGTAAGGGAACAGGGCTCTATCTGTTCGACGAGCATGCATCACTTGGAGCGGATGCAATTGACTGCGAAGAAAAAGCCCAGTGACTAACCAGGCCCCTTTGAATTTTTCTGGGCGATTAAGCTGGTAAGCAGCAATGGACAAAGTTGCAGCTGGCCGATGAAATAGGGCTCTTGGTTCCACGGCATTCAGACGTCAACGTCAACGTCGGTTCACCCCACCAGAGCTGCATGACGATGATTCAACGTTCCCCAGGTCCCCGGCAGTAAGGAGCAGCCGCCCTATCAGGCCCAATGCCATTCTTGGATGCCACATCAACCCCTAGCGATGCGGGGGGAGGAGCTGGGGGTCTGACCTACCGAATTCCCAGCGTGCTGTTTTCGGCAACTCGGCCAATGGCCGCGTGCTCAGCGCTCCCTTTCAGCCGAGACAAGTGTAAGCCGAGAGAGCAACCACCACTTGGTCTGCACGGGAAGGGCCAAGGAGGCAAGCAAGTACCTTGTTTACCGCCACAGCTTTGCCTGGAATGCAAGTACACACACACTCTCACTCATACGCTCACACACATATACACATAACACGGGAGTTGACCGAGCACTGGCGGCACCCAGGGTGTCCGGGGGGGGGGGTGGGAGGTGATCAACGGGATGGGATTCCTCTTCGCCATAGCCGCTTGGCCGAACCCTCCCGATGAACCGATGTACTAATAAATAAAACGCCCGCCTCTCAGCCGTGGCATGGCTTGCTTGATCGACTGTAGTTTCATATCATATGACGGCGGTAGGACCTTGTCTGTTCATCCTTAGCTTTGTGCCTCTCCTCGCTTCCTTCTCCCCCCCCTTTGCACGACTCTCGTGACGATACCAAGAGACATATACCTTTACTAGTATATCTCCTCCCTCTGTCTTCGCCAACTCTCTATAAACAACTATACTGAGCTGTAGTATTGTCTTTCTGCTGCAATAGACCACGGCACATAAACAGAAATACACACATCATGGCGGCCAACAACATGGTAAACCCTCCGGTGGACCTCAAGACCGAGGACGAGATCTTCGCGAAGGAGGTCGAGGAGGTGAAGAGATGGTGGAGTGAGTCGAGGTGGAGGAACACCAAGCGGCCCTTCACGGCCGAGCAGATCGTCTCCAAGAGGGGCAACCTCAAGATCGACTACCCGAGCAACGCACAATCAAAGAAGCTGTGGGATATCCTCGAGGGGAGGTTCAAGGTAAGTCATTGGCTTCCCTCCTCCATCGTGGGCCTTCTTCAGACATTTGTGCTAGAAGAGGCCGTGGATTGAGAAAAGAGAGGCTCACAACACTGTGCAGAACCGAGATGCGAGCTACACCTACGGCTGCTTGGAACCCACAATGGTCACACAGATGGCCAAATACCTCGACACCGTCTATGTCTCTGGGTGGCAGTCGTCCTCAACAGCGTCCGCCTCGGATGAGCCCGGTCCAGATCTGGCTGATTACCCCTACGTGAGTCCTTGGCCCCCTCTGGTTTACCTTGAATGGCCCAGCAATGGCAACTCCGTGCTTACCAGTGTTGGACAGACCACCGTCCCGAACAAGGTCTCGCACCTGTTCATGGCACAGCTCTTCCACGACCGAAAGCAGCGACAGGAGCGCCTGACGACACCCAAAGAGCAGCGCGCCAACGTCGCAAACATCGACTACCTGCGCCCCATCATCGCGGACGCGGACACAGGCCACGGCGGCTTGACGGCGGTGATGAAGCTGACGAAGCTGTTCATTGAGAAGGGCGCCGCGGGCATCCACATCGAGGACCAGGCACCCGGCACCAAGAAGTGTGGTCACATGGCCGGCAAGGTGCTGGTGCCCATCAGCGAGCACATCAACCGCCTGGTTGCCATCCGGGCGCAGGCGGACATTATGGGTGAGTCTACGAACACCAAGGGTAATACAGGATCGGAGCGGAGAGACTGACCCGGCTGGCCTCACCACAGGCTCCAACCTCCTCGCCATCGCGCGAACCGACGCCGAGGCGGCGACGCTCATCTCGACGACCATCGACCCCCGCGACCACGCCTTCATCCTCGGCACGACCAACCCGAACCTGCAGCCTCTCAACGACCTGATGCTGGCGGCCGAGCAGGCGGGCAAAATTGGCGACCAGCTGCAGGCGATCGAGGACCAGTGGCTCGCGCAGGCCGGGCTGAAGCGGTTCGACGAGGCCGTCGTCGAGGCCATCAACAAGGGCACGCACGTCGACAAGCAGGGCGCCGCGGCCAAGTACCTCAAGGAGTCCAAGGGCAAGTCGCTGGCCGAGGCGCGGGCGCTCGCCCGCGGCATCACGGGCGTCGAGGTCTTCTTCGACTGGGACGCGCCGCGCACGCGCGAGGGCTACTACCGCCTCAAGGGCGGCTGCGACTGCGCCATCAACAGGGCCATCGCCTACGCCCCCTACTGCGACGCCATCTGGATGGAGAGCAAGCTGCCTGACTACAAGCAGGCCGAGGAGTTTGCCAAGGGCGTGCATGCTGTCTGGCCTGATCAGAAGTGAGTCATCATCATCCCTCGAGTCACAATCGCCTCTCCAATTCCTTCAGTCTTTGTGTACCTTCTTATATGTACCCACTGCGTACCTCTCGTTGGACCACCGCTGACAACCCACCAACACAGGCTCGCATACAACCTCTCCCCCTCCTTCAACTGGAAGACGGCGATGCCGCGCGCGGAGCAGGAGACGTACATCCGGCGGCTGGCGACCCTGGGCTACTGCTGGCAGTTCATCACGCTGGCGGGCCTGCACACGACGGCGCTCATCAGCGACCGGTTCGCGCGGGCGTACAGCCAGGTCGGGATGCGCGCGTACGGCGAGCTGGTGCAGGAGCCGGAGATGGAGCAGGGCGTCGACGTCGTCAAGCACCAGAAGTGGAGCGGCGCCACCTACGTCGACGAGCTGCAGAAGATGGTCACGGGCGGCGTCAGCAGCACCGCCGCCATGGGCAAGGGCGTGACTGAGGACCAGTTCCACTGAAGGACTTTTGTGATCCGGGCTTTGTTGTATATACCAGATGTGCTTGTTGGTGGGGCGAAATGGCAATCTTGTTTTGAAGTAACTGCGATCTTTTTGTGACATGCCATTACGATCCATTTCCTTGTAGGTCGGGTAGCAACAATGCAATTGAGAGAAAGGTTGAAGTGTTGCCATCTCAAAGACCGGCTACTCAACCTCGTTACCCGCATGTAATACTACCTCCTGTCCATTGAGGTGAAAAGCAGATTGCGGCTAGGGATCGAGACGTAAAAGCTCGAAAGGCACCACAGTAACCACGCCGGCCAACCCATTGTCTGTCTTCGGAAGGGCAGCCAAGCTCGAGAATTCACGGCCTGCGCTCCGGATGTCTGGCAAAATCGAGCGGAGATAGTTCCACATGGTGCTTGGCACTACCGCGACAATCTCATTGCTTCCACTGAACAGATACGGCGTGACATCGGGGACGGGGCTGGCATAGTCCAGGGGAGGAAGTCGAGCGCCGTTGATGTAGACGGTGATGGCATCCAAGACGGACGGGAATCCGATGTACGCCCCCAGGGACGTATCGTTTGTAAAGCCGGTGGCTGAGTCCGGTGGCCATGTGAAGTTTGTGTTATAGTACCCCACTCCGGAAGCGTTTGTTGCCTCAGGGATGTCGTTCCACGAGACCAGGTCGGTGAGCTCATGCGTCGTGTTAGTCTTGACGGCGGTGATGGACGCGCCGCTGAAGTTGGCGGGGGCCTCCCAGTGCTCCAGCTCCAGGGTCCATGGCTTCAGGTCGAATGAGGCCGGCGCCTGGCTGGTGTGCTGAACTTCCTCACCAGTTGACAAGGTGATGATGTATGTTGGATCTGAGGACGCGGCGATGTGAAGCGCAACGCCTTTGTCTTCTGCGGAGAGCCCAATGACATTTGAGGAAAGTTCTGTAACATGGAATTCTGGGACTGGTATTCCCTCGATGGGGTGTTGGGCAAATACAATGATCTTCGTCTGGTTTCCAAAGAGATCGAGTGGAATCATGGTCACAGAGCCGTTGGTTTGGTAGTTCAAAACGGGTTCACGAGCTCCCGTCCACGCATCAAGGAAGTAAGGTGTGCCGGTGGACTGGGCCACAAGAAGTCCAGATGCCTGAACAGTGTCGCCGAATATATAGGCGTAGCTCAAGCCATTCGATGTGTCCTCCCGACATGTCGTATACCACGTGCCGTTAGTCTGTACTCCGACTCGTGGCTTGAGGTCCAGTGAGTCAAGTTTCTGGGACGGCTCACCCTCGGCAGCATGATGTACATTCACGTGGCTCAGAAACTCAGCCAGTAAATCATTGAAAGCCTGGTCACCAGGATCTGTTATGTTCTGAGTAGGATGGTGTCCCGGAGCGGAGCCCACCACAATGATCGGTAGTCCGTCGTTTGCGAAATTCCTCAGCTGGACCAGAGAGGCCTGTGTGAGGTTCTGAGAACCAAGCATGACTAAAGCTTGGAACATTGCATCTTCAGGTGCGAGCACGCCATTGTCGACATATGCCTGTGGCAAGTTGAAGTTGTCGGGTGATAGACACGCATACGACCATCCTGCGCCGTGTCAACTGGTTTCGTTTTCCTCAAGCACCACTGATGGATTGGGATAGTACAGACCTCCAGAAATTAGATCATTGGGTTTATACATTGTCCCCATATTCGGATCAGTGGCAGGTTGTTTGTTGTAGAATGCGATGTCAGTTCGCGGGATTCCTTTCTGCTGAATGTGTTGGATCCTTGCTATGTAGTCTAACGCTGCTTGGAGGCCATTGTCCCAGCCGGGCCGCTTCGGAGAGTATAGATCGGACACATAGTAGATGAATGCAGTGTATCCCGGCCAGGTCGTCTGTGGGTAATTGCCAGTGTATGATTGTCCGTGGATGACAAACTGGTTCATGCCCCCCGAGACGGCACGGTTCATAGCGAAGAGTAATTCCGGGATAGTGAAGCTGTAAGCACGGCCGAAGACGGCACCGAGCTCATTTGAGAGGACATCCTTCCTAGCCAAGTTTGCTGCTCCCGAAAATTGACGATACCCACCTACATTGTCGTGCCATTGGAGGCTCTCGCTTTCAGGTGCGTCAACGTAGGGCATTGATGCTTCCATGTCCATTGGCAAGTTGTAAGAAGGTTGGGAAGATAGTCTCACGCCTAGACTCTGAAGCCATTCTGACAAAGTGGTCAGGTACTCCTGATGCCCTGCTGCCAGAGCTGCGCGATAGTCATTGACATAAGCCTGCCCGTGACCTGGCGTGTCCAAGGTACACCGGGTGCTACCACGAGAGTCGTTTTGAATGTTTATGTTGTTGTTCCCGAACATGGTGAGAGGGAGATATGTTCTGAGGTCGTAGCCAAACATTTTTTTGAACCTTGTGGGCAACGAGCGAGTCCAAGAAACGTTGGAGCGTATTTCCATGCTGTCTTCCCAGCCTCGGAGAACACTTGTGTCAGCCAAGTCTTTTCGCGCCAGACTTGAGATTCAACATACCATAGTTTCCAACTTCCCGCAAGAGATCCTTGACATTGTCCGTCAGTAGGTGATCTTCCCGGAATGCTTGCACTGCCTTGGCACCCTGGGCGCTGAAGTGGTCAACAACATATGACCCATTATCCCAGATGGTGGCAGTCGTATTGGACGCAAAATGAACGTTCTGATTGTGGGAGAGTTTCTGGTAAAAGAAGAACAGCTCTTGCTCATGCCCATCGGGCAAGGCTTTAGGGGCATCCGAAGATACCCTGCCGTCGTCGGAGATCTTTGAAGTGATGTCTGTTAAGGATCCATTCTGTAAGACGATGTCCTCGTACGTCACAATCGTTGCACCCAGTGCCCCAGTCACGTTGAACGAGACGTTCGTTCGGGATGTAACGATTGCGGAGACAGCGGCCAGGGCCACGAGTTCTCCATTCAACCAGCCTGGAATAATTTCATTGAAAATGTCTCCTTCAGCAATCGTTTGTCTGGTCGAAATCTGCATGAAAAGCACAAATGATTAGCCAGTCTGGCCCAACCTTCTGGACTTGAGCAATTACCAAGTCCCATTGCAGACCCTCGTCATCAGGGTGAGCCGGTATGCCTTGTCCCTGATTTGGACCCAGTGAAAAGTCCATTACCAGGCCGGCCTCTTTGTGGCCCTCCAAGGCTGACGGGAATAATCCAAGATGAGCCGGAGTACCAAAACCGTAAGTAGACCAGTTGACTCCTTCTGGGGGCCCCCCAAGCTCGCCTCCATAGTTGTAGAATGGCAAGAACTCTATACCACCAGCACCAATGGCCCCAGCAGATTTGATGTCCGCGCTCACTGTTTCGGCATCGACACTGGCATCTGGAAGCCAGTATCTAAACCTCGGGCGCTGTTGAGAAGGTGTGCTGAGGAAGTCATCCACGATGTTGGTATAACTTGACCGCGGACTTGCTTGGCAAACAAAAGTAATCAGGGCAAAGATGCTGGCGATCGGGAAAAGCGAAGGCATGTTCAAGGTTCAGCCGATGCAGGCTCGCGAAAGGTACTAGTCACCTGTGTCGCCTTTTTCCAAAGAAATACGTCGATGTTTATGACACATGTGGTGATAAGGCCTGTCATCGCTTGATAAGTTCGAAGTTGGAACTAGGGACATGGACACATGTGTTGACATATACCTATTTGTGTGCGGGCTCGCATACCCGCCTCGTTTCCCTGGGAGTTGCGATCAACAGGCTTCAGTCACACAGTCTCATCCAGCTAAATGACCAATATCTGCTGTACTCGGTGTCTGCGTATTGGAGCCCAGTACGAGTACGACGTATTTCGTATTGTCAACTCGGTATAATGCGGAACGAACCCCTCAAGTCGGCCCGGTTGCTGATGCATTAGAGCAGGTATCGCACTACCATTGATTGAGGGGTTCGGGAGGCTTTCACGAATATGTCTTCAGGTCTCGTTGAAGTGGCTATTCAGGTCTCTCAGCGACTGATGCTGCTCAATTCCATCGCTTCCATAACGGACGTCTCAAAAAAAATATTGTAAAATATCACCGAAAAGTAGATGATGACTGGAATTGGATGAAGCATGTGCGAAGATCTTGCAGAGAAGTACAATGCGTTGTTCTAAACACCATAATTTCAAAGGGAAGTGAATGTTAATTTGACATAATCGGACGTTAGCGTACTGGACAATCGGTGTCAGACCAATTTCACCAGAAGTATGCATCCAGGGGCTTGCCGTCGGGTCAAGCAATTTGACATGCGAAGGAGCTTGTGTGACAATCCAATATCGAGGCCTCCGTGGACCGCCCTAAGCGGTTCCATGCCATTCACGAACAATAATGTTGCCTACAATGTTTCCGCGGCTCGTTGCAAAATCTCAACCACTTGTGATCTGAAAGCCTGTTGCAGCTTTAAATCCTCCTTAGTGTCGACCTCGATATTAAAATTGTCGTTAAGGCATGTCAAGACCACATTCTTGTATCTCTCCCCCATTTTGTTCCCAAGCCGCTTCTCTGCGTGTTTTACCAGATGTTTCTTGATGTCGTCGGGGTCGGTTAGCTGGACGGATTGACAGGGCCTTACCCATTTGACCAGCTGAAGTTGAGATACAAACTTTGCCAGCTTTAGCGCCAACCAAAATCTTGAACCCAAGGAGGGTGGGGCCAGGTCGCTCGATCGAAGGATATCCAGCATGCTTGTTGGCGAGGGCTCCAGGGACTCGGGAACACTGAAGACAAAGGCAACTGGGTTCTCGTGTGTTGACTTGATCCATCCCTGACAGGGAGGAGTTCTGAACACAGCTCCCTTACGCTGATGAAGCAGCCTGGCCAATTGATCGACGAGGTCATTGGTCCTGTTGTCCATCTCAACCGGTATAGATGATTGAGGTGCATAGGAACGACGTTCTATGAGAATGGCGGGTTTGCGGTGGGGAAGAATGCTGAAACTTCCGTCTCTAATGGGTTCAGTCATGGATATTAAGCCATGTAGTTCTGGATCGTCGATTTCGAGACTATGAGGCGGTGCTTGAGACTGGCTGACCGCAATTTGTAGTCCTGCGTCTACATCGAAGCCTAATGTTCGAGAATTGGCGTCATCCTGCAGTCTATTCAAGTGCTGCATGTTGACACCGATGGAAGTTCCCAAACACCACAGTTTGATGCTCTCATGGATTCTGCCATTCAGGTCCGTGAAATCGTGTAATATCTGCTCAACCCGCTTCTTGTCCCGAAGTGACCACCAGAGCTTGTGGAAGGAGCTCGGCCGACGCAACGAGACCTCTGAGGACGTAGGTGACAAGGTGGACTCGCCAGATCTTGTCGTCAGGTTCGAAATTCTGGAATTAAGGCCTGATCGCGTGTCCATGGCTTTATATGAACCTTCTTGACGGCGTTGTAGAAGTCGGTAGGCTTGATTCAAGACGTCCCTGGCTTGTTCAAGAAACTGGTGGATCTCATCACGCACATCCGCATCGAATTGTTCAAACAATGTGCGCCTCTATATATCTGGGAAACATGATTAGCTAGCTCAGACATTCCAGGAGATGATTCTGTTCCGTGATGCTTTTTCTCGTAAGTAGATCAATGATGACTCACCGAAGAAGCCTCAAACAATAGCATGTGAAGAGCTCTGGTCCTATTGTTCTCATCCTGGATTTTGTAAACTAATATCGAGGAGTCCTGAGCGTCATGGTCAGTTTCCGTTGTGAAGACCCGTCAGAGACCACTGTGTTTCTCAATACTCAGAGGATCCATGCCGAGGTATCGCAAGTGAATGATGTAGGCGGATTCCTCAGTACTAAGAGATTGATAAGTATAACAGATGAGATTGGAGGGGACTAGGACATGGAAGATATGAAAACCGAAGTACCATGAGAAATTCGGGCTCAAACTTTCAAGGACACTAGCTGTGTGAGGGGGTGCGAAGGGTGCGGCATTCGGGGCATTCTTTGCTCATGGTGAGATGCAGGTCATGGGTGCATGGAAGTTGGGCGACCTGCATGTCTGCGTGGCGCGGGTCTGCAGCTCCTTCCAGAATCAGGACTCGGGGGCGTTTTAATGCAGTGATACCACAACCACCCAAGCGCGTCGGTATTCTGGTATTTCCAGGCTTTGCTTTGGCTTCTATGTGAATTTGACGAGATAAAGTTGGACGATCTGGATCTAAAGCCGAGAAGAAAGATGTCATATTTTTCTCCCATGATAACCCCGAATCCAACGACGACGAACTTTTCGAGATTCCTTCATGAAATATGCTTGTTGTTTCCCCATTACTACAATCTGTATCACAACCTCAGTGCTCGGTGCTCAGGTGGCTGGGAGGTTATTGGTTATCTGGGAACTGCTGTGAGAGCGGGGAGAACAAATGGTTTGGTTACCCGATCCTTTGCGTTACCACCAGATATAGGGGGTTACTGCACGTTATTTACTTTTGCTCAGTGAACCAGCACGACACCTGTCTCTGATTTTGCTTTGGGTCATGTGAACCTGGTGAACCTGGATTGTTTCGCTGGGAACCAAACAATCTCGCTCTTCCTTCGAATCTTGCATCAGCCCAATGGACACTCCGGTGACTTCTGTAGCAACAAGTCTGGGCTGGCAAACACACATTTCCCGAACTTCCGTGGGCAGCTTGAGCTGTGCAGCATTCTCTGATCAGCAAAGCCGCCTGGTCAACGGCCTCGAGGATGTTATTCGAGCAGTGAGATCCCTAAACCTTCCTCATTTTCGTTATGAAGACCTCGTTAGGCAGCGCGACTTGGGCGAGGGTGAAACATATCGCGTAGAAGAATGTAGGTCCCGAGACAACGTCGTTGCGATAAAGCACCTGAAGGTAAACAGCGACAGCTCCGAGCAGGCCAAATTCGGCAGCAGGCTGCGAGCGGTCGTTTTGGAGATCCAAGTCATGAGACATCCACCTCTCGAAGCCCATCCAAACCTTCCTTCAGTTTTCGGATATGGTTGGAAGACACTCGATAACAGCATATTGCCATTCATTGTGGTTGAGTATGCTGGTCTGGGAACATTCAGGGAATACATCAAGAATTTCAGACTTCGACCGGAAAGCCATCTCAGAGATATCGAAGTCTTGCTTGGTGACGTCGTATCGGGACTCTCTGCTCTCCACAGTTGTGGTATAGTGCATGGCGACGTCAAGCTGGACAATGTCTTGGTCCTTCCATCTAGAGATAACCCAGCAATGGCACTTGCTAAAATCGCTGATTTTGGCCATGCAGTCGTATTAAACGACGTCCCTAGTACGGATAGCACTGGGCAACTGCGATACTACGGGACTACGATGTGAGTGGAAAATCTGACCAACTGATTGGTCTTTTCACATGGAACGTGTACTAATTGGCACTTAGCTACAACGCACCTGAAGTGCAAATCCAGGATCAATGCCCCATAGAACGCTCTGACTTGTTCAAGTGTGACATTTGGGCGTTCGGACTCCTGATCTGGGAGGCATGCATTGAAGGCGAAGAGTACTCACAGTACATTAAGAAAAGCGGGCCCACGGCGGTTTCAGAAGACGAAGACTGTGTTTCTTATAAAGAGCTTTGCGCACTCGCGAAACAGTCATTGCCAGGCTCATGCAACACACTTGGTGCTGCTATGTTCCTCAGGATAACCCTGAACAAGACACTCCAGGAAGATCCTTCTAGAAGGGCCTCTTCTGCCCGAGACCTGCCCATATATACGAGTTGGAAGTCAGTATTTGACCAGCAACAAGTCAGTGTTTCTTGGTGTTTTGTTGACTTTTTTTTTTGCCATCAGTACGGGCGGCCTGAAAGGCCTCGCGGCCAATCTTGCGCTACATCTTGAGACACCCGTGCCCACTTATGAGGTGCGTTGCGTCCAACTCAATATCTCTTTGCGATCGCCATGGTAGCCAATGTTGATTCAAACTAGATGTTTCGTCTCGACAATGGGAAGGAGATCTCCTGGGCACACCAGCAGCAAATCTTTCAAGGTTTGCAAAGCACTCACGCTGGCAGGTTGGCCAAAGAGCACAATACTTTCACATGGCAGCTCTCCATGGCATATTACCTGGGCTTCGGAGTTTCCAGGAACACCACAACCGCGCATCACTTTGCCAAGTTGGCACAAGCAGACAACCATCCCGTTGCACTTATCTTCTCTGACCTCTTCGCCCACACTCCGACCCTCTAAAGTAAGTACGCGGACTGTATAGCACGACTGCTCCGCCCAACAATGATCTGCAGTGCTTGGCCGCCTTTGGTTAGAGCGTGTTTTGCCGGAGACAGCTCTGCGGTGCTGCAGTGAGTCTTCTGGAAACAGGGGCGAACCCGAATACCTGTACTATGGACGGGTGCGGACTGTTCCACTGGCTTTTCATGATCTCAAGCACCGATCTATTCAGTCGGGTGGTCGACGCACTCGAGTTGCATTCAAACCGATTGTTCTTGAATGAGGCGTTCATGGTGACTCGGAGTGTCCACAGCCAGTGGCCGCTTCAATTACTCGGCGGTCCACTCGCTATCGCAATCTCTGTCAACAGCGAAACGAGCGCTCGAGCTCTTCTACGTCTTGGAGCAAATCCCTTGGCCTTGGCACATGGAGCCGGATGCTTCCCCAAGTCAGACCCGCGCTCATCCTGGACAGCCTTTCACATGGCGGTAAAATACCATTGCATCGAAATCTTGAAAGTCATGTCAAATTGGCTCAACCATCGCGAAGAGGTTCTGCTGCGAACGACTTATCCATTGGGAAGTGCTCTCACCTACTCCACGACAATGGAACGTCTCGCAATACATGGTCCTGCTGCTCGAGAGCGCTTAACCCTTACGATCGGCTTCATAATCCAATGGCAAAAGATCGATGCCGTTCAGGCTGATGGGATGACATCCCTGATGCAGGCCATTGATTTTGAGGATCAAGAGGTTGTATCCGAATTACTACAAGCAGACCTTGGACTTGCGAGATCGCCCTTTCGTTCGCCCCTGGACAACAAAGTCTTCAATTTCCCAATCCATTTTGCGGTCCAAATCGCGGCCAGGCGCGACACGCCTGAGGCGCTTGAGGTACCGAAGCTGGTCAATGCACACAGTCAAGATCTAGATCCTTCAGTGGTGCCTTCTCGTGACCACCTGGGTAGAACGCCGTTGCATCTCGCCGTGACAGGAGAGTCAGATCGCACTGCCAGGTGGATCCTGCAGAATAGAGTCGGGCTCTTAGAGGTTGAGGACAAGCATGGACGAACGCCCTTACACTACTGCACCTCAAAATCAAGCTGTGACTTGCTCCTCAAGGAGAACGGGGCCAACGTCAACCATACTGATATGCAAGGCATTACAAGCCTGCACAGAGCATGCTACTTGGGCAACCATGAGTTGACTAGAGCCATTCTTGAGTTCGGTCCTCACCTCCACCTTGCAAACAATGTATTTGGAACCCCATTGCCTTGCGCTATCATAAAAGGATCTTTGGAATGCGTACTGCTTCTCCTTGACGCTGGCCTCTGTGCCACCGGCAAAAGATTACATGTCTCCGACAGTCGGGGAAAACGCCGATGTCAGCTTCGCGACTCAAAAGTCCTATGACGATAGGGAGGAAAAGATGCGGCAGTTGCAAGACCTTGCTTCGGACATCAGTCTCGCTCTAAGATCGGCACAGGACGGCCTGGCAGGGATGGGGGTGGTCCAGGTTGCAGATATCATATCGATTTACTTCGACGAAACCCTTTGGCAATCGCATGCGGCAGCTCCTGTGAGGGTGGATGGAATAGTGAGTACGGACGGCCGGGACGGGTTTTCTTATGACTCCTTTTCTTACTTTCGCAACGGAGAGCAGGTTAGGCCTACAAGAGGCGAGGGCCGCCGTAGGAGCGTGCGGAGCATGTTCGATGATTAGGTGGGAGGTCTCTAAAGTGGGCACGGGAGACGGTCTCTCGCAGTCACCGGTGTGCTACTTTAGTACGTGGTGGCCGACTCCATTCGCGTTGTATCGCCTCCTGTGTTTCTCAGTACCCTTCAAGAAGGCGGCGAGAATGCATCTCCAATTGTTACTGTGCGCTAAAAGGCAGTGTGATGTGTTATAACATGATGTCATCCAACTCCGAAGCGCGTCTTGTATTTGAGACAGTAATCTGGAAAGAAACCAAGCATTACCTGCGGATGCTTGAATAAACTCGGGTCTAATGAAATCCAGAGTGGCCTTCTCATGAGCCGCTTGACGCCCGGAAGCCCCTGAACACCGAAGAACAAAAGAAATGAGTCAGCCAGCCAACCCAGGAGGTCTATTTTAAATGGAGTTCAAAAAGCAATGGGCGAGATAATCCTTTTTGGCCATAACTTATGTTAGAGTAGAAGTGAAGGAAAACCTTGAAATATTCGTTCCTTCCCTCTGTTTGAACTATCGCTCTATCCGGAAAGTGTCCTTCTGTTTCAAAAGATTCCTCTATTATACAAAGCCTCTATTCAAAAGCGACTACTCTGTTAAATTTATAGCGTATGAATTAAGAGAGTAAGGTGTACTGACATTTTGTGCTACGTTTGCAGATATCGTGTCCCTTGACCCCCCAGCCCGTTGTGCAGCTCGGCGGCCGGGGGCTTATCTCTTTCACTTCAGTCCTACTTGCTTTGCTAGCATGTGGTAACTGACCACCTTCTTCTATATGCAGTTTGTTTACTAGATTTCCAGTTACAAATGGTTGGAGTGTAATTGAATTTGAGCCTATGCGTCATCAGCGGATTCTGAATTCCGTCAACTCCCACCCGAATCTCTCCGCCATGCCTTGCACGGACGGACGGCTAACAAAGTACTCCATCTTGACGAGGCACAGGGCGTCTAATCTTTCATATTCGCCCGTGTCACCAGTTGGCACAAGTATCATGACCTCACTCCGGCAATTATCCTCAGCCGTGTTGAAGTGCAGAGCGGAGAAGAACCAGGCTTGCAACACACATCCCCGGTCAGTCAGCGGCAAGCCTCGCTGCTCAGCCACGGTGCTCAGATAGCGCACATCTCCTCTTGTGAGACGATACGGCCCGCACTGGCATTCGCCGTCGTAGCTCACATGCCAGCAAGCGGCTGGGACCAACAGCTGGGACAGAAAGCCGTGGACGCGTAGGGACCTTGCGCAGCCCATGGCCTTACCCGTGGCCAGAAGCTCCGCCGGACTGTTGCTCGCCGTCCACTGGATGGCACTCCCGTTTTCGTACTCGACTGCGATCTCTGTCTGGTCGGGGATCTCGTTGCCTCGACTCCAGACATCCCTCCATTCTACCTGGCGGGTTGACGAACGGGCGCGCTTCCAGCCGCACCACGTCCAGCTGGGAATCCCTTGTCTCCTCTCGGCGACATCCGACAGCTTCCCCTCCAGCCTGGTCACAAATGGGCGGGGGAGGCTCCAAGATAAGCTGCGCAGCAGTGTGTGTTTGCCGGATCCACCTACGGACCATCGAGACTCGGGACTCCAAATGGGTAGCCCCCAGATGTTGCCAAGCAGGAACTCCACGGCAAACCACTCGAGGTAGTTGAGGACTCCTGCGAAAGCGTCAAAAGCATCCGCGTCGTGAGTCAGTTCGCGCTTCATGTACTCGCGCACGCGCTCGATGAAGTACTCCTCTCTTTGCTTCTGTCGGTCTTGCGAGCAGAGGTCCGCAGTTGGCTGCTTGTCGGCCACCCACGGGAAGACTCTGGACAGCTTCGAATGGCCCGGCCTGTGGAGCCTCGAGAGTGTACTCAGCGGGACATTAAGCCCTTCTGTGCACCACAGCTCGCCGCACTGGAAGTAGCACTGGCTCTGTGTAAAGAGCAATCTTCGGTTGGAAAGAAAGCCTTCTTGGTACGTCCAGGCACGTGTATTCCAGTGCGAGCCGTCCACTTCATCAACGAGATTAGTGAAAAGCTGAGTCAGACCTATTGCACCTGACCTCAAAGTGTGAGGCATGCGATCTCGGGCCACGCCCACACCCACGAGTCCCTGGCTTGGTTGCTCGGCCGCAGATGCAATGATGGTGAGAGAAGACTCAGAGTAGACCTTGTCCATGTTCCGAATCAGAGCGTTCCTAACTGTTTCATCATCTTGGGGTATACAGTATCGGTCGATCCATAGGTACTGGTAGCCCAGTCTCAGCGTGGCCACGATTGTGTCTTCAATCAACTTGGGCAATGTCTTGGGCAGGGCGTCACCAACAGGAGCCTCGGCCGGATCTAACCCCCACACGTAACTCAGGGTGACATATGGCGCACCGGCGGGCCATAGCACAAGCGTGCGGCTTTCGCAATCAATGACGGTAAACTCAGGTATAGACAAGGCCGGGACTGGATTGCAATCAGGATGAGTGTGTCCACGATTGCAGTGATGGATCCACCGGCTTACTACCTCAAGATCTGCCTGAGGTAACAGTTCTCGAGCGAATGTACCGGAAGGTTGCGAATCTAGAGGCATGAAGCAACTATTGAAGCGCAGGGCCCAGTCCTTGGCCTTTGTCCCGAAGGAGAAGAGCGGCGAGATGAAGAACACTGTCGGGTCTTCGTCACCGGAGAACCATTGGCGGTCCTCGGCATCGAGAAACACTGCGCTGAACGTCGACGCATGGAGTGAGTACACCCCGTTGCGCACTGCCCCCGGAAGACCAGCCAGACCAGCCACCTCGACGGCCACGTCGAAAAAGAAGCTACACAGCGGGCAACTAGAGTCTCGGTCGGCCATTCGGAGATCGCATATGTGATAGGACTCTGCCGCCCCCACGCGCTGAGCTGCCCTGCCGGAGTGAGAAAGCCAGTCAGCTATCTCGTCGCAGGGGCGACAGAGTCCATAATTAAATGACCTCTGGTGGGATATTGAGGCGGCTGAACTCGGTCGTTTCCTGTGTGTAATCCGGTCCCGAGGGAGGATTTCCGTTGACATGATTGCTCGTTGTTGATGCGTGGAGCTGTGGCATGAGGTTGGCCAAGGAGCCGCAGTCTACTGTATTGTGCATATAAGCGAGGATCGTATGCGGCCAGTCTCCATATGCAATGAACAAATGCAATCATGCAACCGATTTGCAGACTTCTCGCGTGGTTCACGTGCGCCCCCAAGTACAAATCGCACAGTACGCCGTTGGTTCTGGCAAAAGGGCATGCTGCAACCGAGCAGAGATTGGCGCAGCGTCCTGTGGCAGAGCGGGGCTACCGCGGTCCAGCCCCAACCAGCTTGTTCGATACCTGGTCAGCCAGACGGGCCGCTGCTACCTACTACCTAGTACCATAGTATTGGATGGAACTGGAGGGGACTCAAACCCACGATCGCAGCTTGTGGCCGGAGGAGACTGTCTTCTTGACCGCTTCGTGGCTTTGGAAAGCGGAGAATGTTTGGTGTAGCGAGAAAAGTGTGGTCTCCATGTCCCAATATACACGCCATTTTTGTTGCTTGCTTAGAAAAGGAGGTATGCAAGAGCTGCAGCTGCAGCATTAACTACAAAAAATCCTGTAAATGTACAAGTAAATTCCAGAACTTTGTGTACACGTAAGACGTCAATTCTGCAAAAAGGAAATCGCATGATATTAATAGATCCATCTCCACCGGCCTTGGCCATGCTGCAGAATAAACCCATGAACCCTGCAACACCACGAGTCTTCACTTGGGGCCTCGAGTCCCCTCCTAATTCTGCTTCTTGACAATCCAGATCTGCCCCTTCTTGACCCTGTTCTGGGTGGCACACTTGATGTTGGTGCCGTTGGTACCGTTGCCATTCTCAAGGGTCAGGCAATTGCCATTGAACTTGACGCTGTAGATGTACAGCTTGTACAAGTCACCGGCTTCGGCCATGGTAATGCGCCAATGAGCGGAGTTCATGTCGGCGTCACCCATCTGTGGAACAACAGAACCGCCAGCATCTTTGCGTGACGCGTGAGTGGGAATGCCACTTGATTTACCTTGGTGAAATCGGAGGACCACGCACCTTTGGCGGCAAGGTAGTGGCCAGTCTTGTTGATCACGAGCCACTTCCTGTCACCCATGTCCGCCAGCTGCCAAAGCTGGTTGACGTTGGCGATTTTGAAGGAGTCGCCGTACTCCCTGTGTAAGCTTTATTAGTACTGTTCAACCGTAGAAGAAAGATGATTATTTACCAGCCATGGATTATCTGTGGCTTGGCGTCGCGATCCTCGTCAAGTGCGCTCTGGCCATCGATGTTGAGAAGTGCATAGAGACCAGGTGTGTCAGTCCATGGAGTGGCATTAGTGGGGTCAAAGCCGGAAGACATTATGATGATGTTAAGTGAGATCGGGGGAGAAGAGTTTTGGGTGCTGGTATTTCGCGAAGGAGTGCGTTGGTGATAGTCTCCCAAAAATGGCGGAAATCTGTACCAACCTTCCATCTCTAACAATCGGTGAGGCCAAAAAAAGTTGTCCGTGCGAAACGGTAGAGACCAATATGGACTTGATACAGTCACAAGGATTGTGTGAGGCTCTTGCTGAGTTTCGTGAAGTGAGACAAACACGGGGTCTACTTGATGCCCTCATTCGGGGGTGAAGCAAACCAAAGGCGTCTGTAGAGTGCCACTAATGAATGGCTACCCAGCCTTACCGGGCTTTTTCAGGCATTTTCGGAAGTGGCTGGCTAAAGCAACGGCAAAGTCGACTTTGGACCATGTGGTGAGAAATGACACATCTCATACGGAGAAAGTAGAAAAGAACCAGGGAGGGAGTCAGTCGAAAGATTACAAGCAATACTAAAATGGGTGATTGCGCACCAAGTGATGGATGAGTTGCTTTGGAACCCAGCCATATTGCAGAGGGAAGGATGAACGCTGCCACGGCGCATACAAGCACGCGACAAGCCCTTTCATAATCTAGCCAATTGATACCAACGTTTAAGGTAAGCTCACATGAAAAATTTCGTTTCTGTGAACTACTAAATAGTATGTGGTAGCTCTCCAAAATTCCGGTGGTTTAAGTTTTCTCCAGAGCGGTGTAGCCCACATAGTATCAAACACACCGGGTGACCACAGTATCAAGTCCAGTTTCTTTGTCCAGCAACTGCGACAGTACTTAGTAGAGCAAGAATCACAAATCAAATATGATACGAATCTTTCACGTGAGTTGACGGAAGTAGAGCGGTGAGTTGAATCCCTGAGAATGACAGAAGCGAACCAGGGTCGTCGGTGCCATGGTCTGTTTCCAACAGGAAGCGAAGGGTTGTGCGTTATCACAGCTCCAGTTTTACCAAAAGAAAGACGTTTGTCTACCAATGAGAATATTCCCGATGACTGAATTAAGGCCGAAAGCCATGTGTTCTCCGTTTTGTGGTTGTCATTGTCGTCGTAGTTTTTATCAGTAGAAATGGAAAGGCGATTTGCCAACACGGCCTTTCTTTATAGACAGTTCTTTGACCCTAGAATGCGTAACAGAGTGATCAGCCAGCGCTCGCAGTGGTTGAACACATTTCGTGAGGGACCAGTGACAGGCGAAGAGGCTGAAGTTGTGCAAGTCGTTCCTTTGTTCTTGTGGCAGGGATCAAGATGAGCTGAACCCAGGGTCCCTCATGCTCTCACAACTCATGCGGAGTGGGAGACAAATGACAGGTAATACACACCGCAGAGTCCGTAGTTCTGCGAAGTTTTGAAAATCTGGTGGCTCCCGGTTGTGATGAATTTGACCTCTAATCACGGTAACAAAATCGATGGCAGTTACTCGTCTGTAGGAGTCAGGTATAAACATGGTGCTGCGCATTTAGGCAAGCCATGGTTTACCTTGGGTGTCAGCAAGACGTGGAAAGACTGCTTCATCAGGAATATGGAAGCGGTTCAGGGCGCCGGGGAAGGATTACGTAGATAGGCAGCGTCGTCATTGGAAACTGATCCCGCAAATGAAAATAACGCTTATGGGACTGCCGTCTTCAACCCACTCTGGTTGCACCCTAGCTGCAGCGGCAGTTGCGATTCTGCGACTGCTGAAGGCGATATCCATTCATCTCTGCCCACCTTTATCATTCCCAATGAGCGGGCTCTTTTCCTCAGCCGGGCCATCGCGCACTTCCCTCCCGAAACGTGCAAGAGAATTATTTGTGATTTTATAAGATACAAGCCATAGCACTATGGCCACACAGATTCTGCCTCGCGTCACACTCCATCACCGACCGCCATTTACCGAAATGCGCTGAATCTCGCTCTGGTACCTCATCTTGAACCCGTTCGTGAGCGCCCTCACGTCGGGGTACTGGTTCTTCAAGAACTCGAAGCCGTTCGGCACGACGCGTACCGGCCAGCCCATGACCCGCGACGACCTATTGGCCTTGAAGCACAGCCAGAAGTAGCCTGCATGCTTATTGTCGATACAGAACGCGTAGCTCGAACGGTTGGGATTTGCGTCCATGTAGGTGGTGAGCCATTTCTCTGTACAAATCAGTTAGCAAATACATCGAGTACAGAACGGGCGCATGAAAGACGTACCAAGCTCAGCCTTCGAGCCCTTCTGGAACTTTTCGCTCTGCATCAACTCAGAGACCTTCTTAGCCATCGCCTTCACGTGGTCGACTATCAACTCGTCGAGATCCGTGTACGAGTGCTTGCCGCCAACACGGAGCAGACGACCGACTGAGAACTCATTCTCCTTCTGCAGCTCGAGCACATCGACGTGCTGATAAACACCATCCGCCACCTTCCAAGTTATGGCAAGATGATCATTACCCTTGGACGACGGCCGGATGATGACCTCTCCTGGAGACTGGGATCCAAGCCACTCTTCGGCTTGTGTGGCATTGAAGGGCTTGAACAAGGGGTGTTTAATGACACGCTGCGTCCTGCCGGTAGTCCTATCCTTCTCCTTGAGCTCTTCCTTGTCCTCTTCTTCCTGTCGGTAGTCCCACATGTTTCGGTCGTAGTCGTGCCTCCTGTTGGATCGACGTAGCATGTCTTCACGGACAGTCAGTTTGGCCAGGAACGCTTTACGGTCGATCTCCAAGATTTTCGCCTGAACGGTCTGGCCGACGGAGAGGACATCCTTGACTGAAGAACGGTATGAGACCTCGTGAGCTTCGATGCGACCCTCGATACCACAGTCCAGCCGAACGATGGCGAAGTCATCCTTGACGATCCGAACATTCACGGGGATGATTGAATCCTCCGCCAGAGATTCCTTAGTCTCCCCAGTAAACATGGTGAAGATCTCGTCTGAACTGAGAGTCATGAAATGCCGTCGCAACTCTTCATACGGCGCTTGCAGCTCCGCCCTGATAGTCTCAAGCGTCGCCCGCTTCCGCTGGCTGTATTGCGCCTCCAGCTGTTCGGCATATTCTTCGAGAACGAGCTCGTTGACCTTCTCTTGCTCGTCATCCCGGAAGAGCTTGCGAACGATAGCGCCGGCCCCATTCTCGTCCGTCTCAGCTTTGACGTCTTCCTCGTCGAGCTCCAGTGCATCAGCTGCCATCTTTCGTCCAAGCTCGTAATCCTCTGGATGCACACGAGTGTTGTCCAAAGGCTCCGACCCCGGAATGGAGGTGTCGTATTCGATGAAGAGGAAACTTGCGCAGTTGTCCCAGACCTTCGGGCCGACGACGGGGAGCTTGTTGTTATCGGGATCTCCCACAAGTTCATCTCGCGAGGTCACGACACCCCCATTCATGTTGATGCCCTTGATGACAGCTTGCGCTTTCCGTGGGCCGAGACCGGATACGTACGGCAGGAGATTGGCAGTATATGGGTCTTTGACAGCCTCGTTGATATCGACACCGCAGAGATTCACCATGTCCACCATTGCTGTCTCGAGGTACTTGTTCAACTTATCCGGCGGTAGCAGACTTTGGCATGGGTGGAAGGACAAGGAGATGACGTCCTTCCCAAGAGCTGCATACTCTTTGAGTGGGTTCTGGAGGTAGTGCGCAAGTGCCGCGCAGTATCTGGTCAGAGAGCCCAGTGTGGGATGCTCAGTAACCGCTCGAGGGCTGTCTTTGTAGAGGCGGGCAACCTCGTCGTTGACGACCATGACTTCGAGTAAATCTGTGCGGAGTTCGTTGGTCTCTTGATCGTCGTATTCAGGTCCCATGAGACCTTTCTCGTTGACGAGATTCTCCAAGTCCTTGATGAGTTTGTGGGTGTCGGCACAGAAACCACTGGCAGCAATGACGTCTGGTTCTCGTCTTCTGACCAATTCCGCAAACTGTTCGCAAGCCTCCTCGTCCCGCGCTAAGTTTCCCAGCTGGCCGGACTCGATTACGCGCCCATCTTCCTCGACCCAGGCATACGTGATCTTCTCTCGGCTCGGATCACCCATTCCATTTGAGAGCGCTAGAACGCGAGGCGTTGTGCCAAGCACCATCCCCTTGGGCTTGTAAGGAGCTTGGTCGAGCCTGCGTGTGTACTCTTCGCGGCAGATCTTGAGAATGGATTCCTGACATCCTGTGCGCATGCCATCTTTGACGGCTTTGACCATCATCTTGTCCAGCTTCGACATTGCGAGATCCAACACCTTCTTGCGCTCATCGTTCCACGCGTCCGCCTTTTCACTGAAATTGTCGGATGCGAGGTCTTGGTAAAATTGTCGCCTCAACTCACGTTCATCTTGGAGCGCTAGCTTGACCTCGACCAGACCCTCTTCCTCAGCCTTCATCATCTTCAAGAAGAGTTCCGGTCTCCTGGCGATATCTTGCCCATGGAGATTAGTGATGTACTTAATCTCATAGAAGGGATGCGACTCTTCAATCCTGCGCAGTCCTTTGTCGGTACGACGACAGGTGAAGACAGCGTTCAAGAAGTAATGCTCACGCATCCACTTGCGCAATCTCGGACTGGAGAACAGCTCTTCGGCGTACAGTTGGCGAGCGGCATTGATCACTGAGTCCGCAGTGGAAAAGTCGCCATCCGTCAAACTGTCTGCCAAGTCGACAGGGTGCTCCGACGGATCATCAGCGACAACTCGGTGCGTGCTCGACCCTGCGTTCGACGATGCGTTGAGCCGATTGGACACCACGGTCTCAGGGGGCAAGCCGTAAGCCAGGAAAAAGTCGTATGCCTTGCTCTTCCGGACCCGGTCAAACAGAGATGACCTTGCTCCGGGTCGCTTGAGCGTTTCACCGTCTGAGGTTGTGACTTCCTTCAGCTGGGTCGTGTATTTGAAGTTGACGTAATCGAGAAGATCCTGGAGCTCCTCCATCTGCTTTGCCTCCGAGGTTTGCTCTTCAAGCATATTGTCTTGAACGTCAATGCTCCGGAGGCTGGCAGCATTCTTCTCCAACGCGGCTCGCTTCTCAACGAAGCCGCGAAACTTGGTATCGAGCTCCAAGATCTTCCACAGGTCGTCCTGATTCAGGAGCTTCTCGGCTTGCACAACAAATTCGGACGAGTCCTGATCACGTCGGTTGTAATCCGGGTTTCTCGCTTTCCTCGCGTGGATGAGATAGTCCTTGCGGTGCTGAAATACGTAGGGTACCTCGACTGAGTCGATGATGAAGAATTCCAGGACCTTACTGACGGCTTTGGCGAAGTGCCCTTCCAGCATGGGGTCCATGCTGTACTGCTTGAAATTCCACAACTGATCCGATATCCATTTTGTCTCCTCCTTTAGATCCGGTTGGATCTGGGACTTTTTGAAGGGCCGTCGATCGAGCTGGAATCGTTCTGGTTCATCGGTAGCACGTATCTCGTTGTCTTCGTCCGTCAAAAGCCTCTCGGTCAGCTGGGAGGGCTCGAAAACGTCCTTGAGTTCGAGTTGCTGCTCTTCGATGCCTTCTTCCTCGTCTTCCTCTTTCTCCAGAGCCCACAAGTACTCTTCGCCGTTGCCGAAGATTCTTTCCATGTCTTCCAGTGCCTCTTGTTCCAGATCAGTATTCTGCATGACGCTGCCGACGAGAAGGCGATCGCGTCCACGAGCGACTTCCATGTCCTCTTGTTGCCTGATGCGCTCCTCCTCGTCACCGTAGTCATCCTCTATGAAATCCTCGAATTCGTCGGGGGCGGCGCGGCTATGGCTTGGGCGGGCGTACTGGCGATCGTCACCGGCTTCGTCTTCGTCTTCGAACAGGGTAGCAGCCAGTTCAGCGGGTCGTTTGTTGTGACGGTCCTCATCGCGGTGGCCGCGCTTGAGCCGTTTGTATTGAGACTGTAGCCACAGTTAGCGTATGCTCTAGTAGTTGTCATCGGTATGCAGGGAGTGTTGAGGCGCACCTGAGGCTGTTCTCTACTCTGGAACTCGGGGTTGGCCTCACCAATGAGGTCTAAATCTTCCTCATCAAGCTGGGCCTCCTCATCGCGCTCCGCTCGCCGACGCTTTCTACGCCTTCGGCGCTCTCGCTCATCAGAGTCTTCGGCTTCTTCGTCCTCATCATCAATAAACCCTTCCTGTACCTGCAATTGCAATTGATGCGTCAGCTTGGGGATCGCTGGGGTCGGGTAGCTGAACCGGCTTTGTCACACACCTTTTGTATCTCCTCCTCGTCGTCATCGTCATCCTCCTCCTCGCTAGAGTCGTCGACCTGTGCGCGCTCTTGCCGGCGACGAGGCTGGACATCCTCGCCATCGTCGTCTCCAGCGAAGGATTCCTCCTCTTCCTCATCGTCTAGCTCAGCGCGGTCGTCAATCAAGTCTCGCGTGGACATCTTGACGGGTTGCGGTAGGTGTTCGTTTCTTTGTTATCGGGAACGGAGCGAGGTGATTGACGAAGATCCGTCGGAGGTGGACTTGCGCAAAGCAACAGACGGCCCAGGCAGGTCGGCAGGTCGCGTTTGGAAGATCGAGACAGGAAATGCGATCTGCCTCTGTCTGGGAGCTGGATGGGTTGAGATGGGCAGTCAAGGCAGACGGCCTGAGGCTCGAGTAATATGATGAAGTTGGCTGTTTGTCTTAGGCTGAACATACGGGGGATTTTTTGGAGCCAGCAAGCTGAGCTCAACCCATGGCCTCTCTCCAGAGCAAATCGGGTCTTTTGCCTGCCGGCTGTGGGCTGTCAGGCAAACCACTTAGACTAAGAGGCACGCTAAGTGCGGTTGGGCTGTGGGGCGCGTCTTGCAATGAGAACTCATTGAGGGGGCCTGCCCAAGAGGTTGGTTTTTTGACACAATTGTACCTTTCTGAATTTACTCACTGTCGTTGTCCCTGATCTGAGCCATTGTGGTGACCGACTTCCTCCCGTAGCCGGATTCTTAAACCGTAGCTTGGCTACAGATGCTAGGCTTATATCTGCGTCACACAGCACCCATGCCAGTGAAATTCGATATTCACTAAAGCTGGGGCTAAACCTAAGTCAAACGAAAGTCTCTTTTTACTGTGTCAGTTTGTTTGACTGTCTTTGCTAAGTTCACCATCGAACAATATGGCATAGGGAGCCATTGTGTTGTGAAAGTGTGTTGGAAGACCCTCCAACGACTCTGTGCACCCATGCTTCTAACCCCAACCCCTGTTCTGCTTCCCTACCTTTGCAGGACGTCTTCCTGGCCACCACAGCCATAGACAAACTTAGTTACTCGAAGCCACAAAGGCCAGGTGGTTGGGACATCCTCTCTGCTTCCATCTAGATAGTGTTGCTTGGTCCACGCAACTGTAGACTTACTGCCAGGACCATGTCAGACGTGAGAGACTGTAGCAGCAGGGCACACTTTTGCTGCACAGTTCTCAGATGGAATAGAGAGCACATGCATGCTACCGACCCATGCTCTTATGCACTTGCTCCAGTGCAGAGAGAAGGGCATAATCTGATAGCCCCGAATCTGCACATATGTCTGTCTCTTTTCAACAAAGCGCTCACAGGATGGAGGTAAGAGACGGAAGAGGCCCTCGATGAAAACGCCCAAGCAATGAGCCGGCTAAATCTGCTTCTACATAGTGAATTCGACCTCATCAGAAAGGAAACGCCAAGAACACATTGTCGACTTAGTAGTGTCGAGTTGAGAGACGAGAGACGGGCCGGAGTAGCCTGCTTTGATGTTCGGCGCTGAACCCGCAGACCATACCTTAGCAAGTAGGGGTGGCTGCCGGAGACCCTCCCGGTAGGCGGGCGGGCGGCTTGACATGGGGATTCGTCCCCCGTTGCGGCAGCCCGTGTCATGCAGTTTGGGATATCGCCATGTTCCATTAATATGATACAGCTCCCAACCTTGAAGCTTGGCTGGGGGTGGCAAGCCCAGCGGTTGCTCCTACGACAAACGTGTTTCGAGCAGCATCTTGGGGGGCACATAATCACTGCCATGGTGCGTCTGGCGCAAGAGCATGCGCCTGGGCAGCCAGCCAAAGAGAGCGAATACTGAGCCGCTGAGGGGTCTGGTGGCAGCTCACGGGTGCACGTCCGTCGGACCCCTGTTGGCACGCAGCACCGTAATGAAGATTGGATGGCCAATGGAGAGGGCTAGGTCCGTATTTGAGACGCCAGCCCGTTTTGAGCGTGCCACACTCAATGGCTTAACTCCACTAGAACCATTGGGAACAACGGGATGGCGTCCATTTGGTCGTCAGCCCCTTTTCTTTTCCCTCACCTAGACAGCTAGACAGACGAAGACGCCGGGATGCAAGCATGCATGCGTGGGCAAGGGATGGTGGTTCATCATCGTGCCGCCCTACTGTTGTGATATCCGCCGCGGCCGACCACCTCACCACGACGGTCCTTCGGGTGCAGTTCGTGCAGTTCATGCTGTTGGGTTGCCTGCTAACGTAGCATCTGAAGTCGAATCAGGACATTGGACGGCAGAAGTGCGTCCCCGACGGCGTCAAAAGACGAATCGCATTCCATGACACGCTGCACCGTTGCAGTAAAGACCCGGCTCGCGACAGTCTATCGCCTGCTTACCGTGCCCGTACCAAAGCCATGAACCCATAAAATTCCCAGGTAGTCTACATACACAATAAGCGAGGTGTCGTATCCGCCCGCGGTATCAGAATTTGTCCGTTTTGGGTCTCGACTCTCCCCTGGGTGGGCAAACCAGCGTCGAATCTCGCCCGTGTCGCCCGTGCGAAGGTCCAGTTGACACCCCACTGCCTCGGACGCTTGCACTGATTCAGTGGGCCTAATCCGACGAGACTTGGGCGGGCTTAAGCCAACGAACGACCCTTCACTCTACCTTGCCCCCCGGACTTGTTTCTTCCTGTCCTTTTCTGCCGGCCAGTGTTTCAACCCAGGGCAGAAAGACATTCTCCTCTCATCGAGCAGACTGTCGGATGCCTGTTCACTGACAGGACGAGAGAGCCATTTGGGAAACAAGCAGCCAGGTTTGCACATTCCCGCCCACCTGCAGCTTGCATATGAACCATTGTTAATGAAAGCGGCACAGCGCCCGATATCGATACCCTGCCGCTTAGAAGCCCCCACCAGACGACAACCACCTCTCCGCCTGACTGCCCAACCGCCCTTCGACTTGTCTTCCTGCCCCTTGAAGAGCCCTCCTGCAACGGCACTGGAGCTGCGCGATCGTTGATCAACCTCCCAAGGCTCAAGGTCACCGCCCGAACAAGCTGGCAACAGACGTGTCTCGCAGGTGACTGGCAACGTACAAACGGGCCCATCCGTCAGATTACCCCTCCACGCGCAAGGCTGATACAGCCTTTGCAACCGCCCGAGGCCCGTACGAGGATTCTGAGACGACTTCGCATCTCCTCCGACCGACAACTACAAGCTTCATCCAGAAAGCCATTTGAGCCCAGCCACAATGGCCGACTTTGCGCCTCGCTCCATGAAGCGCAAGAACGTCAAGGGCCTCGCCCTGACGCCTGCAGCTCCCAAACCGCCACCCACCTCCGAGAATGCCAACTTCCGCCATTCTAGGAACAATTATTCCGAGGACACCTCGGCGCAGCTGGAAATCGGCATCGAGTTCAATCTCGACCTGCGTCCAGAGGACCTCGAGATCATCAAGGATCTGGGCTCTGGAAATGGAGGCACCGTGAGCAAGGTCAAGCACATTCCCACTAACACCACCATGGCCCGCAAGGTGAGTTACTCCAGAAAACCCCTGGCCTCTTCTCAAGCGTTTCTAATAGCACCCAAGGTCATCCACGTCGAGGCCAAGAGAGAGATGCGCAAGCGAATCGTTCGGGAGCTTCAGATTATGCACGGATGCCATTCCGAGCACATCGTCACCTTCTACGGTGCCTTCCTGAATGACAACAACGATGTCATCATGTGCATGGAGTACATGGACGTTGGGTAGGTCGCAGCCACCTGTAAATGCTTTGTCAAAATGTTGGACACTGTGCTGACTATTACCCCAAAGCTCGCTCGATCGGGTCTCTCGAGTCTTCGGCCCAGTCCGGGTCGATGTGTTGGGCAAGATCGCCGAAGCAACCCTAGGTGGTCTGACCTACCTTTACTCGAAGCACCACATTATGCACCGAGACATCAAGCCCTCCAACATCCTCGTCAATTCTCGCGGCCAGATCAAGCTTTGCGACTTTGGTGTATCTGGAGAGCTCGTCAACTCGGTCGCAGATACCTTTGTCGGAACATCTACATACATGGCCCCCGAGCGAATTCAAGGCGAGAAGTACACGGTCAAGTCTGACGTCTGGAGTTTCGGTCTGTCAATTATGGAGCTTGCCATCGGTAAATTCCCCTTCGCTGCCAGCGAGCAGCTGTCGGATGCCGAGAGTGCGCCAGCAGGTATTCTCGACCTGCTGCAGCAAATCGTCCACGAGCCAGCGCCCAAGCTCCCCAAGAGCGATGCTTTCCCACCAATTTTGGAAGACATGATCCAGAAGTGTTTGCAGAAGACGCCAGATGACCGTCCGACGCCCGATGAGCTTTTCGTGAGTCCTATCTCGATAAGGCACGCCGACGCGCAGGAAGCTAATGTTACATAGGAACGGGACCCCTTCGTCCAGGCCGCCAAGAGAACCCCCGTCGATCTCCGAGAATGGGCAGTAAGCCTGATGGAGAGAGACAATCGCAAGTCTCACCTGGCGCCCCAGCTCTCCCCGTCTACTCAGGATTTACTGCGCTCGAAGGACTCTCCAGACCCGGCCGTGGATGACCGCGCGTTGGAAACACCCACATCAGGTGAGATTCCCATTGTGGGCGCTATCATGTCACCTCGTGACCAATATAGCAGCGTATCGAATCGATCCCCGACACGATCAGAACGGGGGGCAGGGAGCAGCACTGGCCGATCAGGTGGACCGCCTGTACATCCGGGACTAGGCCAACGCGGCACGACGACAAACTCGATACCGAAGATGATGCCTCCTCCGCCACCGCCTCCTGGTCGACACAGCCCCAGCCCATCTGCCGGCTCGATCAACAAGCAGACCTCCTTTGCCCTGCCCCTTCGTCCTCCCCCCGGCGGCCCCCTACCCCCTCCCCCTCCCCGGAGGCAGACGCCACAGACACCCGACGAAGCTGGGAGCAGCATCCGTGGAAGCCGGCGACAGGCGACTTTTGGAATCCCACAGGGCTCGACCAGTGCGTACGGAATGGGATATCCAAACCAAGTAAGGCGAGATTAGGATGCTCTTTCTTATGTTCCCAAGCCACGCGAGGTTCAGAGGACCCGACAAGCCCGCGAGCTGGCACCTTCTAATTTTCGTCTCCCAACCCCGTCACGGATTGACCTCACTTTTCTCTCTGATCTCATTGAAGCACAGTCTGGCTGCACAAAGCTTTGAGAAAGAACCCAGATCTCTCTCCTTCTACTTACATGGTAGTTGTTTCTTGCATAACCCCGGCGTAACCGGCTTCGAAGGACCTGTCTGATGGCAACACAACGCCCTTCGACTTTTGAACATATTCACGACAGCTCTTTCAAGTACACCTGCTCCCACGAGTCTCGAAACGGACGGGAAACCAGCAGGAGTGGAGAATTCAGGCCAGTTGTCCAATTTGGCATTTGCGACGGACTTTGTTTGAGGGGTTCAAACCATCTTGCAGCGTTGCGTGGGAGCAAGCGTGGAGAAACATGTTCAGGGATTGGCACTTCTGTCTATTTGGCTGGCTGGCAGCATTTGGAAAGGGAGGAAAGACAAAAGGCTGCTGACCTGTAGGGCGCATAGCCCAGACCTAGACAACCTGAATACGATGTGGTTGGATGCTCGGAACGTTTGGTTCACGATGCCCAGTAGTAGGTATTCAGGGGATTCAGCCCTGCCCGGATATTTCCTATGTCCTCCGACGTTGTATGCCATCCTGCACCTGCATCTGCATCTGAAATCTAGTGTAAGTCTATCGCATCGACATTGGAGGCCAATGCCACCTATAATGGTCCATACCTTGTACCTCAGATTGTGGCCAAGGACATCGCCCCCATGGCCCAATATGCGAGTTGGGAAGAAAAGATGAAAAGAGACTATTCACTTACGCATCTCATATCTCCCTTCCCGTGAACCCATCCTCCAAGTGACGAATCAACTCATCCAACCGGCCAATCACCAGATCGGTATGCTCATGCTTGGCCAGGTGCTCGTTGGCAGGGTTGACAAGAAGGACAGTTGCCGCGCCCGCCCTCCGGCCAGCCGTCATATCGTCGATCGAATCACCCACCATGATCAACCCACTAGCGTCAGCCTCCTCCCCCTTCACCTCCGCGTCCAGCTCAGACGTGCCGTCGCCGGCCCCCACGACCTCCGACTTGACCTCGGCTCCATTTCCCATGAACACTTTCTTCAGCTCCTCCCTGCCGCCGCCGGAGGAGCCGCCGGTCCGCGTAAACCCCCACGAGCGCGCGATGTGCAGGATGCCGGCCGGATCGGGTTTCGGTGGCCGGAACTCCCGTGTGATGACTGATATGTATCAGTAGGTAGCCTGGTACGGAGCCTAAGGTCATGCATTTCTGGAAGAATCCAAAAAATAACAGACGGGGAATCATATCACGAGAAGACTAATACTGACTGGGGTGGAATGGCTTGACGGCCGACAAGAATTTTGTGATCAGGTGGTCGACGGGCATGTCAAAGTTGCGCGTGCAGATGCCCTTCGGCAGATTCTTGCTGTCGATATAGGTCATCAGCTCGACGAGGCCCGGCTGAGCCTGCTGCTTTGACATTGCCGTGCGCTCGATATCCCGGATTGATTCCTGGGAGGGAGGGTCAGATGAGCGATGGGAGATGTGCTGGGAAGCCTTTGGCCTCTTACCATAGCCTTCTCCCTATCCTCGGGCGTGGGGAGCGAGTAGATGTGGTCGAGGATATCGATTTCCTTTGTGATTGAGAGGGCGTTTCGCATCTCGCCAAACATATAGTTCTGTGGCTGGCTACAATCGGTGGCCTGTTAGATCATTGGACCCCAACTTTCTCTATATTCCCCTCCTGTGTCTTGGATGAAAAACTTCCAAAATGGAGTGTAAGTAGAATAACCATAACAAGTCAGATCTGGACTTCCAGAGCGGATTGTTCACCAGCAGGATTTCGCTGCATGGGCGGAACGAAAGATTGGAGGGAAACCGACCAGAGGGTACCGTCCACATCGAAAACAATGCCCTACACGAGCAGTATTAGAGTTGCATGCATAAGAGAATATACAGGAGACACAGTCACCCACCTTGAGTCTAGGCACGTGGGTATTTGCTGCCGACCCCTCCTTGAGAGGCGCGAATTTCCTTGCACCAGCAGCCATCGTGGACAGAAATCTTCGCATGGGAATTCTGATGTGGTGAGGAGAGGCTTTCAAAAACCAGTCTCGTTCTCAGAGAATCTTGGACAATGTTGGAGGACGTGACCTCGAGCAGGGATTGGCTTGTCGATAAATTTCTGCGCAGCAGCGCAGCAGTGAGTGCTGCTGGCGTATGACAACGCAGACGAGTCAGGAACTGGGCTTGCAATAAAGGTGGCGTCAGATCAGAGCGAATTGCAGGTGAGCTGTCTGGGTTGAGACTGCCCAGTGGTGACGGATGTGACTTCCAGCGGCAGCATTCGATGTCACGATGTTGCGTGCACGGACCCACGTCGACGCAATGGGGAAGTGGATCGAGTCTGAATTGCCCATTCATGACGGATGCCCATCAGAATTTCTGAAAGGATTCGCAACACCTATATTTGCATGGTGGATTACAAGAATACTGAGGCTCCCGCTTTGTTCTTGAGAGCTGATCCTGTCATACTATCCACTTCGAATCCTAAAGGATTTACGTGGAATGATGGGCTTTGCTTCGAGTGCGCCAGGTCGTCGTTGTATGCAGAATATGCCAGACTGGCGAGCGTTTCCTCACATATCAGCAGGGCATTCAATGGTGACAGGAAAGATCATTTGCTCTTCTATCTGACTCGCGGGAGCTTAATTCAAGACATCGGGGCGTCTGGGGGAGGTCATAACAATTAAATGCCTTGAATTGATGTAGATACTCTATGGAGGGGGCGTGACGAAGAGTGCACCATGAACACACACTCGAGATGATGTTCTACGCAATACACATGGACAACACGGAGACTGAAGACGTTGGACAAAGCACGTTCATTCCGGTGATGAAGGACGATGGCCAGGGCCTATAAAATTAATGCCATACGGCACGAACTCATGTCAAGGACGAAGGTGGCAGGGTGGTAGGATCAGTGAGCAGACATCCTCATCGCTTGGGTGGAGATGCCCTGCCCTGCTTGCTGGTGGTACGGAATGTCCTCCATCTTCTCGGACGGGCCTCGCCAACCTCGATCCTCGATCGTGGCTGCGTAGCGCAGTGTTGTAGGACAAGACCAGCGAGTCATACTATGAACAGCTGTGAGACATGCCAGATAGTACTCACGACTCTGTGTGGCGGCTGGCTTGCGGGTGTGGCCTCGGTGGAACGCCCAGTTGGCGTAAGACACCCGTTGGGAGGGGAGGTCAGCAAAGGGCAGCCGGGGTGGGATGCAACATGGGTGGTGTTCGCCAAGGTGGCAGCAGCCGGCCAGCGGGAGTGCTAGATGCGGACCCGGGATTACAGCTGGAGTGGAGCTTTGCAGAGCTGAGGTCTGAGGTGCTCTGGTCCTGTCCATGCCTGCAGGCGCTGCTCTTTCTCCGCAGATCCCAGCGGCACGGGTGGGCTGGTGGGTAATAACCAACAGATCACTTGCTTAGCCTGTGCGACATGGCCGTCGTCAGTCGCGGGTCCATTCCAAAATCAGCAACCGCACCTTTGGGCATCCAATACCACCACTTCCTGCCCGCCGCCCAACAGCCCCGTCTGACCCATCTCTGCATCGAGCTCCGGAAATCTACCCATCGTCTCATGGGGGAGAGATCATGAGCGCTATTCTATTCGACAGGACCTCCAGGCGATGTGCAAGCAGGTCGCATAGAAGAAGGAGAGCTTGCAATGAGCTCATCGTCCCCATCCCAGCCGGCCGCCCCGCCAGGGCCTCTGGAACGGCCCTCAAAGAGAAGTGTGAGTCTCCAGAATTGCCAGTCTCCCTTCCAGCTGGTGCTGGTCCTTTCGCTGACATTCTTTGCAACGTCAGAAAATGCCACCAAACGGCACCTTTATCGATCCACAGACGGGCCAGCGATCCCGCCGACAGTTCACCTTGCGCGGTGCCTTCCGCGACCGCGGCCGCACCAACACCAGCGATAGCAACGTCTCGATACACCCCTTCTTCTCGCGCGAAAACTTCTCCGAGAGGATAGACGCACTCGGCCACAATGTCAAGGCATCCGTCATCAACACCTGGGCCTGGCTCAAGTCTCCCAGCGGGAGGGGCGTCATGAAATGCGTCCTGGCCTACTCCCTCGGGAGCTTGTTCACGTTGTGGGAACCACTGTCCGACTTCCTGGGCAGGCCAGACGGGAAACATGTTGTCGCGACCATCACTGTATACTTCCACCCATCGAGGACGGCGGGCTCCATGATCGAAGGCACCTTGATTGCCATCATAGCCGTCATATACGCGGAGATCGTGTCCATATGTTCCATGGCCACCTCGGTCTTCTTCGGTTCGACTTTGCACATGGTCGCTGTCGCATACTCCTTGGTACTTCTGATATTCGTCGGTGGCGCTTTTGGGTTCGTGGGGTGGGTGAAGCAGAGGATGAACAATCCTCAAGTAAACGTTGGGAGTACGCTGGCTTCGCTGTCTATGATCAGCATCTTGACGAAGGAGAATGCTGTGCAGGAACACGTCTTCTCGAACCAGAAGATCGTCCAGGTCTTGAAGATGCTCATCTGCGGCATCTTTATTACGGTTGCCGTGAACCTCACGCTGTGGAGGACATCCGCGAGAGCACAGCTGCGGGACGGCATGACCAAAGCCTCGAGCTCTCTCGGCGAAATGCTGACCATGATAACACACGGTTTCCTGAGTGGCTCGGAGGAGGAGTGGTCGACGCCCGAGTTTTCCAAAGCTTCGGCCGGGTACAATGCTGCGTACAGCAAGATAACCAAGAATCTTAGGGAGGCGAAATTCGAGCATTACTTCGTGGGCGACGAGAAGATATACCAATTGGACAAGGCCGTCTACAAGTCAATGGAGAACTTGGCACAGTCGATCGGTGGGTTGAGGAGCGCAGCCAACACTCAGTTTGCCTTGCTAAAGGAGGGCCCTGAGGCTGGATCTGGCAACGTCTCGCCCAACCAACTTTCTCCATCCCTGTATCGAACCTTCTCGTCGAGCATAAGGAGTCATCTCCCGACGCTGTCGGCAATCGATGAAGGTTCGGACGAGAGCGACGATGAACAGTCTATCCATGGCGCACCATCCAGCACCCCAAGTTTTCGCTCACCCAGCGACATATTCAGCTTGTTTATCGCCTTGCTAGGGCCTTCGATGAAATCCTTGGCCTTCACGTTGTCGGAAATCCTGAGCGAGCCGCCATTTGGAGAGGCGCCAAACTACGATATTACCATCAACGATCACTTCCGGCAGAGTCTCTTTGACGCGCTATCACTATTCAACGAAAACAGAGCGAAGGCACTTGAAGAATTATACAAGAACATAGAACATGGACGATTGAGGTCCGATAAAATCAAGGCTGACTTTGAGGAGGTGGCTGCGGCCTGTGGCCACTTTAGTTTCAGCCTTCAGAGCTTTGGCGAGGAAATGAGCAAATACTTGGATGTTTTGGACGATCTCAAATACGCGACAGGGCACAGGCGGCGGAGCTGGCAATTTCTGGCTTTGTGGAAGGAGTTCCACCAGCGGCAGACTCGCGCTCCTCTCCTTCCTTTCGAGGTAGAACGAGAAGCTGTTGTGAGGCCGATCAGGAGGTCGCAGCTGCCACGGGGTGTCCCTGACCAGATGATCCGACGCAGGGATACTTTCAGCTGGGAGGCAGAGCCTTCGGCCAGCGATATTGTCAAAATGTTGTCGCAGAAGATCCTGACCTTCTTGCGGTTCCTAGCTAGAGATGACAGTGAGTGCGCTCATGATGGGCTTCTGGATTACATACTGACGGAATACCTTCACAGTTCGATTTGGCATCAAAGTTGGCGTTGGCGCCATGCTTTGGGCTATGCTTGCCTTCATACCCGAAACCAAGACGATATACATGCACTGGAGAGGCGAATGGGGACTGCTGTCTTTCATGATCGTGTGCTCCATGACCGTCGGCGCTGCCAATACCACGGGCACCACCAGGATCCAGGCGACTGTATGCGGAGTGATATTCGCAGTCATTAACTGGACTATCAGCCGAGGCAATGGGGTGGCGCTTCTCTTTCTCGGCGCACTGGTTGCCTTCGGCAGCTTCTGGATCGTTATCGTCCAGAATAAGGTCTCCTTTGGTCGAACTGTCCTCCTCGCTTACAACGTCTCTCTTCTGTACGCCTACCTTATTGCGAATAAAGTCGATGACGATGATGACGATGAAGGAGGGGAGACACCTTATATTGGCGAGATCTGTCTGCACCGAGCACTTGCCGTCTCCGCAGGCATCCTCTGGGGGTTGATCGTTTGCAGGCTCGTCTGGCCCATTTCCGCGCGCAAAAAGTTCCGCGAGGGTATCTCGGTGCTCTACCTGCAGATGGGTCTCATCTGGAAGCGTGGACCACTGGCCATCCTCCTGCGCAGCGACTGCTCACGATCCTATCTCAAGTCGGGTGAACAAGCTGCGCTGCAGCGATATGCCTCCCGACTCGAGGTCTTCCGGCAGTCCGCCCTGTCTGAGTTTGAGCTGCGTGGGCCTTTTCCCCACGAGGCCACGGGACGGATCATGCGCAGCACGAACAGGCTGCTAGACGCGTTTTACGCTATGAGCCTGGTCACTCAACGCCGCGGTCAACTCTCGGATGGAGAGAAGGCGCTCCTGCTGTTCACAGCGAGGGAGCGTGCTGTGCTCTGCGAACGCATATGCCATGTCTTCCAGGTGTTGGCGAGCTGCTTGATGCTTGAGTATCCCCTTACGGACGCGATACCCAGCGTCATGGGAATCCGGGATGAACTTCTTGGCAAAATTTTCCTATTCCGCAAGGAGCACGCCGCAGCCATGAGGGAAAAGAAGGAACGAGAGGCAGCCGAGGCAGGAGAACCAATACAGCGAGACATTAACGGCACCGACGACAACGGCCACATCAATGGAAATGGCGACGGCCCAGGCTCGCCGAAGTCACCGGCTGGGGCCAGGCGCGGCAGCAGTAGCAGCAAACGGAGCTACAGCTTTGGCCATTCGGCACTTAGTGGGAGTCTGGCGGGCCAGGTGCAGCTTGAGGAAAAGGACTATGCGCTTCTATACGCGTACGCACTGGTCACAGGTCAGGTGGCCGAGGAGCTCAAGATTGTTAGAAAGGAGGTCGAGAGCTTGTTTGGCGTGCTGAACGAGGAGGTGCTGCTGTTGCAATAGAGTCGAGGGCACATCTGAACGTGCGCGATGGACGGACATCGTCGATTAGTAAGTAGCCATGACAGGCTTGATGATGACATATATGCTGGGAGTTTTGGAAACAAGGAAAACGGAACCAGTATTCTCATACACGGAACTTGCTGGATAGAGGCAGTGGTTATCCTGTTTGTTCGAGCATGGTGTTTCGGTCAGACTGGATGGTCTACAGTACATGTCATGGCCCAGAGAGAAAATGCGTAGGGAATTACTCATGATGAATTTGACTTCGTACCTACTTGTGCGCAATTGCCATCTCTTTCAAGAGTTACTCCAGATGCCGTCACATAGTCCGAGAAATCTGGACTGGGTGGGCGGCGTTACTGGAGCCCAGGACGATGTTACGCCACATGCATTCATTTCCAAGACGTGTGGATGGCATATGGCGACCAAGCCTTCGTACAAGGCAACTTGGCAAAGCTTGTCCATTTGATAGAAATGCGACCTGTCAACTCACGCCTCAGCACGTCGACTATTCCAAGATCTGCCCACCGTTCAAGCTTCGAGGCGATGAGCACATCTCCGCAGCCCCTACGGTGCGGGTCGAACTCGGCGCGAAGAATACCCTCCAGGCACACACAGCGCGGATACGTAATGCCAACGCATAGGCCGACTCCGCGTCCGCCGCGCTTGCAGTCCAATGTTACTTGTTTGTCATGGATTTGTCGCCCGACCTCCCTCTTCCTCATCCTGGGTACATCCCATGTGACCGCGGAGGGAAGCAACCACCCCCAACCTGGTCTGGCTTCGGCACCGGCGCGTTCGGCGCATGCGGGCGGCCCCGATGGGTCCGCTGACTCGCTCGCCACGCGTGGGATGCATCGGACTGGCGGGCTGCGACTCGGGCACAGGGGGAAGTTTCTTTGCTTTTTTTGTCGGTGGTATCAGTGACCGGCGCGCGTTGATTTGGCGACCGGCGACGTATCCCCAGCGGCTGTCTACCACAGGACACTTTGAGGTTGGGGGGTGTGGCAGAAGCTGGTCTAGAGTACCCAGGGTCTGCAATGGGCCTATGGCCTGTCTTGGCCGGCCGTAGCTCGCTCTCATAAACGGTTCAGCTGCCACAAGGCTGTATCACCAATGCAACCTCGCTGATCGAGGTGGGTTGGTCACGACGGACTTGGTCTTACTTGATCGTCTCAGCTCGCATAGTCATGGGTCGCACTCTTACAAAAACGTTCATTAGGCCGTATTCTATGCACCGGCGATCAAAATAGATTCCACATAATTGTGAAGTCTAATCTACAATGCCGCATGAGCATTAATTACACACAGTCATCAATGCCTGTCACCGCAAATGTAACTTGTCACGGCGCGGTGTATGACTAGCATTTACACGACATGCTTAGGCGAAAGTATATGCGGGTATAATGGCCCTTAGATAGTCATAGTCCCCCACGAGAAGCGCGGTTGCCTTCAACTGGCCACAGCACTTGCGGTCGCCAACCAAAGGGTGTAGGTAGCTATATAGTGATAGGTTGCAGGAGCGGTGTGTGGAGTGGTCCTCTCCATAGGTCTTTGTTTTGCTGACACCAGTCTACTCCTGCATACCAAGGTTCCATTACTCCTCTCCCGCACCTGCATCTCGACCGGTTTCTCCAAGACGGTGTGGGGTTCTCGCTGTGGTTTTTGGTTTATATAGCCCAGCATGGACACTCCTCTCCTCTCCGGCGGGCCGGGTCCTCAACCCAACTATCAGGCCGTCACCTCCACGATGGCCGCACAACGAGTGACGGAGGCCCCCGGCCAGCCGGAAGGGGACACCAAAGCGCCGTGCAAACTCGGGGACGCCCCAGACGCGACCCGGGCAGCCGACGATGACGGCACCCTCGCCGCCAACCCGTTCGCGGACCCTGCGGTCGCGGAGCACTACCGGGCGGTCTACGAGAAGGCGCAGTACGAATGCCGGCACGCCTTCGACCCGGAGCTGGAGTGGTCGAGGAAGGAGGAGAGGGGCCTTGTTAGGAGGCTGGACTGGCACGTCTGCACGTGGGCGTGCATCATGTGCTTCGCGTTACAGGTGGACCGCGATAACCTGGGTCAGGCTGTATCGGGCAATATGCTGGACCAGCTTGGCCTGTCCACCAACGAGTACAACTACGGCCGCACCATTTACTACATCTCATTCCTTCTTTCTGAGGTGCCGTCCCAGCTTGTATCGAAAAAGTTCGGCCCCGATAGGTGGATTCCGGTCCAAATGGTCCTGTGGTGCGTCGCCATTTGCGCATAAGATATTGCGGAATGGTATAGGTATCGCGGCTTACAAATTGTGCAGGTCGGCCATTACTTGTACTCAGGCTGGTTTGACGGGAAGAAATGGTTTTTATGCCACAAGGGCATTGCTGGGTATTTTTGAGGTACGGTTACTTCTGATATATTTGTGTGTGGGATGCCAACTAATTAATGTGAACAGGGCGGTTTCATCCCGTAAGTATTACTGACCTTCCTTATTGCATAGCCAATTGGGTCTTCTATTGGAATCATCTTGGAGGGCCTTCACCTCAGGCTTCGAGTCGATGTCTCAAGTTTTTTTTTTTTTTAACATGTTGCTAAGTGACCTTGTTCTCTGGCTCTCATACTTCTATACGAGCCGAGAACTACCGATGCGACTTGGCTTCTTTTGGACAGCAAACAGTCTCACCGGGATCGCTACTTCGCTGCTCGCGTTCGCTTTGCTCCATATGGACGGCATAAAAGGATTAGCAGGGTGGTAAGCACACTCTTTTCCTTTTACGGCTCCCCGTCTTTTATGTTGTGGAATGTCCCAGAATGCAATGCTTTAGGCTCCGTAGCAGGTGATTAACAGGTACTCAAGGAGGTGGTTGTTCTTGATTGAAGGCTTAGTCACTTTGAGCGTTGGCAGTAAGTGATCTTGCATCATCTTCGCACATGGGATTCTTCACGTCGAGATGTTTCTATATCTTGCACGAGATGCTACAGCAGTTCCCACACCCCCAATTGTACTACTGAAGAAACGCGGAGAATTCGCTGACGAAGTTCTAGTCGCGTCATTCTTCCTCATGCCAGCTTCAGCCGTCCAAACAAGGACTTGGTTTCGCCCGCACGGCTGGTTCACCGACCGAGAGGAGCGCATAGTGGTGAATAGGGTGCTCCGGGACGATCCATCGAAGGGCGATATGCACAACCGAATGCCGATTACGCCCAGACGGCTCTGGCAGGCAGTAACGGACTATGATTTATGGCCTGTACGTCCAGTCCTCTCGGTCGCCCCTCAACACACGAGCTGACTGGCATGTGTAGCTTTACGCGATGGCCACAGTTATATTCATTCCCACGAACCCGCCAGAGCATTACCTCACCCTGACGCTTCGTGAGCTTGGCTTTGATCCCGTGAGATTACCCTGCCGTCGTCATTTGCACGAGCCCATGGCTGACATTCTCTAGTTCATCACAAACCTGCTCGTAATTCCGAGCACGGCTATTGGAATCCTGACCCTGCTGGCAATAACCTGGGTGAGCGAGCACGTCGACGAGCGCGCCTTTGTTTCCATGGTCCAAGGCATCTGGAGCCTACCTTGCCTGCTGGCCCTTCGTTTCTGGCCGGGTACCATGGTCGACGCATGGGGCACCTACGCCCTCGTTACGGTGCTGCTCAGCTTCCCATATTGCCAGGCCATCGTCGTGGGCTGGACGAGCAAGAACTCTGGCTCGGTGCGCACCAGGGCTATTAGCGCGTCCGTCTTCAGCATGATGAAGCAGGTCGGGTCTATCTCCTCGTCCAATATTTATAGGGAGGACGACAAGCCATTGTATCATCGGGGAAATGGCGTTCTGATCGGCATCAATTTGCTGGCGATCGGGCTGTTCCTTTTTACCAAGTGCTATTACGTGCTGAGGAACAGGTGGAAGGCACGGCGCTGGGATTCTATGAGCGAGGCGGAGCGAAAGGAGTACTTGGACTTTACAAAGGACCAGGGGAACAAGAGGCTCGACTTTAAGTTTGCGCACTGAATGTGCTGGTAGATGTGCAAAGATTTATCACCAGATGTTAGTGAGATGTACGTGAGCATGGACAGGCGTTGGGGTTGAGCACAGATACACAGCCCTAAACTAGACTACTGCTAAGTTGGTTGTGCATGTTCACCATGTGCACTTTCAGACTCTGGGACATGGAAATCGGAAGGCTCGGAACTCATACGTAGCTCCATAATGTCATATTGTGAGAACAGAACGACCCTGCTGTTCGCTGGAGACAGCTTTTTGTCACACTTTGGACGGGGAACAGTCATCCAAGTGGATGGGCAGGTAGCTGTTGACTAGGCGACGGCGGGAAAACCACATCTACCTTGTGTCCTGAGCACAGTATGTGTACTAAATGTTTGAATCAAGCGGCTTGCGATACATGGTATGTCGGTCGGTGTTGCTGGCTCGCTACCTCGCTCTCAAGAAGAACCGGCAGTCGGCCCCTTCAACAGCCCGACGGAAGGCATTTCTCAGCCGTAGCCGTCCCACCGGCTAGCTCTATCATTCTTTGAAGTTCTCCCGAGGTCGTTTGATCTCGGATACACTGGGTTCGCAGTCACGTTCTGTCGACACGAGACGAGTTGCATGGATAGGGTCTTCTGGCTGGACCCTCAAATCGCCAACCTCGGCCTCAGCGGTGCCCGCGGGCGAGGAGCTGTTCTCACCGTTGACGGTCATTGCGCCCGTTCGTTTGGCTGACGAGATGGAATAACCCGCTGTATTGTCATGCCTGGTTCGGTAAGGCCGGATGAGGCGTCCCAAGGCGCAGAGAGGCGTAGGAAGGTTGAGGCTGCGTGCATGCATGCAGGCTGCAGCCATAAGAGCCGCACAGCCGGGGATTACTTATGACGTGCGTGGGGTGGATGAAAGTGGTGGGTGGGGTGTGGGACGGGACAGAGAGTTCGACTCGACCCACGAACCAACACGGACAGGCAGATGTACGGGAGGATTAGTGAGCCTTCCGGGCAGGCTTCCAAAGCTGAGGTCAGATAGGGCATGAGCATTCTTGTGCAAGAAATGAACCAGATGTGTTGGACAAGGTCTAGTGAGGTAACCGAGATGGATGGATGGGACAGTCAGAGTGCAAGAATGAGGATTGGCAGTGAGCTGTGAGGGGCGTGTAAATAAGCCCTACCCGAATGGCTGGCCTACTGGCTGGCCTCCTTGCTGGGCTGGTGCGTTAGCTCCAGGAGGGCTGGGACTCTGCGAGCTGTCAGATCGAAAACGGCAGATTCTAGCGAGCGGTGCAATCCGTTGCAATCTGACCACGGGGCTGCAGTGGTGTACCGCGACGCTGGGCAGAGGACAGAAAAGGGAAAGGCTGCCTAGCTAAAAGAATAAGGGGGGGGGGGGGGGGGCGCGGGAGCTAAGCAACGATGCCACCCGCGCGGGTTTTAAACGGTTACGTGGTCCGCCGTCAACAAACAGCCCCAACAGGCATCCCTTCCCTGCTTGCAACCAACCAACCAACCCCCAATATTAACTTGGCTACGTAGGCACTCAGGAGGTGACATACAAAGCCTGGCCTGCGCGGACTGCACTACGTCGTCAGCCTGCGACCGACAGGGCCACTTATTAACTCTTCTCTCGTTTCATCTCGCCTGCTACTTGTCTGCGCCAGCATCCGCGTCCCGGATCGTCGTCACCTCTTGCAAAACCTCGACTTGCTGTCCCGCTTACCGAACATCCCGACCACCAAAAAAGGGGGGCCACCACTCGAGCTGGGCCGCCCACCATATCGCCTCTGCATCCTCCAGCCGTGGCTTGTGTAACTCGTCCCATGGAGCGCGGCCGCATCTGAGCACACCTCAATTGCCTTTTCCCCGACCAAGACCACCACCAGCAAATATGGCCGGTATCGAGCAGCTCGAGATTCACTCCAAGGTGGGTAATGCGTCTGAAGAAACGCGGGTTCTTCCAGGTGCTGCCTCGCGGCTCCGAGAACACGAGGCTGACGCTTGAGTGCCTGCCATAGTCGTACATTGTCCGATGGGTCAAAGTAGACGAGGGCCACACAATTTCATGGAGTGTCCAACCGCACAAAAAGTCCATGTGAGTCTGCCCTGGGTTCCGGTTCTTGCTTGTGCTCCTGGCTCAACAACACAATACTGATTAATCCCTTTTGAACTGCAGCAACTTCGGGATCGTCAAGCATCCCGGCAGCGGCACCACCGACCTTACCGTCAACCAGTCCGAAGAAGCGACCGACGCCCTAGATGGCACATCCGAGAGCGGCAAGAAAGGCGTCTTCGCAAAGAAGGACTCGAGCAACGCCCAGGAACAGTTGATAAAGAAGGGGTTCAAGGTCGTCCACTGGCATGGGAAATGCGAGGCCGACAAGGTATCCACGGGCACCTGGGACGTGTACCACGATCACGGTGGCATGTATGGCCTCATTTTCGACAATACCTTCTCGAAACAAACCTCCAAGACCGCCACATTTGTGCTTCTGACGTACCCCACCGGTGCCCCTCCGCAGACTGCGCGTAACTTGCCCAACCTGCAGGCTGGTAACAGTGCGAGCGCCAGCAGGACGAGCCTGGGAAACAAGGGGGGCCCAAGTCCGAGCCTGAGGCCTAGCGCGGGCGAGTCGGTGGACAGTCTTCATAGCCAGAAGACAAGGGGCCGGGCCACCTCCAACGCGCGAAGCGAGGCCGGCATGTCGATGACCTCTGGAAATTATCACACCGGTGCTCTACTGAAGAGGAGGCGCAAGAAGGGCCAGGGCTACGCGAGAAGATTCTTTTCCCTCGACTATGCGACCTGCACGCTTTCCTACTACCACACTCGGAACTCTTCAGCGCTCAGAGGAGCCATTCCACTTAGCCTGGCAGCTATTGCCGCAGATGAGACGAGGCGGGAGATTAGCATTGACTCTGGCGCAGAAATCTGGCATCTCAGGGCCTCCAATGATCGGGACTTCACAGAATGGGCGAAAGCACTGGAAAAGTCGAGCCGGATCGCCCGGGGCTTAGATCCATCGTTCCTGGAGCCTGAGCCGGTTAAGAGACAGGTAACACGACGCTCCCTGCTCGCCGCCCCGAACAACCAGGAGGAGGAAGACCGTGAATGGCAGCAGGTAGAGGCCTTGGTCAGTCGTGTCGTTGGGTCACGCGATGCGCTCCGACGGCTCGTTAAGGATATGGCTGCTCAGAAGCACACACACGGCCCTCGGCCACCGTCGTCCCATCTCTCTCCTGGGACCCCGACTGTAGCGGAAGAGGGTGACTACTTTACGCCTATGCCAGAGAGGAAGCCATTCTGGAAGAGGAAATCTAGTGCCTCGATAACGCCGGGCATGCAACCTTCTGTTTCTTCAGCCTTGGCGGTACCGAGCCCGAACAGTGCCGCAACGGCGGTCGCTCCTAACGGGACGGCCAAAGAAGAGAAGAGGCGGTCGAAACCTTCTATCCAGGATGAGAGTACAACGGCAGAGCACTGCAACGCCCTACTCGGAGATCTCGATGCCGTCGTGGCAGAGTTCTCTAACTTGCTGTCCAACAGCAAGCGACGCCGGTTGCCGCCAGTGCAATCTGCCGCATCTCGTGTCAGCATGGAGTCTACCACGTCGGATGAGTTCTTCGACGCTGAAGAGGCTGGAGATCGGTCGCAACTTCTCGTCATTGATCACCAGAGTGAGGAGGAGACGCCAGCCTCAGAAGTGGACGAGGCCGAGGTACATGATGCGTCGTCTGTTTCTAGCGTTGATGGAGACGAGGACGTCGGCGCGGGTCGGTCAGAAAATCAGGATGACTGCTTCCCCGGCAAGCCGAAGTCGCTCACACCTCTACCTATAACGGATCAGGTTACGCGGCGCAAGACTATCCCTCCGGCCAAGGTCTTGCCGCCCAGTCTGATAGCTTTTGTGCGCAAGAACGTCGGCAAGGACCTTTCAACAATCAGCATGCCGGTCTCCGCCAACGAGCCCACATCGCTTCTCCAGCGTGTTGCCGAGCAATTAGAATACGCGAATCTGCTCGACCAGGCAACAAAACAGATTCAGCCCAACGAGCGCCTTCTCTACGTCACTGCCTTTGCCGTGTCTCAATTCAGCGGCAGTCGCGGCAAGGAGCGTGCCATTCGCAAACCTTTCAACCCCTTGCTGGGTGAAACCTTTGAGCTCGTCCGTGGCGAGAACGAAGTGCCCGGTGGGCTAAGACTGGTTGTCGAAAAGGTTACGCACCGTCCCGTCCGCCTGGCGATGCAGGCCGACTCGGCGCTCTGGTCCTTCGCACAGAGCCCTGCACCCACCCAGAAGTTCTGGGGCAAGTCTGCAGAGATCACCACCGAGGGCCGCGTGCGCGTCGTGCTGAGGTTGCCGGACGGCACCGAGGAGCGGTACAGCTGGAACATCGCCACGGTGTTCCTCAGGAACGTCGTCATGGGCGAGAAGTACGTGGAGCCTGTCGGAAATGACATGCACGTCATTAACGAAGGCACCGGTGCCAAGGCCGTCGTTGAGTTCCGCTCAAAAGGCATGTTTGGCGGGCGAAGCGAGGACGTACAAGTCGAGACATATGACGCTGCCGGTACACATACCGGCCTGTCACTGGCGGGTACGTGGACGAACTCCCTGAGGAGGGTGGAAGCGGGCAAGGCTGCCGGTGGAGAGATCTGGCGAGTCGGGAGCCTGGTGAACAACTCAGCCAACACCTACGGCATGACGACCTTCGCCGCGAGCCTGAACGAGATCACGCCGCTCGAGAAGGGCAAGCTGCCGCCAACGGACACGAGGCTCAGGCCGGACCAGCGGCTCGCCGAGGAGGGCAAGCTGGACGACGCGGAATTGTGGAAGGTCAAGCTCGAGGAGGGCCAGAGGTCCCGCAGGAAGGTGCTGGAGGACAAGGGCGTCGAGCACAAGCCCAAGTGGTTCACCAAGGTCGCGACCGTCGGGGATGGCGAGGAGGTCTGGAGGCTCAAGGGTGGCAAGGACGGGTACTGGGAGGAGAGGGCCAAGGGGCAGTGGGCAGGCGTGGAAAATATCTTTGACGTGTGAGTCCTCAGCCGTGAGCTGTGGGCAAAGCGCAAATGTATATCTCTGCATTGTCATTTCTCTAGCGATCGATCCATTAGGACTCTTCAAGCGCAAGCATGGCTGATCAAGATGTTTTGTATGCTTGTCAGCGTAGAAGGCATTTTCGTCTATACAGTACCTCGGAATCTCCCACCTCATGAACTCGTTATGCACGGTTCATCACGTTCCTACCCCGTACAAGCTCGGTGGTGTCACCAGTATGTACCGATTCATCTGGGCACGTTTTTATGAGTCTAAACAGCTGTTGAGACAGAGAAGGCTTGAAGGCCGCCTGTTTCGTCGGCTTTGTTTGAATGAACGTCAAATTTATGCAGTGGACTATGGCTTGTTGCTGGGCGCCCCACTCTGTGGCCCCTTCAGGACACCCTCACAGTTTGCGTCGAACCTCAGATTCCAAAGCCGAACCTGTTGCATGAAACGCTCCGTCTTCTCAAGTTCCCGCTCTCTTCCAAAGATCGTCTCAACGAACTCTATACCGCTGTTGCGGCCCAGCTGTTCCTTCTTTTTTGATGCCTTAAGCATCGGCTGCTCGCAAGTCTTGAGCAGCTTACGGAACTTGTCAATCATACGCTCGCCGGACTCGATAAAGTCCTCGACCATCTCTCGGTCCTCAAGAGACTGAATCCGAGGGGCCATCTCCGTGCTGCGCTTGACCTTGCCGGCCAACTGGATAAGCAGAAGCCAAAGTTCACCAGCCATTTCTGAGATCGGCGACGTGGGCTTATGCGTGTAGACAGTCCAGTCATAGATCCACTTCCCCAAGGAATTGGCATCGAAGACAGATCCAAGGAGTAGAATTGGATCCTCATTAGGATCCCAGTTTCTTAATGAGTAGCCCGGGGGGATGCGGTATTTCTTGGCATCGACCTCTGTCGTCTTCCTTGTAGACAGCACGGGTGATTTACGTTGTGCCGTGGACGGTTTCGGGGTCTGGGGCCGGCGAGGCTCGTCGGCGTAGTAGCGCGGAATCTCGTGACGTTGAAATCTGACAGTGGAGCGGCGGGATCTATCACCGAGTTGACCCCTCTTGTCAAAATGCTGTTTCGATTTCGATTTCGCCGGAATCACGTAAGCGATCCCGTTGACCTCGACACATTCGTCCTCGTCTTCACCGTCGTCCGAACTTCGAGAGTAGGTATAATAGCCTTGGCCACCACGCTCCGAATTCGACTTCCCCGGGTCCGGAGAGGTGGTTTTGTTGCCCTCGACATGCTTGTCATGGTCGTTCTCGTCAGTAGAGAGTCCGCGTGTGGGTGACACAGTAGGCGAGTAGCGTCCAGTAGTATCGTATCGTGGGTCTTCATCGTCCTCGTCGGATCCAGGTTCCTCAGTTTGCCTCGGGCTGGTGTCTCTGGGATCACCAAGTGTAACTCCATTGTCAACACTGGGGCTGAACCCTGAGAGTCCACCGACAGTCTTCTCAGGCCACTTCCAACCGTTTTCCGGGGTAGAGCAGAACAACTTCTTGCTGTCCTGGTCCTGAGACCCAGGCACTGAGGGAGACTTCTGCGCATAGGCCGCAAAACTCATGCCATTTATGTCAGTCGCCCAGAAGTCAGCAAATGATTTCTTAGACACTTTCATTCGTTTCCGGCGGGACACCAAGGCAATACGGCTGAGGCCCCTGTAGTCACCTTCATCAGACTCAGACTCGGCTTCATCAACGGCTTTCCGTTTTTTATCACCCTGGCGCTTAGAACGCTTCGGCCGATGGCACTGATTGCATGTACCCTCCTTCTCACTTTCCGAATCGTGATCTCGTTGACGTTTCTTCTGCAGATTTTCAGGGGGTGCAGGACCGAAGGACGGCTTTCCAAATTGTGGAGGTTGCCGCGGTTGAGGTGGCATTGGTGCGGCCATCAGATCGTCTTCATCCTCTTCAAGATTGATAATCCTTCTGTAGAACATCTTGCAATTTTGGCTGTACTTGGTTAGAAATGGGCGTTCGGGGCTGACAAGCTTTCATGAGGACACAAAGACAACAGAAACATACCACTCCACCTGTACGTCCATTCCGCTTGTCGACTGTCTGCCGCAGAACGGGCAAGTGGTAGACTTATCAACATCTATCTCCGTCGCTGGTGCCTTACACAGGATACTCATATCTATCCGCTGGTGGGGTCGGAACGCGTTTGCCCACGTTGTAGTTCGGTCGACCTCCATGGAGGTTGCGCGCTCACTGAGCATATATCGCCTGCGCCCAACGCGGTGAGCGCCTGTCCTGCCCTTGAAATTCTCCTGTAGAATGTATTCGAACATGTCCCACGATATTACTGTCTTCAGTGGGATGGGAAGTGGCCGGCCGGTTGCGTCCTCGAGAATAAAGTGCTCATCACGGAGAGGCCACTCGATTTTCATGATCATGGAACGGAGTTCAGCCATTCCAGTTGAGATGCTAAATACCAAGGACAGGACCTGCGTGGTAGACTTGTGGATGTCTGTGGCTAAATGCGAGAGGAAATTCAATCTCGTGAAGACCTTCTTTCCGAAGTTGACCAAGAATCTAGAATTTCGATTGGATTCATTTCGAAGCTCCTGGTTTTGACACGCGATAGTAGAGATTTGTTTCGCGGTGTCATCGTTGTTGCGTTCGATAGTGTGCCTTCAATGTGATCAAGTGACTGAGGTTAGCGACACACTATGTCCCGAGAAGAGACGTGAAACGATGCTCTCACATTGTGGAGACCTCCATCAAAGTTGTTAGCAACAGATTGTATCCTATAATCTCTCGCTGGAAGTTCTCAATGTCCTTCTCGTCAAATTTGAACTGGATCTTCCTCGCCACATCTTTGAAAGGGTTGCCAGAGCCACCATGAGAGAGGCTTGTCGCAAACTTTTGTAGCTTTTGGCTGTTGAAGGCAGCGAGGCATTGGTGAATTCGGGAAACGATGCGTATTGCTGTCGTGGAAGTGTCATCAGATACAACAAGTTTCGGGTTGTGATAGGCCTTTTCAACGTGACAGATTGTCTGTCCTAGGACCTCCAGTCCTTGCCTTAATTCTTGATATTTACGTGAAGATCCGCGGCAGTCGTCCAGGGCCACGATTGTATCTTTGATCAGAATTGCAACCGAGAGAAAGTCACCAAAAGACCCGAAGCTGGGGGCGAACGCCATAGCTGCAGCCCGGGTCGACGATGAGTTTCAGGGAAGTGCTTCTGGGTTGAAGTCAATCCGGACCATGTGAGGGGACCTCCTGGATTTTAAGGGCTGACATGCACTTATTCCACAGTGGCTGTGCAGGATTCTACTGCATACGTGGTGGGCATGAACCTGTGCCTGCTACTGGTCTACCGGCAGATACCTACATGTAAGCCTGTCTGTGTACTGGCCAGGTGTGAAGTGAGAGGCTTGGATTCTTCAGCCATGATTAGCTGATGCAGTGGAAACTACAGTAGTGCCTGGCACATTGGCCTGTGCGCCTATCGCCTATCGCCCTTATCCGTGTACCTTGCACCTGCGGTAGTCTACAGATGGCCTCATTGCTTGTGAAGCTGCCAGCTTGGAAGCTCCCAATTCCCACCGTCACCGTTATACTCCCATTTCTCCACACTCATTCCTTTCCTGTTCCCTCATTTTCGGAAGCAATTGTTGCGAGGGACATTTGATCACGAGCGAAGAACCCCCAAAACAGATCAGAACATCACCGGCAAGATGGATCCCTACTCCTCGGAAGGTGAATTAATCAACATCCACGCCGCATTCCACCAGTACCAATACCAATCCGTGCTCGACGACTTCGACCCGTCCTCCTTCTCGGCCGAGAACCACCTGCCGGCGCGAGTCCTCCAGCTGCGCGCCCGGATCGCGCTCGGCCAGGGCAAGGAGGTGCTCAGCGAGGTCGCCGGCGCCAAGGAGCCCGAGCTGGTCGCGGTCGGGGCGCTGGCGGAGCTGAGCCTGGGCAAGGAGGACGCCGCGGCCGCATCGATCGAGAAGCTCCTGGCCGACGGTGGGGACGCCGTTGCCGAGAATGCCATCGTGCAGGTCCTGGGGGGCACCGTGCTCGCGAGCGCGGGCAAGGCGGACGAGGCGCTGCAGCTGTTGGGGCGGCATCAGGGCAACCGTGAGTTCTCTTGCCAGCAGTAATTGGTGGCGGTCATCACGGAACTAACGCTGGTATAATATCACAGTCGACGCAGTCGCCCTGATCGTACAGATCCACCTGCAACAGAACCGCAACGACCTGGCGCTGAAGGAGGTCACTGCCGCAAGGCGGTGGGCGCAAGACAGCATCCTGGTGAATTTGGCAGAGTCCTGGGTCGGACTGAGACTGGTACGAACTTCCATTTCTACAACGAAACCACGGGTGTGCAGAAGAACTGATTTATATCCTACTTCGTTTCCAGGGCGGTGAGAAGTACCAACAAGCATTCTACGTCTTCGAAGAACTCGCGCAAGCACCATCCACCTCCTCCGTACAAACACTCGTCGCACAGGCCGTCGCAGAGCTGCACTTGGGCAGGACAGAAGAGGCGCAGTCCGCGCTGGATCAGGCGCTGAAGAAGGAGCCGGGCAACACGGAGGCCATCGCCAACACGCTGGTGCTGCAGGTGATCATTGGCAAGGACACCGAGGAGCTGACGGCGTCCCTGAAGAAGGCGGCGCCCGAGCACGCGCTCCTGAAAGACCTCGAGGAGAAGAGCAGCCTCTTCGACGCCGCGGCGGCGAAGTTCAGCGCAAAGGTCTCGGCGTAAAGGGGCAGCTACACAGGAACATATGAGCGAGACAGAGGTCACTTTAATTGCTTATCGGCAGCCAAAAAGGAAATGATAGACTCCATGAAACACATCCATACCCAAACCAGGAGTACGGTTAGGGCAGCGTTGTCCCCTTTCGCTTACTATGGCTGTGGAAACTCGGAATAGTGTTCATTATGTCCAGTGTATCACCGCGCAAGCAAGAATGGGTCTTCGGTACTGAGCACTCCGGATTTGCTGACTTTGGATCCTACCCAGCCTAGGAGGTGCCGGGGGCCCAGCTGTGCCCCCTGAACTAAACGATCATGTAGTGAGGATTGGCCGTCTCCGCCCAGTTGGTCACAGAGACGGCCGTCGGAGACTTGATAGTCTGTGGGCGCGTGGGCCGTGGGGAGACCTAAAAAATCCTGGGGGTCTGAGTGGTTCAGCCTTGTTTGTATGTACGGACTTTGCGTAGCATCCGAAGCTTCCGAACCGCCCACTGTTGATGGGAATAGATATGTAAGCAGCAGCTGTTCGGAAGGGCGAGACCGTTTTCTCGTTAATTTGCTCCTTACTTCTCACTTTCTGGACAATTCGACCTTTATTTCATCATTCTTCACCTTTTCCTGCGGACTCGCGGAATACTGTCTTGCCCGGGTGTTCATGTTCCCATCCCTGGTAGTGACCATTTTTGAGGTCCACGCTATGGGCGGTCAGATCAAGGGCGTGGTCGCCCCTGCCTACCTGGTGTACTGCGTTAGATAACAGGCGACCCCCTCACCCCTCTCACACCCACAATTCAATCACTCCCGTGAACTGTGAGTCTCGTTTCCCAGCTGGTGGCCAACGTTCTCACCTCTCCACTTCGCGCATAGCATGCATGGTTCTACGACTGGGAGCCTAGAGCAGGTCAAAGTCTTGCCTGCCTGTTTTCTTTACCTCAGACGTGATGTTGGCGGACTAGTTGGAAGCTCGCACGATGGTCTCTAGGAACCACTCAGCTGAAGACGGCCACAGCGATGAATCGGCTCATTACAAGTGTACGGGCGTGTTTCTTCGTCAGCGCAGCTCGACGCCGACGTCCCCTGATCGCAGGCACTCAAGGTAACTGGCACTGCGGCCTCGGTGTCACCCGAAGCACGCGGCGGTGGTCGATGGCCCGGAATGAATGTGACCCAAGTGGGTTCGCGTGCCGAATTTCTCAGTCACCAGACGACAGGACCAATACCGACTTCGACATCGATCGATATCAACACTGAAGAAATTGACAGTGTTGTCGGTCTAAGTCGACGGGATTTCCGCAGTCTTTGGCCAGGATCGAGCCGCCGCACGCATCGTGTGCAAAATCAAGACGCCACAAACCCGACCGCACAGCTCGTTAGCACCGCAGCAACTTCTCATCGCCTTCCTCTTCAGATGGCCCGGTATTGGGACTTGTCGAATTGGAGGATGGGCGAGGGCCAAGGCGGAGCGAATCTCGAGGAAAAGCCCAGCGCCAAACCGGGAATCGACAACATGAAGGCCGAAATCACATTGTAGGGAGATGAGCCCAGCCACTTTGTCGTGGAGGACATTACGAATCTGTGCCGAGGGTACACTCGGCTCGAGAGCGAACGAGGCCAAGCGTTGGTTTGCTTCAAAACCTGAACGACAATCTTTCCCGACGCAGTTGGAACCGAGCGATGGCGTGGGGTGCAAGGTCATTCGTCTCCTGGTTGACGGGGGGCAAGCCGTTGCAAAAGAAATAACTCACCGGTGACATCGTGCGGCTTGGAGTACTAGTGGAGGCGAGGCCATTCTATATCCCCAGAGGATGGAAATGAGGACGTGCAGGTGACAACCATCAGAAGGCTCCAAAGCGGCAGCGCGCACAGGGCCATCCTCGCGACCTCAGCTGCACAGCTCAAGGATCTGGTGCAACCCTGCCCTACCCACCGGCAAGACGGTCCTCCCTGAGAAACATTCGATAGCCGTCTCATTTGGAGTTATTCTGTGGCGTACGAAGACACCGCCCTGTACTGACTAGCATCGCGGGTGGGACGGCACAACAATCAAACAAACAATTTATCAATCAGTCCGTTCTACAGGACGCGTTGGACCCGATTCTCGCTCGGGGATGGCCGCAGGGGAACAAATGAGGAAAAGAAGTCGAATGTTCACCGCATCCACCAGCACAGCCCTTCTCCAAGCTAACGAGAAATGGGGGTTTCTGTGCGGGACTGGACCGGGGGGCGCAAGAGTTCACCAAAGAGATGGTCCCGGAGGAGCGGAGGCGCGTCGTGCTAGTTGCTAGGGGAGTTCGCCGAGACTTTGACCAAGCCAAGAGGCGCTGCAGCCCGTCGAATTTCACACCCTCCTGAACCTCCACATGACGGCGATTCGATGAGTTGGATAGGCTGGACACTTGTCCCGTGGCCCACGCGTCGCCCGGAGCGTGGACGACCCAGAATGACCCACGGGGAACAGATGAGGAAGCCAATTGGATGCGCCCGCCGGGCTTGCACAAGACTGCGACGAGGCACAGGTTTCTGGTATCACGGTCAAATGGTACTAGAAACCTGGGAGGGAGCTCTTCCTCAGGCTCAAGTGGCGACAAAGAGAGAATGCGAGTACAGTACTTCCAAACAGGGGCGAGGGAGGACCTGGCAGAGGCTAGGGCCGCGGGACGGAAACTTGATGGGATGGGATGGGGACAAGGAAGCGGCAGATCCAGCGGTATGCCTGTGGCAGGACATGACTGATGGGAGGCAAATTGTATGGGATTGTTTCGGCAGGCCTATACGTGATGGAATAGAAGAGGTGAGTGGAAAGGTGAGAGAGATTGCTGTTGTATCTCAAACCGTTTCAAGATTGAGGCTTTGACTTGTTACGCACACATATGACGGCATACGCAGGTACGGGATGGTACCAGACAGGCGGTGCGGAATATTGTACCGGTCTATCAATATCTTTTTCTCCCCTTCTTTTGCCTCCCGCTTCTCCCGCCCCCACCTCCCTGTCTGCCGCCAGCCGCTTCTTTCTCTCTCGCCGGCTCTCTCTTATCTGATTTTTACTTTCAGCTTGTCAGTGACACCAACCAACTATGGTTTCCCAATGCAGGCTCGTGCTTGGCTGGGCCAGCCATGCCAGGCCAGTTGACGCGGCGTTTTGGGGGAGGGGCGACTTGGGGGGGGCGCTCAAAGTGGGGCTGAGGCGCAGCTTTCTCTCGCTTCAAGAAGCTTGGAAGCTTGGACGTCAAGTTGCAATTCGTGCAATCCGAGGACAGCTCTTGCCAAGCGGGATTCAGCGAAATGACTCTCGGGCCCTAGGGCCGGAGGGGGGCGACGATTGGGAAAAGCGGGCACTGGAGCACATGGGAGGAGCAGTCTGGAGCAATTTGGTTGGGATCATCTGGGATCGCCTGGGATCAGTGAGGGACATCAGGATTCAGGGTCCTGGGGCCACCTTGGCGATCCCCGTCGCCTGCCCTTGTGTTTTGTGGTTCTGGCTCTGGTTCTATCCGTCTTCTGTCCTCCGAGGTTCCTTCTTCTTTTTTGACAGAAACGGCCGGCGGCCACAAGGCGGGCGGGCTAGCCCCAGCGCCAGCCCCGGCTGCACAGCTCCAGCTGCTGGGGATACCGTATGTCCCCGGACGGACAGCACACATGCACATGCACACAAACACACACACACACACACACACACACACACTCACACTCTGGCTGTCTCGATCAAATTCCGCGTTGCAGACATCCAGCCCAGTGCAGCCAGTCTGCCAATCTTACAGTCTGTCGGTTTGCCATCCCAGCGCAGCTGCGGCATCCACTCTGGCCACTCTGCTACTCGCCTGCCCTGCCAGGTTCCAAGGTTCCAGCTGCCAGGTTGGGGCCCCTTATTGTCGTCCCCAGTTTTCTTCTCATTCCTGCAGGGTTGCTCGATACGGTAGGTACGAACCCGTCCGCCGCGGCAGTGGTCCCTCCCTCCAGTATCCGTATAGGATACGTGCGGTACGGCGCTGGGCTGCACACACGCACACGCACATGTGCAGCTACCCCTACAAGTAGCTTTTCTGCTCTGGACCCAAACGAGCCAGAATGACAAGGGGATAGGAAGGGGGACGGAGCAGGAGCACAGGACAGGACAGCCACGGCAGGATGGCAGAATGGCAGTGCCTCGAGTATACCTACCTGCTCCTGTTCCGTCTCCGTCCCCGTATGTACCTCCCTATATATCGCCACTGCCCAGCTTGTGCAAGTGGATGAGCTCTTTCTGGTCCTCGAAGTGTTTGCTCTTCTTCATTCTAGTCGCTGTTTGCTCTTTGTTTGCAGGTAAGGGAAACAGGCCATGTATTAAGTCACTTGTCCACCCTTTGTGCACGGCTGTCTCTCTCTCTCCCCGTCGTACCTGACTTCCCACCGACCAGATACCCTACCTACCTATCTTCACCTACCTACCTTCCTTTCCTCACCGTCAAGAGCTTCCAAGGTCTGCCCCCTACACCTTGGACCTAAGCTCCTCCCCAGCTTCCTCGACTAGGGAACAGAAGCCGCCTCAACCCGCCCACCTCAGTCAAGCTCTCCTACCATGAACGACCGCAACCGTCTCGTCCCGGCGAGCGAGGTCAAGGAGCTGATTGACGATGGCAAGCTCATTGTCATCCACGAGGGCTACGCACTGAAGCTGGACAGCTGGATAAATAAGCACCCTGGTGGCCGGTTGGCCATCCTCCACATGGTCGGTCGAGATGCGTCGGATGAAATCAACGTGTAAGTTTTGCAGCTATGCTACTCTTGGCAATCAAGCCTTCACATGTTCCCCCGCGCCCCTCAGTTCTCCAACGGCAGCCAATGCGTTTACCCCCCCCCCTCCGTCCACTTCTTGCGCCCGGGAGGTCAATAGCATTATACGCACAAGGTTGAGGTTCATGATCCAATCTTCTCGACTCCTTGTCGTGAGCGCACCATTGGCTGCGTTGCTTTTCCATCGTGCCACTCTATGTTTGGTTTCGGCCCCAATGCAGGCTTGCATGCGCATGCGTGCAGGTCGCATTGCTTGCTTGCTTGCTTGCTTGCTTGCTTGCCCAGTTCCCAATGCTGATCAATCGGCGATAATGCAGGTACCATTTCGCAAAAACCCTGGCCATTATGAAGGCCTACCGCATTGGTCGTATTCAAGAACCCTGGACCAACCTTGAGCCTCCAATCCGCGCCGGCACGTCGGTCTTCAAGAGCCCTGTGCCAGAGATATACACAGACGACTCCGCCGTAGACGACAGCCCCGCATCCGCTTATGACCTCGCTACCGCTACTGATGATGACAATGACGACGACGGCAACTCCATCTTTAGCCACTCGTCCAAGCGCGATCCGCTTAGTTCCAGCAACTCGAGTGTCGGTGCATCCGACTCGGACACCAAGCCGACCACGAAGGAAGATGGCGAGTGCAGACGCAGGAACGTCAACGCAAAGGCCACAGCTGCTGAAAAGACCGCAGAGCTTCTGCCCGGCAAGGGTCTGTCGCGCGAGGCCTACACGGCTGCCCTGGAGCAAAAGGAAATCGCAGATGGCATCCGTGACTATCCCTCTCTGGATGCCGAGACGCAGCAGAAGATCCGAGAACAGTACCGTGCCCTTCACAAGGAAATCCAGGACCGAGGCCTGTATCAATGCCCCTACTCAGAGTACGGCAGGGAACTGATTCGGTACTCGGCGCTGTTCGGCATGTTCCTGTACCTGCTTCACATCGAGTGGTACATGTCTTCTGCCACCTTCCTCGGCCTCTTCTGGCAGCAGATCATGTTCACCGCTCACGACGCCGGCCATCGTGGGATCACCGGAAACTTCGTCGTTGACACTGTCATTGGCGCATTCATTGGCGACTTCTGCTGCGGTCTTTCCATTGGCTGGTGGAAGAGTTCGCATAACGTCCATCACCTGGTCACCAACATGCCGGAGCACGACCCTGATATTCAGAATATCCCTCTTTTCTCCAACACGCCGACATACTTCAAATCTATCCGCAGCACATTCTACGACTACACTTTCGTCTGGGACAAGGCCGCCGACATCATGGTACCTTATCAGAAGTATGTGTACTACCCTATCATGGGAGTGGCACGCTTCAACCTCTATATTCTGTCGTGGCTGCACCTCCTCTCTCCCCGCGCCACACAGCTTGGTTCGGCCTGGTGGACTAGGTGGCTTGAGGTCGTCTTCATGGCATGCTACTGGGCACTTTTCGGCTATGTGCTGGTCTGGCGCTCGTTGCCCGACTGGCAGACGCGTATCTACTTCGTTCTCATGTCACACGCGATGACCATGTTGCTTCACGTACAGATCACCCTATCGCACTGGGGCACGCCAACCTCCGACCTGGGTCCGACCGAGTCGTTCGCACAGCGCCAGATCCGTACTACCATGGACGTCGACTGCCCGGAGTGGCTTGACTGGCTGCACGGAGGTCTGCAGTTCCAGGCCGTACACCACCTGTTCCCCAGAGTCCCACGCCACAACCTACGCAAGTGTCAGACACTCGTGCGTGAATTCTGTGCAGAGACCGGCATTAGGTACCAGTGCAAGGGCTTCGTAGAGGGCAACAAGGTCGTGCTGAGCCGTTTGCAAGAGATTTCAAAGATGGTGGACATATTGGTGCAATGTCAGCTGCATATGGCGGAGACTGGCGAGAGCGGGCTGCACTGATGCATAATCTCGGGCGTTTGGTTGTTAGAGCGCGTTATTCTAGAGAGCATATGCTCTACTTTGTCCCCTGTTGTCGGGGGTTGTTGGAATTCACCCGCATTGGCAACATAAATGTGGTAGACTGGGACTGGTAGAGAGACTAGAGCCCTGGCGAGACCCGGAAAATAGAAAGCCAGACTTGCGTGGAGCTATATTCTTCATCTCGCCGTGTCTTTCACCGCTAACCTGAATAGGTCTTACACAAATTGCGTGCATTCATTGCGAAGACGCTTGAAACGTGAGTATGTCAGCTCTTGGTACCTCCCTCGGTTCATCTCTGGAGATCGTTGGTGATACATGCAGCAGAAGTGTGAGCCGGTCCCGAGTTCGAGCTAACCATCACAAAGGCTGATACCCATAGTTGAACTGACAGAGCTTACTCAAATATTGAGGTGTCTTTCACGACAACCTCGGCTTCCTGACAGCGAGTAGGAAGCTGAAGACATCCAAAGAGGGCACGGACACAAAACCAAAGATGGCAAGACCCCTACTCCGATTGAGTTGGACCCTTGGACCCCTAAAAAAAAAACCAAAAAAGAAGTACCCGCTTTGCCGTGTCCCTTCTGATTCATGCGGCACCTACCGCATAAATGAACCTTATCTGGCACCGGCTAGTCAGTCCTCCTGTGCGCTGAGATGATGGGGGTCCGGTCCAGGCTGAGAGGTTTCAGAATGTGGATGCTGTGCGTCGTGGCCTGCGAGTGCGGGATGCCCACTCCGTAGAGGGTACGTACCTTGTGACAAGATTCTTGTGTTTCTGGAAGCGTGTGGGACCTGGTGGGGAAGGTCGTTCCGCAACATTGCATGTGTTGTCGGAGGCTGTGTGTGACCGGTCAGCTGTAGGGGTGGAGGGGTTCATTTGGATTAAGTGGTCTAGATGTTGATCCCTGGGTTGGGTTTTCTATTTAGGGGTATTACGTGATGGTTGAAATGATGATCAGTGACGAGAGGTAGCGATGTTCTGAGTCAACAAAGGGTCAGAGTTGCTACCTAGGTACTTGCATATTGGTTGAGATGTTTCGAGTTGAAGTGGTAGGAGGTAGCCCTACTCGAAGTGCTAGGAACATTCACGGGGCTATAAAAGAATTCATTAAGCCTGTCTCGCCACACCTTTGACTTGACCATTTGTGGCTGGCCTCTCTGAATCCTGTACATAGACGGTATGATACTTAGGTGCCGTACAATTGCCGCTTGGGCCAGTTCAGGCGGGTATTAATTTACGCGCAAGAAACATTGAGCTATGACAAGCGTGACTCAGAGTTGCTGTCTGCCTACCTAGGTAGTCTCAGCAAGTCCCTAACACGTAGGGCAGAGGCAATGACGCCGAGCCAACTGTTACGTACCCTATGATAGCGACTCTGAAATTATACACGGAGACTGACAATGCCTTTGAGCTTACAAATTAGCTACAACCCGTGCTCTTCAAAATGGTGGTTTCTGTCTTAGACTACGGGTCGGAGACGTTTGGTAAGTAGGGCGTGAGTCCCTGAGGCTCTGGGGTTTGCGAGACCATTTCTAAAGGCCATAAGGCTCTTGACAGGCCCTCCAGTGCCAGTCTTTGTTCTGAGAATTGGATACCGGTGTCACTATCGCCTCTTCGAATCACATGTGAAGATTTTCCAAGAGGTTCAAAATGAAACGCATTCTTTCGCGAGTCTCATACATGCTAAGGGGTAATTAGTTGCATGCGTGTGCATGTATTGTTCATGTGGATCGTCTGTTCTCGTGTGGTATTGCTCTAGGAGGATTCTTCTCATGACTACAACTGCAATAACCAACTCGTATAAGCAGCGTCCCTCCCTCCACCCCTGGCTGAAATCATGCGCGCCTCTGTTGCTCAGGTCGGGTGGCAATTGGGTTCCGCCAGTCAGGAAGGAGATGGCCCTCGACTCGCGACACACACGGAGAATGACAGGAGAGGTCGCTTTAGTCAACAATACCTCACACTTCATGCGGCATGGCACTCTCCCTCTACAGCACCGTCTTGTGGGCTGTCGAACTATTCAATGCGTTGCGGTATGCAATTGCATTACAATGCTAGGCGAGGTTCGGTTGGAAGTCTAGGAGAAATGCCACCTGTGTCTGATATCTTCGCTGGTCAGAGGCAATGATAGATTGTGAAGCTGCCGGACTTCCCAGCCTCGACAAGCGGTGGATCACTTGGGTGAGACCAATGAAAGGCTGGAATTGATCACATTCAAAAACAGTCAGAAGCCCATCAATAGCCACGTGACCGTTTTACAGAGTAATATGTGATTTCGGTGTCACGATAAACGAGCTCAAAGACCTCCTTTCCTCAGATCCGCAACTATATTAAAAGAACAAGCATGCTGTCCTCTGATATCACACGTATTAAGCTGGGAACTCTCCTTGGTCGACCATATCCCATCTGCCACCTGGAATGGGCAATCAAGAGAAGGTACGCGTGACTGTGTCGGCTATGTATTCCCAAGAAAGCTATTCATGAGGGCAGCTCTATGAGCACCGTACTCGTTGTCTAGACCAGTCACCAACCATACTTGGCCTTAATTTAATACGATTCAAAAAGAATTCAGAGAGTCTCAGCCGTGAGGTCGCAGAGAGGGTGCAATCCGATTTGCGACGAATTATCGAACGAGTTTGAAAGCGGACGAGGGAATTTCTTCCGCTCTTCCAAATTTGAGCTGGGTGACTTGCGGTACTCGCTAAGCCACGGCTGTGCAGCAAAGGCGAAGTGAAACCCTTAGTGTTAGCTAGATATTCTTCACAACCAGCTCGCGCTGCTTGGAAAATAAAATATCCATGAAAAGTGTGCTCTACAAGCAGAGCGCATTGCGTCTTTGGTCGTTTCTATTCATACAAATGGCGCGGGTGGACAGTGTTCTCGAGTGTCCATGGTCAGGGTCTAACCCAGAGCTGCCAGTAACAAAGCTCAGCACCCGTTGACTCCAGAATCGTCTTGCCTTTCCTACACAATTCGGGGGCCGATCTTCCCCAGCGGCTTGCTTCGGCGGACTTTCGCAACGACTGACATCATGTCCGTCCATCTGACATGGTACAAGCATCCGGAATGTCACACACGCATCTCTCCCCGAGTCAGTATGGGGGTGCGCAGGCTTCCCATGATCCCCTCAGTGCTCCCCTCGACGCGTAATGACGGCATGCAATTCACCGGCAGATGAGTCCCTCCTTTTGAGAACCCCATCAGATTTCGGTAAGCCATCTCTGCGCACGCGGGTGGGCCATCACAGCAGTATTTGAGGAGCCTAAAGGGGGAAAGGGGCTGCCGAAGGGATTGCTCACCGCTCCCTGGGTCGCGCTGGTGCACGCCGCCAGGACTGGGCCTGACAGGCTCAGCGAGGCCCCAATCCTGCTCGTCCAGACCACTCCAGACGGCCTGGCCTGCATGCGGGCGAGATGCGAGTCGGACTGGCAGATTAATCCCCATGGGGTCAAGCGCAGGCGTATCCACTGCGAGTGCTTGCGGTTGAGCGAGCCGACGTTCCCTTAAGCGCGATGACATCACCCAAAACCTGCGACGACGATGACGGCAAGGTCATCTCGAGGCTCTTTGTTGCTCGTCCGGGCCCATTTTGGAGCTGTTCTCATACAGACTTCGTGGGTGCATCATGTCTTTCGCAGCACATCTCATCTTGTTGGGCCATGAAGGCTTGCATGTGAATATCCCGGCCAGCGTCCCAGTGACTGGCCAGGCGCTGCCGGCTTGCCCACTTGGTGCCTGTCAATCACCTCCAGTGGATGGTGGCCAGAGCTGCCCGGCCACTGGTGGATCCCAGCTCGAGGTCGGATCTGGAGCAGAGCCTCCTCGCCACCAGCGAATGAACGAGGGGCCGAGACCTCCAACTCTGCTGCAGGCCTGGCCGCCCGAGTCTAGCCCGCGAAGATCTCCGGCCCTGGGCCGGGTTGGACATGCTTTGCCAAGCGGCCTACCGCTGGCCGCCACCGACTGCTGAGCAAGACTGAGTTGCCGCAGCTATCTTTGGAAAAATCCTTTCGACCCCCGTCCAAGGGCTCTCTCCTCCTGATGTGTTGGCCTCCTGCAATGCCCCAACTGTGCGGTGACGATCCTCATGCTGGGGTGGCGATAGACGGAATGCACCAAACAGAGAGGATGCGAAAAGGCCGTTGCATGTGCGCGCTGTCCGTCCACGAACCCCCTGCAGAAACGTCGTGGGGGGCATCGACCACTTGTTCGCTGACGGGATTGTCTGAATCCGGGCCTTAGCCTTGATCGTGATTCTGGCCCTTCCATAATCCCTAGTCTGCTTCGGTCATGGTCATGGTGGTAACGATAACACTTAGCGCCCCAGGACTGCGTGTCGATGGTGTTTCCATTCCTCTGCTCGTACATATACCGTCCTGACTGACCTTTCCTTGCCTACCGTGCTTCTCCTTTAACCTAGCTCACCAGTCTCGAACACCGAAAATACATACTTTGGCCGTATTTTTTGGACTGTCTAGGCACCTGGGTCCATCACTGACTCCTCCTCTGCCATTACTCCTCTACAGACACCTATCATGGCTCCAGCTGCGCTCACACCTGCCATTTCGGCCAAGGACACGCCAGTCGAGTCCACAAATAAGAAGAGGAAGATCGTATGCTTTTCAGGTATGTTACGTGGGAACCCCTTTGTCTAGGATTCATAACTAATGCGAACTCCCCTACCAAGATTTCGACGGCACCATTTTTATGCAAGACACGGGCCACGTCCTCTTCGATAACTTCGGGTGCGGCTCCAAGAGACGGCAGGTTCTGGACGAGCAGATTAAAAATGGCGAACGATCCTTCCGCGATGTTTCGGAGGAGATGTGGGGGTCACTTAACATCCCATTCGACGACGGGTTCGAGGTGATGCAGGACTCACTCGACATCGACCCGGACTTTCGTTCTTTCCACGCCTTCTGCCTCCAGAACTCGATCCCCTTTAACGTGATATCGGCCGGCCTCAAACCGGTCTTGCGCAGAGTCCTAGACACATTCCTCGGGGAGGAGCAGTCCCGCCACATCCAGATCGTCGCCAATGACGCCGCCATCGCCGAAGATGGCTCCGACTGGAAGGTGCTCTGGCGCCACGACACGGAGCTGGGCCACGACAAGGCGCTGTCGGTGCAGGAGGCTCGCGCCGCGGCCGAGGCCGAGCTCGCCGACGAGGAGGGCGCCATCCCGCTTATTGTCTTTATCGGCGACGGAGTCTCAGACCTGCCGGCCGCCAGGCAAGCGGACGTGCTCTTCGCGCGCCGGGGCCTGCGCCTCGAGGAGTACTGTCAGGAGAACGGCATCGCCTACATCCCCTTCGACACGTTCGCGGGCATCCAGGCCGAGCTCACCCGGATCATTGACGAGGACGAGAAGAAGACGGCCGGACGGGGCCTGCCCGCCCGCTTCAACCCGCGCGCCAACATGTGGCGCCGCTTGTCGAGCAAGTCGAACGTCCCCAGGCTGGTCGTCATGTCGCCCACGAAAGAGGAGCGCATGTTCCTCTGGCCCGAGGCCTTCACGGAGCTCAAGACACCGGCCCTGGATGTCACACGGGAGCTGGGCGTCGTCGGGGAGGAGCAGGCTGTTGCTGTTCCGGCTGCTTAGGGCATTGCTTGGGATGCGCCATAACCTTGGGCAATACATAGCACACGGAGTTCTGGGTTTAGGTGAATTGCGCTGGAGTTTGGTGAGGCTTGAGATGTTGGGTATGCTTTCAGTCGTGTTCGTCCCTTTGTCTTCTTCTCCCTAACGTTTTGCTGGCTGCCGGTGACGCAAAAAATGAGACACGAGGCGGATGAGTGATGTTAAACTTGCAACGATAAACCAAGTACATATAGATCAACATTAGACAATAGATCTAAGATCCAAACAAACCAGTGCGTGTAGAGTTATTGACCCTTGACTGACGAGACACATTCCCATGCCGCTTGATGTTTCAGACATTTAGCAAACCCCTTTATCAGAGCCTGTTGAGTCGAAGGATGGCAAGGGCTGCTTGCTGAATACGTTGGCCTGAAATAGGCGTCAACTTGTGTCTTGCTTATTGCTACACATCAATGGCGAGACCGGTAGTTGAACATGGGTCTTGTCCCCTTCACTCTACGTCCAAACCAGAAGCAATAATGAATCATAAATGTATTATACACACGTTTGCCTCAAGGCGCGATCCCCATGGAATACTGATTCGAGATCCTGACTACTTCAGCACTTCATAGAGGATTTTTTTCATTTTTCATTTCATAGATTGCCATCCTCCAAGTCCTACTAGACCGAACACACACCTAGGTAACTAGAGAGTTGCTGGTATGTGATGCCTCAAGTGCACACCTAGCCTGGCTGTCAGTGCCCGGCCTCTTCCCACCCTCGATTGACTCTGAGCATCCTCTACGATGACTACCAGATTCCACAAGGCTGAGTTGTTGTTTTGCAGCTCTCCCAGGCTTCAATCCGATTCGTCTCGGGTCACATACATTCTCTGTACCTGCAGTGATGATTGGCTCTAACAAAGTCTGCATGTACAGCCTCCTCTTCCCTCACTTTTTGCATAGTGACTCCCACCTGCCATTGATATTCTGGCAAGGCAGATACAAATATCTCAGTAATGCTATTTACCACGACAGGTGCTGAACTGTTCCCAGGAGCTGGTCGCATGGACGGCAGTGAGAGCACCGGGTGGGGTTTGATGTGGCGAGATATGAGTGAAAACATCTCGTGCAGGCAAATAGACCAAACGCCATAGAGACGATGAGAGCCAACACCGATTCGAGTATTCTGAGTGCGGTCATTGAGATGTGACCGACCAGCTCAAGCTTGTACTTGGGCGCCGTAGACGAGCTGAACCGTTGCGGCGGAAGGAGCTAGTGCCGCTGGCCCGCATTGTGGCTTTGGTCTCACAGCCAACCTCAAATCGTCAGGCAGTTACAACTTCTCACTCAGCACATTCATATCACCTTACCTCGCCACGCCGGTAACTGGCTTAAAGACCTAGACAGCCCACTCCTGGGCCCCCCTCACTCTACACACATTATAATTAACCATCGCGAGGACCTACGAGACCACTCACCTACAAATACAGGCTACGCTTGAGTTACAAGGCTAGCGGCATCATGGACGACAAAAGCAAACCCTTCGGCGAACCCAAGGGAGGATTCGCACCACCACCATCGTTCCTGGAGGCCACGGCATCGGCGGGGCCGTCACAAGGCGCATCATCCTTCCAGACGCGGTTCGCGTGCGTGACGCTCAACATGACAGACCGGATGCGCTTCATCAACTTCAGCGCGCCCGAGACTAGCGCCCTCAGGGGCGTGCTGGGGTCCGTGTGGCCGATCCAGGACGTGCGGGCATACGGCGGCGCCGAGGAGATCAAGTTCAAGGGCTACCCGTGGCAGGAGAAGGTAAACGGCGACGATAACGCCCGGCGGCTGATCAGGAGGATGCTCGAGGCGCTTTATGACATGGGGTGGGTGTTGCAGGCGGCGGTGGACGTGTCCAAGAAGGAGCTGGACAAAGGTATGGTGGCCTTGGGCGTCAGTTCTGCGGTAACCATGGCGACGACGCTGACCCTTCCTTCCCAGACTCCCTCATATTCAGATATCAGAACCCGCCGCCGCCGCCGTGCGACTGGCTGAGCATCTCTTTCGACTGGACGGACAAGATGAAGATCGTGGACGCGCCGCCGGGGGACCTGACCGAGGCGATCGTTGCGGAGTTCCGGGCGAAGTACAGGCTCAAGAGTCACGAGCTCGAGAGCGGGCGGCTGAAGCTCAAGTTCCACGGCCAGCCGTGGCAGGCGTCGGGCGAGGAGACGGTCAAGTCTAGGATGCTGTTGCTGAGCCTGCTCGGGATCCTCGAGAGGTTTGGGTACAGCCTGTACGCCAGCATCGACCAGGTCAACAGTTCGGGGATCGAGGCGGACGTGCTGGTTGTGACGCGGCAGAAGGGGTGGACGCCTGGGATGCCGATATGGCACCGGTGATCGACTGCTCTGAACAGGTGCCTTGTGATTGAAGTCCACTGCGCTACTAGGCTGGCAGGGCGGTGTTCCCACATCTGGCGGACCCTGAGCGCAACAGGGCTGATGGCTGGCGCGACCGACGTGATATAGCAGCAACAACTGGGGCAGCTGTCACGGCAGACGGAAAATGGGTGGGCTGTCGCAGTGGATAACTGGGGAGCTGTGGGCCTGGCCGCAGCCCCTTGGACGCGTGTTTCGTGGTGCCAGAACTGCCACTGCCTTGAGGGCTGACGAAGGTTGGAACTAGGTCCCGGGGTTCCTCCTGCATACTACTGTGATTAGGAGACAGCATGTCGTCTTTTAGTGGGCATGTGAAGAGACTAGACTGGAATCCAAGTCAATGCCATGATCACATATTGCAGTTGCTGTGCAGCTTGCGCTGGAGCCGCCCCAGCCCGGCCAGCCCACCCCGACGGTCTGCATGGTAGTCTGTTTAGGTATATTTGGCCGCGGGATGTGGGATGGTGCAAGGGGAGGAGCCCCGATTGTTACGTCAGCGGGGTTTGAGGGGGAATTGTCGAGCTGAAGGACAGGCTTCCCTGCGCGGAGAGAGACGACCTTGGAGGACGACGTTGAAGAGTGCAGTGCCATGTCGTCAAATGCAGGTGGGATTGCATCGACTGATGGAGTTGCCCCGAGGAGCAAAGCAGCACCGCAGCACTAGTGACTGACCATCAACTGCCTGGGTGCCGTCAGAATGGACCGAGGGCAGCACAGATTGATCCGAGCCGAAAGAGGAACGTGGCAGCGACCCGATCAGATCAGCTAGTGAAAAGAGAGATCTGCAATTCCCCCCCCCCCCTGCCAGGCCTGCGGAGCTGCCACAACGGAACATAGTTTCCCATGGCGGGGCCTGGCCGGGCTGCTTGCCGCTGAGGTGGTTCGATTTCACGAGGCTCACTGTCCACATTGCGGCTGGAATCGCATGATGGCCTGCGGCTGCTGTCCAATGGCAGGCGCAGCGATATGACTTTGTGTCGCCTGTGATTGGCCAGGGCCAGAAGTTGGGGGGACAATTGGGGCCCGGGCCTGGCCTCGGAAAGAGCTGGGCGGCCTGGCAGCTCGCAATACGGAGGGTGGGCTGTTTTGATCTGGCTGGTGGTGCCGAAAGCATGCACCACCCTGCGGTACGCAACTGTACCCCTATGCCGGCCGGCGCTACATTCTGTGTGCACTCCTTGGGTGCCTTGTGTACCGTATTTAGACCAACGTACCAGGGGTACCGCATGTACCGTATGTGTCTGGTCTGTGTATTGGGTGGGTGGTGGATAGTGGTGGTGCCTGGGCTGGAAACATCCAAACCTGACAAGGTGCATCAGATTCTCCTTTCCCCAGCTGCAATATTAATTCACTTACATCCCTTGAGTCAAAAGCTTCCTGCATCGCACTTCCTGCATCGCACACTCTGCTATTCTTCCTCATCGATCTTTGTCTGTCACCCTTCTGCTGCACCACGCTGCAAACACAGCAAACAGTCACACCAACAACAAGAAGCAAACCAGCAAATCAGACCAACCAAACCAAGCCGCCTCGGCTACTTGCTCACTTACAACAACCAACCACCACATCAACAACAATGTCTCCCACGTACACCATGTCCGCACACCTGTGCAAGCAGATTGCTGCATCCTGGAAGGAGATCAGGCACCCGCTCGAGCCCGGTCAGGTCTCTCCCACCGCAGGCGCCCACTTCCCCTCCAGCTTCCAGCGTGCCTCTTCTCCAACCGGCTCAGACAGCGGCAAGCGTTCCATGGACAGCGACCGGAGTGACTCCTCGGCTCCCTCCATGACCCGAACCTCCTCCAACTCAAGTTGGAATTGGGGCACGCGATAAGCTCGAGCCTGCTACAAGACTGCTACTCATCGAGTCTTTCCTCTCGTCTGAGCGAGGCTGGTCTGGGTTCTAGACGATAACGGCTCTACATCAAACACATGCAGACACCACACCCATCCTCCCGCCCACACACCTCCCCACATACACACATCTTACTGTATCCTACCTACCTACCTACCAACCCTGTACCTATGCAAGCGACACCCGATCCGGATCTCGACCCTGCCAGGTGGATTTATCAGCAGCAGCCCTGATGATCAAGCAAAGCCCACTGCAACTTTACGAAACCCATCACACCGAATCAAGCAATACGATGCGCCTGTGCGCCTGCGCGTAGCGCGCCTTCGCAATATTCCGCCCACATGTCGTCATTCCTCCTGTTCTGCCTGTTTGCCTGCCCACAAGGCGGCGCTGGCCGAGGGACCAAGGACGACACAAGCAAAGTCACCCCATCGAGATGACTCCGACGGCGGGACGATGGATCCATTGCCAGAACCGGCCAAATGCATCATTCCCGTCTCATACGTGGGGTTTCGGGGCGTCTGTATTAGGCTGTACACCCCAAAAAGGGCCGACGATGCGCGCCCTCGGGTGGGGCCCGATTACGTGCTTTTTCCTCCTGCTCACTGAAAGGGGGATCAACGCATCAGGGTGAATAGGGGGAGAGCAACCAAACAGAAGGGTTTCTGGCATGCAAGGCGTCGGCGTTCACTGTGGCTTATTGTTTTGATTGTTTTTTTGTACTATTTATTGTTGGATCGATTGGACTCTTTTCCTTTTTTAATTCCTCGGAATGCAGTGGCGGAGAACAAACCCGGCATGACAGGACGGATTTAGAAGCATCCTTTTTTTGATACCCTTGAGCAATACAACCGACCAAATCAACCAAGAAAGAAACTCCTCCGACGAGGTCGCGTGTGCCACTGCCTTACCTTGCCCCCTGATCTTTTGATGGATCTACTGATCTTGCCTCGCATCGTTATCTGATCCGATGATAATGCACTTGTGGTATCCACTTCCAAGCTTGGTCTGCAGGAGCGATCGCTGCAGATCTACAGCCCACGCCGTCGGGCCTCACCGAAAATCTTACGTTCCGCGGCTCAATCTTCTCCCTGTCCTCCCTCCACTCCGTCCTCCCCTCCTCCCCGCCGCGGGGAGGAGCTCCTCAGGGTCCTGCTTCAGGGTCCCCTCCTGCTTGAGAGGGTCCTGCCTGCGCAGCTTGGTCTAATGAATACATCATCTCGCATGCTGCGGTTTTTCGTCGCAGGCAGCAGTTGTGCTGTACAATGTCATAGATTCGAATTTTTCCCAGTTTGAGATGCGAGGTTCTCAGCATTTCACGCAAAGCGTGAAGTAATGACCCCGCTTCCTTGCCCAAGGCCGACGCCAACCTGCAGACCTATCCACTGGTCACGCCCTTCCCCTGCCAGGCTTCGGGCATAACTACGTTTAACGTGTCTCAGTGTCCTAGGCAGGCACTCGCTTCTGATGTAGACCTGATCAGGGTTGCAGCAGAATCGGAAGCCTTACTCACGCTCAAGATAAAGGTCCCTACGAACAAGATGACCGTTAATGTGCTGCTGTCAAATTGTCAAGCCTAACTTGACCCCACGGCTTCTTGCTAGCAATTGTGGATTTTACAACTGCAACACAACGGAAACAGCGTTCTATACTATAATCCTTTATCTAGCTTGTAAGTTAGTTATCAACCAGTTTATCTCATCATATTTTATCATAAGTAAAAGGGTACGATAGACTTAAGCTCTTATCGGAACTTATATCGAGTCAGCGTATGCCCACCCAGCTTCCACAGTACGCCCACCCAGCTTTCAGCGTTGGCCCACCCAGTACAAGGAAATTGGTTGCACGCGCTATAAAATATTAATACTATGGGGTTATTAATAAAGCATAGCTATAGCTATCCCAGAGGGGTCCTATAGCTACCCCTTTATTTACAACTTAAAAGTTACTTCTACCCTTTGCCGCCCTTTACTGTTAGGGGATAACTAAGCACTCCCCTTTCTTTTAATACACTACATCTTTCATAGCCCGCCTAGCATTAGCTTCTCTTAACACACATATACACTTTGCAAGATACTTTAATTAAATTGGCTATTAGCAACCCCATTTAGTTCCCTAATTTAATTTTAAAAGCCCTTATATATTTTATTATATAATAGCTATAACTTAATTTAACTTTTCATTGCTTTTATGCTAAGATTTAATTATTAATTTAATATTAATTGCTTGCAATTATTTAAATAACTGCATTTCCTTAGTATATAATTAATTTAATAACCTTATTAACCTTAGCTTAATTAGCTAAAGGCCTTAAATGTTATTAATAATGCTTTAAATAATTATTAATAAGCCTTATATTTATTAAGCTATAATATTTATTAGCTTAATAGCTTTAATAAACTTCTAGCTGTTAAAACCCCTTAATTAAACAACTTTTAATTTTAATTTAAAACCTTTCCATAAATAACTTTATAAGCAAGGCAAGAAATAAGCCTTTTTAAGATATAAAAAGATGTTTTATTATTGCTAAACTGCCTTAATTAAAACTAAATTAACCTCTTAAATCTACTAGCGCGTTAAAATTAGCTTAAAAAGCTTTTCCCGTTTTTATATAATTAATATTAGCCCTTGCTTTTACTTAAAAGAAACTTTAAATATAACTTATAATAATTAAGGCATTAAATTATAACTTCCTCTTTAGCAAAATATAACTTAAAAAGGCATAAAGCATTAATTAAGCCTTATTAAGCTTTATTAACTTCCTTAACTTAATTTAATAACCTTTTTTTAATCCTTTGCTTTAAAATTCCCTAAGGGTTTCCTAATTTTAAAAGCTAACCATTTCTTATAGCTAATTCCTTAATTAAAATAAGTTTAATATTAACCCATTTTTTTTAATTAAAGTTAGCTAAAATAAAGAATATAAAACCCTTTTATTAAAATAAGCTGGTAAGATAGCTAAAGCAGGATTATTTTAAAACTATACCTATTTATTAAAACTTAAGAATTACTTTAAAGAGTTTTATCCTAAACCTGTTAAGCACCCTATATATATTTAGCCCTTAGCTCTTCTTGTATAAATACCTTTATATACTTAAGGTAATTA